GAGTCCCTTTAAGTACATTATTGCCAAAAATGTTAAGTGAAAGTGTTAGTTTATTGGAATCTGAGATGGATGAGGTAATCAAGGAGGATCAGGACAAGGCAGACATTCTTGCTGCTGATTTGTAAATCCCTGTTACAAAAGTCTTCAACATGTGATTGGTTAACAAAGGATAAAGTGGTAAAAAAATTAAAGTTGATGTAAACAAAGCCCCAGGTGGTGGTAATGGTAATCATCCATGCATGCGTAACCCCTTCAGGACGGAGTCAATAGTGCACGTTCTGATCAAAACAAAACGTAAACAAAAACTGGAATTTGCGCTATATGTCTGTTCAACCGTAATTCACCTCTTTCATATTAAATGCACCCACACTTATTATATATCATTTTGTTCAGGAGAAACAGGGTTTTCATTTCATATCAAATATTTATATATGAAACATAATTTATTATGAATAAAATTTAAAAAACTGTGACATTTTTAAAATTTTTTAAAAAATTTGTAGTTCCGCCTCACATTTAACTGTTAAAGGACCACTCTAGGCACCCAGACCACTTCAGCTTAATGAAGTGGTCTGGGTGCCAGGTCCTTCTAGGGTTAACCCATTTTTCAGAGAAACTGCTATGTTTATGGATGGGTTAAGCCTTCCCCCTAATCCTCTAGTGGCTGTCTCAGCCACTAGAGGCGCTTGCGTGCTTCTCACTGTGATTTTCACAGTGAGAGCACGCAAGCGTCCATAGGAAAGCATTGTTAATGCTTTCCTATGCGACAGGCTGAATGCGCGTGCAGCTCTTGCCACGCGTGCGCATTCAGCCCAGGAGGAGGAACGGAGGAGGAGAGCTCTCCGCCCAGCGCTGGAAAAAGGTAAGTTTTTAACCCTTTCCCCTTCCAGGGCCGGGCGGGAGGGGGTCCCTGAGGGTGGGGGCACCCTCAGGGCACTATAGTGCCAGGAAACCGAGTATGTTTTCCTGGCACTATAGTGGTCCTTTAAGTATTACTGCAAACAAATGCCCATATTTGTAATCAGCGATGTCTCATGAGTACAACAGTACCCCCCATTAACAGGTTTTATGGTGTTTTGGAAAGTTACAGGGTCAAATACAGAACGTTCCATTTTCAAATTGAAATTTGACAGATTAGTAATGTTACCTTTGAGACGATGTGGTAGCCCAGGAATGAGAATTACCCCCATAATGGCATACCATTTGAAAAAGTAGACAACCCAAGGTATTGAATGTGGGGTATGTTTAGGCTTTTTTAGTAGCCACTTAGTCACAAACACTGGCCAAAGTTAACGTTCATATTTGTTTTTGTGTGAAAAAAGCAAAAAACTAATATTTGGCAAGTGTTTGTGACTAAGTGGCTACTAAAAATGACTGGACATTCCCCATTTGCAATACCTTGGGTTGTCTACTTTTGCAAATGGTATGCCATCATGGGGGTAATTCTTATTCCTGGGCTACCATACGTTCTCAAAGGCAACATAACCAATCTGGCAAATTTCAATGTCAAAAAAATGAAATGCAAGCTTTATATGTGACTCTCTAACTTTCCAAAACACCATAAAACCTGTACATGGGGGGTATTGTTATTCTCAGGAGACTTTATTATTGTTGTAATATGTTTTACTGTTTTAAAACCCTGATATTTGTGTTTAGTATAGTCCATAAAACTGCTGTTTGTTTGTAAAAAAAATGCAAAAAACATCACTTTTACTTAAAATATCATCATTGTAATACAATTTACCAGTTTGAAACACTAATATTTGAGTTCAGCGAAGTCTCCCGAGTAAAACAGTACCCTCTATGTACTGGTTTTATGGTGTCTTGGAGAGTTACAGGGTCAAATATAGTGCTTGCGAATTAAATTCTCTGCACTTTCTCCCTGTGTTGTCAGGCATGTCAATCAAATTTTAATTAATCAAATCACATAATTATGTTAAAAGATTACTTAAATGTACACGTAGAATTTTAATATATATGCATTTATAGGTATTTAAATTCTACGTGTATACTAATGTAATCTTTTATGTAATTATATGTATTTATCTATATAAATATATTTGCAGTTATTTGTATTTTAATATATAGATAGATATATATAGAATGTCATTCTAAGTGTATTTTGTTACCAATATATATATATATATATATTAATAACAAAATACAGTTAGAATGAAATTACATATGAATATATAATTTATATAAAATTTTGTTTCAATATTTTATTTATTTATTTTATTATTTTATTTATTTATTGTAATTATACGTATATATATATATATAACATATGTGTATCTATATTATATATATAATATATATACATATTATATATATGTAACGTCATTCTAAGTGTATTTTAATACTAATATATATACTAATATTAGTATTTAAATATATTACGTATGACGTTACATATATATGTATATATATTATATCTATAATATATATACATATATTATATATATATATAAATACTTTTAATTTATTTTAAATTTAATTAAATTTTTTTTTTTTTTACACTTTCCACCAGCAGGGGGACTGTCTGATATTTCAGACAGTCCCCCTTCTGGCAGATCCACAGCCAGCTATAGGGGGCCATATTCGCCGGGGGAGGGCTGCCTGGGCTGTCAGGCAGCCCTCCAGAAGAGGATTGCGGCAGAGGTAAGTAAATCTCACCTCCCCTGGGCTTAAGCCATTACGGCGTTCTATGCCGCCGCAACGGCTTTAAAGCCCTTCAAAAAGCCACGACGGAATAGAACGCCGTAACGGCGTTAAGGGGTTAAAGGACCACTATAGTGCCAGGAAACCAAACTCGTTTTACTGGCACTATAGGGTTTTTAGGTCCCCCCCCAACCCTTAGTGTCCCATTCCCGCTGGGCTGAAGGGGTTAAACACTTACCTTTCTCCAGCGCCGGGCTCCCGCGGCGCTGGGGAACTCTCCTCACTCGCCGACGTCAGCTCTGAATGCTTTCCTATGGACGTCCAGCGTCTTCTCACTGTGATTTTCACAGTGAGAAGCGTGGAAGCACCTCTAGCGGTTTCAGTGAGACAGCCACTAGAGGTTGGATTAACCCTAGTGTAAGCAGTTTAGAGCCGCAGGGTTAACACTAGATGGACCTGGGACCCAGACCACTTCGTTGAGCTGAAGAGGTCTGGGTGCCTATAGTGGTCCTTTAAGGAGTTTAGTATAGAAATATCCATACCACTGTTTTTATACCGTATGGTTAAAGTACCCCAGTATCGGTGGGTCCTATGTGAATTTTACATGGGAGATTAACTTGCTAACTACAAATCATACTGCTTATATTGCTTCCAGAGACTCTCCTCAAATGCTTTCCTGTGGTCATACCCAAAGGGGCACATATAGTGGACAGGTGGGGTGCTTCCAAATATACACAGAACAAATGGAATGATGTGGGGGGGGGGAGGGAGGGGCGCAGCATTTCTCAATAGTTGTGCTGCAGTTGAGCATTATATATACCGTATATACTCGAGTATAAATCGAGTTTTTCGGCACATTTTTTGTGCTGAAAAACCCCCACTCAACTTATACTCGAGTCAATGTCTGTATTATGGCAACTTACATTGCCATAATACAGACCAGGACCACCAGGCTCATTACAAGCCCGGTGGTCCTGTTGGGGGCTGGCAGCGAGCTGTAACTTACTTTTCCTGCAGCTCCTGTCAGCTCCCTTCTCCTCTGTGCCGTTCAGCTCCACTGTAAGTCTCGCAGACCGCAAGACTTACAGTGGAGCTGAACAGCACGGAGGAGAAGGGAGCTGACAGGAACTGCAGGAGAGTTAAGTAACAGCTCGCTGCCATAATATTATAGTAAAATAAAAAATTAATAATATTAAAAAAAATTAAAATGTAATATTACCGGTAAAACATTTTAAAAAAAATTTAATATTAAAATAATAATAATAAAAAAAAAATAATAAAAATGCCCACCCCCCACCAAGCTTACACACTCTGCATCACATACACAAACACACACTGCACTCATGCACACACACACACTGCATTCATACAAACAAACACTGCATCATATACACACACTGCATTCATACACACACACACACTGCATTCATACACACACACATACACTCTGCATTATATATACGCACACACTCTGCATTATATATATACACACTGTAAATAAATATTCAATTAATATAATTTTTTGGGGATCTCATTTTATTTAGAAATTGACCAGTAGCTGCTGCATTTCCCACCCTAGTCTCATACTCGAGTCAATAAGTTTTCCCAGTTTTTTGGGGTAAAATTAGGGGTCTCGACTTATATTCGGTCGACTTATACTCGAGTATATACGGTACATATATATATCTACAGATTATACCAATAAGGGCATGCCAAGCAGAACCAATGGCTTTGCCTTGCGCTAGATTAAGGTAAGTAAAACATTGCTCCAAACGCTCTTTACCCATTTTTTTTTTTTTTTGGATGGGGACTTCAAGAATAATGCCAATAGGGCTAATGAAATAAAAAGTTGTTACACTTAAATTCTTCTGACATTATCAATAATTTATCTAAAATGGTAGGGACAAACTTATATATATTTAAAATGAGACCTAATTGTGACTCAGTAAACGTTTGTTCATATCTACATTGACAGAAATACTTGTTCACTCCCATGCACAAACCAAATTCAAATATCAAATCAATTTTACTGTGCACATTTTATTTCTATACCATTTTCGATAAATTAATACTAAATACTAAACTTTTCTTATCTGTTAGATATTTACCTGACTTACTTCATCATGTATTTTACCATTTAATTTACACTTCTCTGGTGGATGTTTTTACTTGTTAATTTCCTATTTTGGAATAGACTTGAAATCTTCCAGATGCATTTAACTATATCGACTTACAATGCCTGCTGATTATCAGATGGCTCTGGCTTGTGCAAACTACAACACTCCCATCGTGATCAGGATAGGATTGAATGCCTTACCATAGTTAGAGTTAGAGTCCACAATAGATGTAACACCAGAGGAGAGACCCGCTTACAGCAAACCTGATCAAGGTGGTCTCTAGTCTAGTCACTACCTCAGTAACACCAACCAGTGTGAGACGGATTCTGGAGTAACATGTGGTGGGGGTTGTACAGCCCACAGAGCATGCGCAACCACTTAACCAAAGCATGAACTTTTTTGGGTCTGGAAGTCTGAAATTCCTCAGTCATCCAAGGGGCACGGAAAGGAAGCGCTTCTAAGGCAAGTCAGGGGTTGATTTTCCAGCTATGCTCTTGGCTTATTGAATGAATCTGATCGAATTTCATTGATTTCAATTACTACTTTTTCCTTTCAGGAGACAAGTCCAGAGGTTTATTGTTATACTGAGTCTGTGCCCCCAGCCCTGGAGGACAATGGGGCTACTACTACGAGTGGCAGGACTTCTAGGTAAACCCCAGTTACAAATAGACTTGTAGCATATTGAATGGCTGTTAACTGTATTACTTTATAGCAGCGATTTCTAACTCCACGTGATACATCAATTGTCCTTGTGACCTCTCTGTCATTGATCAGAAGGCAGGAGTAACCTTACTTGTCTATAGTGATGCATGGTTTATTAAATTACTATTATGCCCCTTTCTTACCTTACATAACTCTGTTTAACTGCTGTTCAGCTAAAATCACAAATGTATCCCTATTTGGGCAGCATGTTCATCCATTAAACGTCGCCCACCAGGCTGCTGTAAGAGCATTAGTTGTGGGATGCCAGCATAGCCAGGGCGTTTTTGGATTGTGCAGGATCTTTGGGAGCGGTATTGTGAATTGTATAATGAAAGCTTTATTGTGAAATGTATAATGATTACCTTATGGCTGCTTTTTATAGGGGAGGCTGATTGTAGAGTACTGTTAGGCTGTGTCCTGCTTCTTTCTTTGAGACCACTTGTGGTTCCCTTATTTCACCTATCCGTTATAATGTCACATTTTAAGGCATTGCTAGGACAAAAACATGTCTGTGAGTCATAATTCTGGTCAAGCAAAAATCTAAAAGAAAAGGGAAAAACTAGCTTTTTTTTTTTTAAACTACAAAATGTTTGGTAAAACCATATGGATTCATTTTGACTCCTCTTAAATTTAAGGACTAGGTTAAATTTTAACCCTTCAATCTAAGAGGAAATTGCTTTTTTTTTTTCTTCAAAAGTGGTTTACTTTTTAAACCGTGTATTTTGACCACTAATGCATTATCTTATATGACTATACAGTAGGAAGAAAAATAAAAGTATCTATTAGCAAGAATAATGTTCTTAAACAGACTGGTTAACAAAACTATGGGGACTATTTAATAGACAGTAAATTATGATGGTTTGGAAACAGAAGGGGTTTGTCACTAAACAATGAATTGAAAACATAATTGTAATATTTAGGCCAAAATAGCTGATTTGTATTAAAGCTGAACTATAGCCCTCAGGCTGGCTTTGTTATAGCCTTTATTTTGCTAGTTTTCAGTTTACAATTCACTGTTTAGTGGGTAAAACCTCTGTGGTTACTAAATTTTTGTCAAATAGTCCAGTAAAAAAAAGTCTCCTTCTCAAATATATTATAAGTTTGGCTTTTTGAACCAAAATAGAGTGAAGTCGATCTTAAATTTGTCTCCATTCACTGTTTAGTTCATGACCCCCCTTGTCAAACTGATGAACCGCACAACCAAACATTTTGATCATTTTGCCATATAGTTGTATTTTTATGAGATTTAAATGAGAAAACTCTCTGTCTGTTAAAACCCACAGCTGGGTTATTTGCTTGTACAGTATGTTGGGAAGAGATTATTAGTGGAAATCCCCACTGATTTAGTAGATACCTTTGGGAATTTGCTACCAGTGTGTATGTTGATTTACATTTCTGTGCCTGAAAAAAAAAATCACTCTGACTAAAGCAAAATACTGGAGGTGTGAGATGAGGGGTTCCTTACATATTGCAGAAAATAGTTTTTGTGAAAAGTGTTAAATTGTATAGAACCTCAAAAAAATTTACTTTTTGTATTCTCCAATTACTGTATTCTACATGTCAGTTTGTCAGTCCATGGCTTAAATGGTTATTCTAGGCACCAAGAAATGTTCAGTGTTTGGAAGTGGTCATGGTCTCCCGAGTCTGTATTTGCAGTGTTGAATATACTGAGTTTAACCCCTTTTCTGTCAAAGGTGTAACTCTTCCTTCAGCAGCAACATTGAGGTGTCTTTCCAGCCCAGAACATGAGTTCAAGGATAGCTAATGTCAGTTATATTGTAGAGCACTCCTATAGTGCTACTTTACACCAATAAGGGTTGTTCACTGAAGTGAGAATTGTCTGGAATTCAAAATTAATTTTAAATTTAAGGCCACAATAGCCAAACTAGAAGCTAAACAGAATTGGGTGATTTTTCGATTTTGGCTGACAATTCTCACTTTAGTAAATAACTCTGAATTAATTTATTCACTAAACCCCACAGTGTGGTGAAAGGAACACTAAAAAGCCAAAGTCAAGCTAAAATAGCCATAAGGTGGCTAGCTGAGTTGGGAAATAGTTCCAAAACATATTTTTATTTATCCAGAATTTTTTTTTTTGCATTTTGTTTCTCTGTTCACTATAATTTAAAGTTTAATGAATAAAACTGCAAAAAACAAAACAAAAAAAAACATCAGGGATTGAGATTTGGAAATTAATTTAGCTAGCTATCTGCATTATTTATTGGAATGTATTCCATTGGGTATTTATAGTGTACAGTATTGTATTTTTCATAATATCCAAACAGAAATAAAATACATAAATCTTTATGTTTTTTTTTTCTTATACTGCTTTTGTGGAGTGATTTACTATTTATTATAAATTCCATCCCCATTTTCAAGAGCTGATTATTTTAACTGGCATTGTTCCAAAACCTATGATCTATTCAGTGGTGTATTTTATGAGTTTAATCAGACCTTTTAGAATGACTGACATGCCTCATAAATAACATGATTTTTGCATTGTAATGAAATCCTTTGTGGCTTGATTCAGGGTTTATTACTTAAAGTGACATTACATCATATTTTCCAATAAATGGATAATTACCAGATTTTACTAATTACATGACGTAAAGTCATGATTTTATAAAGGACACGGAGGCGAATATTATGCTTATCTCTTTCTTTATTATACCTCAGCAGCAAAGAGAAGGTATAAACATTCATAGAAAAAAGTTTTAACAGGTTCTCCAAGGGTTAACCCAACATCATACCCTTAACCAATAGGAACAGTCCCTCTATCTATAACTATTCATGTGACCTTTCCTCTTCCTCTTTCTTTGGTCATGCCGAAGCTGTATCATTATAACTTGAGGAGACACTGGAACACTTCATCCGTTGTGTCGAACTTTCCCATATCCCGAACTTGTAAGAACTTGTCTGCGTAAACTGCGGTGACAACTGGTCATCCAGGGTGTCGCGTATTGCGAATTAAACTGTAATGGGATAGAGAAAAATATGGTAAAATGTGGTCTGAGGAACTGTTTGCCACAACGTTAGTGACGAAATCTTAGCATATGCCTGATGTACTACAGACTCACTAGTACAGTTGTATTAAATAAAAACGAATTAAATCGAGACGAAATAAGACACCACAATGACCCTTATTTTATTGTTTATTGGGTGGGCCTGTCACTCTACTTTCGCTGATATATGCCTGATATACTTACCGGGTGGGCCAATATTTGCCTCCGTGTCCTTTATAAAATCATGAATTTACGTCATGTAATTAGTAAAATCTGGTAATTTTATTAAAGGACACGGAGGCTCATATTATGCTAGTTCAAAGCTGTGCAATGACTCTTGATGCTACGTGGTCTGTAGGGTGAAAATAATATTCCTTAAAGGTGGATTCATGAGACTAATCTGCCGTCCGTAACAAATCTTCCAGTCTGCATCCCAAGTTGAATACTTTAGATGCCATAGCTCCTCTAGTGGAGTGTGCCCCATATACCGAAGTATCTATGTTTGCAGAGGCCATTATCACCTTCACCCATCGGGCTATCGTTATGGAAGATACTGGCTGGTGTGGTGAATTGACGGCCAGAAATAGTTCATGTTGTCCAGAGTTTCGAAATGCCTGTGTCCGTGTTTCGTATTCCTTGAGGCAGGCAATCGGGCACAGGTTTTTCTTGAGCGGGAATGCTGGATATGACACTGATGTTGTCGCTGATTTTGTACGTCTGGAAATGTTGAAAGTTACTCCCGTTGGAGTGAACGTGCGTGCGTCGACGTCCAATGCCCGGACATCCGAGACTCTTTTGCAGGATATTAGGCATAAGAGCATGGCCAGTTTCACTGAAAGTTGTTTCAATGTGAGGTCAGAGTTCTGTGGCATTAGTTCCAAAAGATTTAAGACCACATTCACGTCCCATACTGTACTATATCGGGGTCGCGGTGGTCTTGCCAATCGAATACCGCGTAAGAGCTTGCATACCAACAGATGCTTGCCTGCTGGAAATCCTTCTATACCCTTGTGTCCCGCCGAGATCGCTGACCTGTATACATTGATGGTCCGGTATGCAAGTCCTTGGTCATATAGGTGTGTAATGAAACACAACAGGTGGTTTACAGGGGCACATACGGGATCCACGTGTTGTTCCATGCACCAACCACTCCAGATGTTCCAAGCTTTAGAGTAGGATCGTCGTGTTCCCGGAGCCCAGGCTCCCGCCAGGAGTTCGAGAGTTGTTTGCGGAACGTTTGGCACGACCCAGGGACCCCGGAAAGGAGCCACGCTAACAACCTGAGTTGTCCCTGCGCCATCAGAGGGTGTGGGTTCCCATCTGGGTCTGAGAGGAGATGTGGGTCCTCGGGCAGCATTCTGGGGAGATCTATGGACATCTCCATGAGTAAAGGGAACCAAGGCTGTGCAGTCCAGAATGGAGCTATGAGGACTAGGGACGTCCGTGTGCGGTCGAGGTGCACTAGCGTTCGTGCCAGTAGGGCGAACGGTGGGAACGCGTATAATCGTTTGTTCGGCCATGGTTGTAGGAATGCGTCCGTAGCTAACGCGTCTGGGTCCGGTCTCCAGCTGAAGAATTCCGGGAGTTGTGTATTCAACCGTGACGCAAACAGGTCTATATACATCGGACCCCATAGAGTGTGCAATCGTAGGAACGTCTCTCGGTTCAGGCGCCAATCGCTGGTATCCCGCAGATGTCTGGAGTTCCAATCTGCTACGGTGTTCGAAAGTCCCGGGATGTATTCGGCTCGTACTGTGATGCTGCGTTCTAAGCAAAACTGCCAAAATTCTGTGGCTAAGTCTGCTAAAATTTTGGACTTGGTGCCGCCGAGGCGGTTGATGTACTGGACGGCTGAGACGTTGTCCATTCTCAGGATGATGGAGCAATGCGTTGCGGGACCCAGGAGGCTCTTCAGTGCGAACGAACCCGCCATTAATTCCAGGCAGTTGATATGTAGTGTCCTTTCTGCTTGGAACCATTTTCCGCCCGTGGAGGTATGTCCACAGCGCGCTCCCCAGCCCCGTGTGCTGGCATCTGATTCTATTACGCAATCTGGGTTGTTGCCGAAGATTGCTCTGCCGTTCTACGCTTCCATGTGCTGCAGCCACCACCTGAGCTCCTCCTTGGCTGTGTGATCGAGTGGCACAGAGTCTGAGTAGGAGTGTCCTGAGCGCAGTTGTGCGGCTTTTAGTCGCTGTAGGGCCCTGTAGTGTAAAGGCCCCGGGAAGATCACTTGTATGGAAGCGGAAAGGAGTCCAATTATCCTGGCTAGTTGTCTGACCGTAAGTGTTGGTCGAGCCAATGTTCTGCGGATCTCCTTCTTGATGATTTTCATCTTTGTGGGTGGCAGGCTTAGGGTCCCTAAGACCGCCCCTATTTCGAACCCTAGGAATTCTAAGGACTGGGAGGGGGTTAGTACCGACTTCTCCCAATTGATTAGGAATCCCAGGTTCTGTAGTAAAGTTACTGTCCAATCTAAGTGTTGTTGTAGCAGTAGGGTGTCTTGGGCCATGATCAGCATGTCGTCCAGATATATGATCATGCGGACGCCCCTGCTGCGCAGCAGCGCAACCACTGGCTTCAGCAGTTTTGTAAAGCACCATGGTGCTGACGATAGGCCAAACGGAAGGCACTGAAACCTCCAGGTCTGGGAGTCCCAATTGAATTGTAGGAGATGCTGCCACTCCTTTGCAATGGGGATGGTGAGATATGCATCTTGGAGGTCTAATTTGACCATCCAATCCCCCAGCCTGAGAAGATCTCGCAGGCAATGAATCCCTTCCATTTTGAAGTGATGATATCGTACAAATGTATTGAGTGGGCGTAGGTTGATCACTGGTCTTACCCCACCGCCTTTCTTGGGGACCAGGAACAGATTGCTCACGAACCCTGGGGAGTGGGGCGCGACCTGATAGATCGCACCTTTCTCCGCCAGTGCTATGATTTCTTTCGACACCAGTTCCCTGTCCTGAGGGGCGAACACCATCCGCCGTGGCATTGTGGATTGGGTTGGGTGTGTGACGAATTCTATATGGTACCCCGCTACTGTGTCGAGAATCCAGGCATCGAACGTGAGTCTGTGCCATGCCCCGATAAATTTGGAAAGTCTGCCCCCTACGTGTGAGGTATGAGAGAGGGGAAAGGGAAAAGCACTTACCATAAGGTCGTCGGCTGTATGTGGCACCCCTGTGACCTCTGGGCTGCCATGATCTGCCCCTGACCGGGAAGAAAGGTGCGGGGGTTCTGGTCTCCGCCTGTGGGACTCTTGGTGTCGTGGGGCCCCGGTAGCCCCGGTGGGAGCTCCGTGATGGGCGGCTGGACAGGCGGCCCCTGTACCTGCCAGCCCCTCCAAAAACCTTCGGGGAGAACACCCGTTTTAGGTTTGTTTGTGCCTTATCCAGGGCTGTAAATGTGCTCACGTAGGTGCCCAGCTCTTTTACAAAATTGTCTCCGAAAAGGAGGCCTTTTGCCTGGGGTCCAGGCTCGGTTATGGCCATGTTGACCAGCTTGGGGTCTATTTTCATGAGAATTGCCTTCCGCCTCTCAGTACTAAGTGCGGCATTTGAGTTGCCGATGAGGCAGATAGAGCGTTGTGCCCACTCTCGGATCACTAAGGGGTCTAGTGGTGCGCCACCTGAGATTGTCTCTTCGACCAAGTCGAAGATCTTTGCGCTAGGGCCCAAGGAGTCGAGCACCTTATCCTGGCAATGGCGCAGGGAGTAGTCTAGCCCTTTTTTGGCTTTCCAGCCAGCCTTACCCAGGAACTGGGCAATCTTGGGGTCCACCTCTGGCGTGGCGCACGCCATATCAGGGACCGTCGGGCGTGGGCACTCTGCCCTTAACTTATTCCTGGTTGTTTTATCCAGGGGCTTCCTTATTCTGGCCGCAATATATTGGGCCACATGGTCAGCTGGGAACCAGTCTGTGGACCTGGGGTGCTGCAGGTCGTCAGGGTTGAATAGGGGCTCGCCCTGGGGGTCTAGGATGATGGAATCATCCGTGGGCGCTTTTCCCTTAGCTGGTATGACTGCCAGGCTGCGCTCAGGGGAAGAGTTCCCTGATTCCAACGAGCCGAGTTCCTCGGACTCACTCATTACCTCCTCTATGTCCGAACCAGAGTCGGATGTCTCTGTCTGGGCTTTTGCCCATTTCCACGTCCTCACCGCTTTTGCCCGGTGGGTGGCTCTTTTGCGTGGGGGCCCCACGTCCTCAGTAGTGACAGGGCGTATCCTGTCCGTCGTGCTGTTTTTGGAGGTGTGTTTGCCCATATGGTGGGTCTTCTGCGTAGCCTTACGGCCGCTGAGGGGCACAGGTTTGTTAGGCTGGGCCATGGAGCGGGGGCCGCCGGGATGGCTGCTAGACGCCAGTATGGCATTACTAATGGATTGTGTCAGGGTTTCAGACATCGCCCCCATAGCCGTGACTATAGCTTGAGTGACCGACTTGGTCATGGTTGCATCCAGGAGTGAGTGAAACTCCTCCGAGTTTAACTGATCCATGGATGCCACGTCGTCTCGCAGTGGCGAGCATGGACGTGTTATCTGTGGCACGTGATGAATGGTGTCCTTACTGATATCAGTGGGGGTGGCAACCCCGTGGTCCTTAAGGTGTTGCATGACAGGTAGGTTGTAACAAAAGACACCTGAGGTGTGGGAGCAGTGACACCTAAATGGCTGGGTATACCAAGTGACACAATGAAATTTGTACCAGACTGGCACCAATGTGTGAGAGAAAAAATGCCCCTAGTGACCCTGTGCAGGGGCTAACAGGAAACCAACTGTGGGCAGTGAGCTCTGAGAACAGTGCAAGTGGGAGGATGCAGGCACAAACAAAGGCTGTCAGCTTACCAAGTGTTCCCTCCGGAATGGCCGCCAGGGAGCACTGGTAAGCTGCCAGCCAATGCAGCTGGCCAATCAGAGAACGCCCGCCCTCTGTTACAGGGCGGGCGCGGAAAAAAGCGCGGCAAAGCTCGGCCGGCTTACTGGAAATGGCCGCAGTGCCGAGCGGCCGTTATTGCGCATGCGCGAGCGGGTTCTGGAGTCAGAGCGCTTGCGCCGCGAAACGGCTGCCGCGGCTCTCAGAGGACAACAACGAACGGGTAATAAACTACCCGGTAAGGTGTGGGAGGGGGTAACCGCCGCAGGGGGGGGGAGGGAACCCCAGAGAAAACGGCTATCTGCCCTAAGGCAGACAGGCGCCGGCTCTAAGAACCGGCTAAGTAACCCACACAAATACCTAAGACATAAAATATTAAAGACACATAAACAAAACAATACAATACTAATTCAAAGAGGGTGCTCTGAGGAGAGCTAAAATTAGATGGTACTTAGCTGAGGCAGCAGCAAAGAAAGAGGAAGAGGAAAGGTCACATGAATAGTTATAGATAGAGGGACTGTTCCTATTGGTTAAGGGTATGATGTTGGGTTAACCCTTGGAGAACCTGTTAAAACTTTTTTCTATGAATGTTTATACCTTCTCTTTGCTGCTGAGGTATAATAAAGAAAGAGATAAGCATAATATGAGCCTCTGTGTCCTTTAATAAAATCAGGATTTGCTTCAATGCCTGGGATTCTAAGTTCAGCTATCTGATTTAAGTGCAGCAGCTCCTTCTGATGTTGTCACGGGTCACTGAATGACCTATTCAAGGGGGGAAACCTGGTTAGTTAATTTCTGGGTAGCTGATTTCTATGCATTTGCATCTCTCTGAGTTTGCAAGACCAGTTGAAAAAGGACGATGGGTTTTTGGACTGAAAGCATGTGTTATCCTATCAATGCCAACAGAATGGCAGCATGTCAAATAAGTTTAACTCCCCATATTACCCCTGAAATAATTTAAGTGTATACATAATTGAAATTTATTTAACCATTTTCACACTCAATGTCTCTGTTAATAAAAGTTAATAAATATATAACTTTATTGTCGAAGCATATAGGGTGTGGATTTTGAGTTTTATCAAATACTTTGTTCCTTCTGTCATTAAAATAACTAATTAAGTAGAGCAACTCGAGTGGTGTATTAAACCCTAAGTGAGAAGATAATGTAACATCATTCTAGTTTTAATGGTATGTGCCTACACAAATACATCTATATATGAACTCCTGCTATGTATATAAAACCAATATCAAAGTTTGCGATCTGTTTAGAAGTAGTACATAGGCAGGGATAATTTGGACATTTGCTATTGTGCTATATTCATGCAATCATGAAATATGACATGCTGATAACAGTTGCCTATTTGTCTGTAATTTTGAATTCTGCAACCCTATATTAAGGTTTTGGGACTGTTATATAAATTGTGCATAGATGGTTTCCTTGGATTAGATGTGGTCCATTGATTGGATGTGGTCCTTTTTATAAACCCTCATGCCTTGTAATTACAAAGAGAAAGTGTACATCTGTTTAAAGCAATATACCTTAGACACATGCATTATTTGTTAATCAAAGAACAAAGAAACCAGGTGTATCCAAGTGATTCCTATAACTGATACAATCTTTATTCAGCTGTATTTGTAAATTGGTAGTTTCATGATTGATTATGTCCGAACTTTAATGAAAAGAAAATATTTTCTTGCTTTGTACTTTTGAAGGCATTGCTGTGGCATGTCAATGCATGGCTCAGTGTTCTCAAAATATAATTAGTGTTATGGATTAATGTTATTAACTTGTAATGAATGGCTACATGGAGGCACTCATAATTAAAGTACAGTATAGTCACCAGAACAGCTTAATGTAGTTGTTCTCGTGTCTATAGCCTGTCCCTGCAGACTTTTCAATATAAACACTGCCATTTCAGAGAAAAGGCAGTGTTTACATTGCTGCCTAGTAACACCTAGTGGCAGTCACTCAGATGACTGCTAGAGGTGATTTCTAGTCCAGTGGTGCACAGGGGGCACGCGCCTACATTCAGCGTCTCCACGCTCTTTATGGAGACACTGAACATTCCCCATAGAGGTGCATTGATTCAAGGCATCTCTATGAGGAGATGATGATTGGCGCAGTGCAGCATTTCTCCATGCATGCGCAAAAGCCTCCCAAAGTTTTCTTATTGGAAAGCATTGGATTGGCTGATATAATCAACCCCCTCTGTTCCTGTACGTCCAGTGGTCTGATCTCAATTATGTGTCTGTTAGTCCACCCATTGTACAGCGCTACAGAATATGTTGGCGCTATATAAATAATAAAATAATAATAATAATAATCTCAGCCATGGAGGTGGGGCCAGCCACGACAAGACTGTCGCAGTATTGGAGAAAAGGTGAGTAAAATCAGTGATTCGGTCACCTAAAATGCCACATCAGGACTATAGTGTCAGAAATACATGCTTAACAGTGTTCCTTTAAATCACAACCCCTTTTTTATATTTGCCATGTCTATTGAGTTTAAAAGGGGCACTATAAGCACCAAAACAACTTTAGATGAATGGAGGGGTTTTGATGTATATATCATGCCCTGCAGTCTCACTTATCAATTCTGTGCCAAACTCGTTTTCCTGGCACTATAGTGCCCTGAGGGTGCCCGCCAGGCTGAAGTTGGAGGAAGGGGGTTAAACACTCACCTTTCTCCAGCGCCGGGCTCCCTCGGCGCTGGGGACTCTCCTTCTCCTTTGGACGTCATCAGCTGAATACGTATGTGTGGCAAGAGCCGCGCGCGCATTCAGCCAGTCCATAGTAAAGCATTTCTCAATGCTTTCTTATGGACGCTGGCGTCTTCTCACTGTGAAAGTCACAGTGAGAAGCGTGGAAGCGCCTCTAGCGGCTGTCAATGAGGTTGGATTAACCCTAGTGTAAACGTAGCAATTTCTCTGAAACTGCTATGTTTACATTAGGCAGGGTTAATCCTAGATGGGCCTGGCACCCAGACCACTTCATTAAGTGGTCTGGGTGCCTATAGTGTCCTTTAAAGCATTTTGCAGCCTTAGCCACACCTTCCCTACATGTGACAGTCTCCCTAAACATTACCTGTAAAAAAGATGTGATGTTTAAACTGCCTTTATTGCACTGCCTGTTTAACTTAACTCTTATGTCATGCAATGTTAATAGTCTGGAGGAGTCTTATGTGTGTGATTAAAATTCAATTAACAGAGCAGAAGACAAAAACCCAGTAAAGTAAACACACTGTACTGATTGCACTATAGGCACCCAGACCACTTCAGCTCAATGAGGGGGTCTGGGCGCTAGGACCATCTAGGGTTAACCCTGCAGCTGAAAACATAGCAGTTTCAGAGAAACTGCTATGTTTACATTAGGGTTAATCCAGCTTCTAGTGGCTGTCTCATTGACAGCCGCTAGAGGCGCTTCCGCGCTTCTCATTGTGATTTTCACAGTGAGAAGATGCCAGCGTCTATTGGAAAGCATTGAGAATGCTTTCCTATGGAATGACAGAATTCGCGTGCGGCTCTTGCCGCGCATACTCATTCAGCCGATGACGTCGGAAAGGGGAGGAGAGTCCCCAGCACCGAGGGAGCCCGGCGCTGGAGAAAGGTTATAATTTAACCCCTTCCTTCCCCTAGAGCCCAGCGGGAGGGGGGCCATGAGGGTGGGGGGGACCCATTAACACTATAGTGCCAGGAAAACTAGTTTGTTTTCCTGGCACTATAATGGTCCTTTAAACTATTTTTGATAGATGGTGTGTCAGTCACGGCCAGGAGAGGTGTGGTAAGGCCTGCATAAATGGAGACTATTGTGGTTTAACTCCTAACTGGCAGATAATTGAGCAGTGAGACTGAAGGGACATTATCCATATACCATAACTGCTTCATTAGGCTAAAGTTGTTTTGGTGTTTATAGTGTCTCTTTAAAGGGACACTCCACTGCCTAAATTAGAGAATATATAAAAATCACTTTTTAGTGGATGTACCCTTAATGAAAACAATGTATGTATTTATGTATGCAGGTATATCTAAAACAGCTTGTAAACGCTGCAGATCTCTTTCCTAAATCCTTTACACTCACATCTTTCTGTGGCTGTCCAATCACAGACTTCCCAATGCAGCTCAATAAGACGTCTTTGCAAGGCAGGTGACCTGAGTAATTGCTGCTTCTTTAGTTTAGCTCAATAGCGCTAACCAAACCAGGAAGTAATAGGACCTGTTGTGTGCTTAAAAGCCAAAGGGATGTAACCAGGTTAATTTGTAAAAGTGCTAATTTCGGTTGAAATCTTCACTTTATGCAACATGGGGATAATCTTCACTTTATGCAACATAAAGACTCTGAACACATAAAGTATTTCAGCAAGCTAAGTATCCGTTTAAACTAGATTGAATTTTGACATAAATACAGAGGTGACATTGATCAAAGAATTGCAAACATTTGGACAATTTAAATGAACGGATAAAATCAGCTGCTCAACTGTTTTGGCCTGCGATTTCCATGCCAGTTCTCCATAATTCACAAATTTAAATTGAGCACCAGTGTTTATACACTAAACCCCAAATTTTATTAAATCTGAAAACTGAAGTGCAATATTTAGACTAAAATAAATGTTTTTGAAATTTCTCCAAATTTTTGCTAAGAGGTTTTCTTTTCAATTGATTCCCTCATTACTAGCTGCGCCTTCACATTTTTAAATAATGCAGGCTCATAACATAGCTTTATTTTATTATTATTATTATTATTAATATTGCCATTTATATAGTGCCAAGAGATTCCATAGAATCTTACAATATTATGAGAGGGGGGATGACTTACAGGAACGATAGATTGAAGAGGACCTTACAGTCTATATTATTTAAGAATGTTGCTGCATTGGTGAATCTGTAAAATGTAGAAAGGAAATTATTTTGCATGTTTGTATTTCCTTTATGTTTATATTTGACGTTTACTTTATTATGTCTACAAATTATTGTTTATGATTTTGCAAAACATTTAGTCAAATGCTGACTAACAACCACAAAGCCTTCGCAAACATTGCCCACATTATTTCCCTAGTCTTATCTCCACATACTCTCCCAGCCTCCCTGGTAGCTCACAATTTTCACCTTTCATCTTTTACATCACCTCCTCCTACTCCTGTCTCCAGGACTTTTCCCATGGTGCAACTATTCTTTGGAATTCCTGCCCTCATTCTGCCAGCCTCTCCCTCGCATTCCATAGCTTCAAAGTTTCCTGAAAACCCACCTATTCAAAGACTCTTTTTTTTTTCTTCTTTCTATTCTGTGCTGTACAGATTTTTACCTGGCTTCCATCTAACCAGCCCATCTCTCCAATGGTTGTCTCTTACAATTTTATTTTTCTGTCCTATGCCGCCCCATCACGTTCTATCTCTAATTCTCCCAAAAGTCCTTTAAGACTGGATGTTCTCAAGAGCAGGACTCACAGTCCATCTGTACAATTTTACCCATGTGCATGTTATATTTTTACTGTTCTACTAATTTGTCACAGTAAAAAACACAAGAAAATGGGAAGTGCAATAAATACCACCTATACATACTGTGTAATACCTTCCTGCGCAGTTAAAGGACCACTATAGTCACCCAGACTACTTCAGCTCAATGAAGTGGTCTGTGTACCAGGTCCCCCAGGTTTTAACCTTTCAGATGTAAACATAGAAGTTTCAGAGAAACTGCTATGTTTACATTGCAGGGATATTCCAGCCTCTAGTGGCTGTCTTCCTGACAGCCGCTAAAGGCGCTTCCCCAAAAATCGCATTGAGCACGCAGAACGTCCATAGGAAAGCATTGAGAAATGCCTTCCTATGGGCGTTTTTAATGCACGCATGGCTCTGGCCGTGCATGCGAATTCAGCTTCACTCAGGAGTTGATGTTGGAGGGGGAGGAGAGGTCACCAGCGCTGAGGAAAGGTAAGTGGTTGGGGGGGACCTAAGGTTTATATAGTGTCAGGAAAACGAGTTTGTTTTCCTGACACTATAGTGGTCCTTTACGGATTAACACACATCAACATTTAAATCACGATGGAAAAGAGAGAAATAAAGAACAAAACTCTCCTAGTGTAGCTGTATAACTGCTAATACACTGTTTAAATACAAATGCTCACTGACACTTTACTGAGTGGAGCAGTCACCATGGAAACTAATAGAAAACTATAAACATTTTATCACTTGGAATCCACACATTTTTTCCTTGGTAATTCTCCCCATATGTGTGCTATCAGCACCAGAACATGATAATGCAGGAATTTTGACTTCCACTTTAAATGAAGTATATGAGAGCAGATTCCCAGTGGTTCCCCAGTGTTTGAAGTTCTACAGAGTTGTGGAATTTTGTGTGTTTATCTGATTAATGTCAAGCACTTCCCTGTAAGCTCTTTGGTACACAATTTAAAGTAAAGCCTATTCAATAAATGCAAGCTTTAAATAGTGCTTAAGTTAACTCACATTTTATATATAAAATATCCGTTGTTGAGGGAACAAATATCGTCTTCAATCTGTAACAGAGAAAAAAAATTGCCTACTTGTCTTGGGTCCTATGAAAAATAGCATCCTTATTCTCATGAGATGATTTTATTAAAAAATCTCTCTAGATTTCAAAAGGGCTAAACCCGCTTTGATTTTGAAGTACCCTTGTTGTAGCAATATATTGTTGTTTGCTAAATAATAATAATTTTAAAAAAATAACATCCGTCTCTATCAGCGTGCTTTAGAATTGTTTTAGAATATGTGATTATGTCTAAACAGATACCTTTACATAAATAGAATAATCAATGTACTTAATGTGTCATACTTGTATACATATAATTGAAAGTAATTTGAACACTGCCGCTTTAAAGGCCCAATCCCACATCCATCCCTGCAACAAGAAGGCCATTTAATTTTACTCGTTTTTTTTTAGGTACTTGTTTTAATTATTTTTAACAGGTTATTTTGGTTAGTATAATTTTGGATTAGGTGAATTAAAGTTTGCTGGTATTATAAAAATAGATCTACCTCTAAAATAAATTTATCAGAGGAGATTTCTCAACAAATCCTTGTCTTCCGATGTGGCACTAAACCTTGTTTAGCAGCTATTGTGATGAGTTTTGCAGTTGGTTGGTTAGAGCAGTGGTCACTGCCTTAGAAGCCCAATCGAGAAGGTTTGAATCCAAGTCAGACCACTTCACCAGTAATTGTCCTTTGGCAAGATACATAAAACTATATATAGCAGCCTACCTTAAATCCTTATAGTTTGTAAGCTTGTTTGAGCAGAGCCTTCCCCACCCCTTTCTATAATTGTAAAGCACTCACGGTGGAAAATACTGTATAGATACCAATAGTAATCCAGCAGTCACAATAACCCATGTTCTGTATCCTGTAATGACCTGCTGTGTATGGACAGGTTTCTGTTTTGGCCCTTCCAGCATTTAAAGGAATGCTATAGTGTTAGGAACTTTGACACTAAAGTGTTTCCTTGCCCTGTCCCCTTGCGGCACATTTAGGGTTAAATAACACCTTCTTTTATTCACCTGATTCTAGGTGCAGAGGGGAAACCTAATGTGCATGCTTGGTGAGCGCTGTGTGCAAATTAGTCCTTCCCCATAGGAAAGCATTGGATCAGTCCTTTCCTATGGGGATTTTGAAGATGCTGGACATACTCATGCAAAGCGTGAGGACATCTAGCTTCATTTCACATAGTCAAACTCTGTGACACAGCAAGAAGTGTGCTTAGTGGCTGACTGGTAGACACCCACTAGAGGCAGTTTTAGCCCTGCAATGTAAAAAATTGCCATTTCTGTGAAACCTTTGCAAAGTTAAAGGGGAAAGGAAAACTGCACAGACACGATTTTAATGAGCTGAAGTGGTCTGTGCGCCTTTAGGGTCTCTTTAAAGATATGAATAATTGCCAATACATACACGCCTTTGTTCCCCTCAGGGATTGTAATTGTGTTGCACATTTTAAGGCTTTTAAGAGTCAAATTGCCTTTTTACTTGAAATCACTTTTGCATGTCTGTAGGCCTTTATTTTATGACCTCTTAAACTGTAAACAAAGCCTCTGACACCCACTGCAGATCCTGTTCTTTTAAAAGTCCTCTTTGTTGACTTTACAATGGGTTATTCATCTTTTTGGTTACATAAGAGTTGAAAGCTATGATTTTACATACTAAATATCAGGCCTTAAATGGTGACTGTTCAGTACACATCCAATTAAAATGGTTTTATTCATACAAAAACATTTGAGGGCTTGCCCTGATCAATGCACAGTGGCCAATGATTTTAATTGGGCACATACAGACATCTAAGTTTTGAAGCGGTTTAAAGTCAAGTTCCATTTTCAATTGGATGCCAAGAGGAGTAACATCCGTGAACACAGAGATTAAAATATTCATTGCAGTTGGATTTTCTAAGGAGCTGAGGCATTCTAGGACAACATTTGTAGAATTTCGGATGTTGCTTAAATTTTCTTCAGTGAAGGAGAGATTATAACCTATCATGACCTTTATTTCCATAGGAAATGTTTTTTTATGGAAATGCTGTCATGAAAGAACTTTTAAATAACACATAGATCTCTATATGAGCCCTAGTTTATTCCTTAGTATGCAAAAACAGCCCACACAGAAACTTGCTGAGTGTTTTCATTTTGTAAGCAAGAATGGAAATGTGATGATAAAAGGTACTATTGATATCAATGTAACTGCCAATACCTGCATTGTAATACCTCTCCTAATACCCTAAACACATTCTCTAAGAAAATAATTCTACCAGCTCTTTCTAGTTATATAGAGTCATCAGCCCCTCTCTATTTTTAATAGGGGTAACTCAATACTTTATACATTTTAATTTTATTAAGTTTACCAGAGATCAGATATTGAATGTAGCCTGCAGTGAATCATGTGCACCCTGCTATATGGCCATTTTTACATGAATTGATAAAATACCATAGCAGGAAATGGCGTTTTTTCTAGAGACTTGATATTTCCATTTTGTTGACATTTAAACTTGTTCCCACTTGTGAGAATGCTGCCAGAAGTACTTGAAAAAATAAATAAATAAAAATAAATCAGACAAGTTGGGAAAAAAATAACTTTTCCAGGACCACATAGAATGACATCATTTCATTTTTCTTGTATAAAAAGTTAATATATTGATGAAATAATACATTTTAATAGTTTTATATATGTACTTAATATTGTGCTAGAAATGCATACCAATTTTCGGCAGTAAAAGTCTGCACGTATTAAAAAAATAGCAAACCTCCATTTTGTAAATGTGCTCATTAAGTCGCTGCTTGTTTTTTTTTATTGTAGTAATACTGTGCGGAGCGGCCTATTCCCAGGAGCCAGATTTTAGCCATGGCTGTGCGGAAGGCAGCTGCTATCCAGCCACTGGAGACCTCCTGATTGGACGCGCAGATCAGCTCACCGCTTCATCTACATGTGGTATCCAAAAGCCAGAGTCGTTCTGCATCGTTAGCCATCTTCAGGTAATAATACATGGTTTCCATTTCCAGAATGATGGCATTTCTTTTGCTCCCATCACGCTTACAAAACTTGGTAGTCTGAGTTTTCTCATGAAATTTGAGCAAGGAAGAATGCACACAACAAATCCTATGGGGGATTGACAACCTTTCCCAGGCATGGCTGAGGCTCTCCCCCTCAACATTTCCCATTAAACAGAAAACATCTGGCTGGAGGCTGGGCAGTAATGTGAATATTCACACACATATGCATTGTTTGAGCAGTTGCATCTGTTTAGTGTTTCCTGCTCCAGTTTACATTGCTTTTAGATTGGAAGGCCTTTCATTGTCTAATTAACTCCTTATTTGCTAAACACTATTGGATAGCACCATGTACTCTAAATGATGTTGTAAAAGACATTGGGTTATGAGTTTTCCAGTGACATGACTATATTGTACTAAATATTAAATTATTTTAAAATATTTTTACAGTAAGGTATATAGCTTTACAGTATTATTTTGAAACTGGACAAAATTGTTGTTATGAGACTTAAACGGCAATTTGTTACTTCTATTCGGTCGGAATTAAACACTGCAATCAAATGCATCCAGTACAAACATGTCGTAAGACATAAGTTGAAGAGATGAGATCTAGTCAACACTTAGTGTCACTTAGAACCAAAAGATTCCTTCGGAGACAACTGTTTCTCTTTGAATTCCAGAGCATGTTGTTTCTCTGATTTCCAGAGAGATGTCTAGACAATTTCCTGAATACTGTAATTTCCTTTTTCTTCTGCACTCTGGCTAATTTTTTGGAGAGTCCTATGAAGTTATACAGCGAAAACATTGTCTCAAGATCAGAGATAAGAGAACAAATTTGAAATATTTAATCAATTAATCAGTATAATAATGTAAAGCTGTTATTTTTATCATGGATCACTGTGCAGCTAGATACATTTCACTTGTCTATATCAATTTTGGTTTTCTGTTTACTTGTTCTGGCAGGATATTTTTTTGTGATTGTTCAGAATTGAAGGCCCATCCAGAAAGAGTGTTACATTAAATCTACGCCAGGCCAGTCTATGAGAAAACAGAAATTAGAGTCCAGTCTACACAAAAAAATCACATCACTGTCATTAGGCAGAATTCCAGGGAAGATTCTCAAGCACAGTTTCCTAGAGTTTGCATTATTTTGGGGTGTCTTTAAAGGTAAATTGGTATCAATGGGCATAGCTGAATTTATCTCTTGCATGCCCTCTCTACCCCAGCCCTATCTAATTCATAACAAAAGCCAAAATGTGTCCTTACTGCATCTTGCTAAAAATAAGCCGACCTTAAGAATAACTCAACATCATAAATGAGTTTCAATGTTTACTCCAACACTACTTTATTTTGAGTGTGGTGTTAAGACAACTCTCCCCGTTTGTGAGTCCTCAAGAATTTACATTGACGAAAGTAATATCTATGTTTATGGAAACCTTGTTAATAGCTGCTTGTCTTTGTCAGGAATCTCATGTTACATTGTATAAAACATTCTTATCATTTTTTTTTAGGAGGAGAAAAAGTGTTTTATATGTGATTCCAGGGAGAGTTATAATGAATATACTAATACAGAAAGTCATCGCATTGAAAATTTAGTTACTTCTTTTTCACCAAACCGTCATGATTTATGGTGGCAGTCAGAAAATGGTAAGTAGCTTTAATGGAGTTGTTTCTTAAAGGACCACTATAGTGCCAGGAAAACATACTCGTTTTCCTGGAACTATAGTGCCCTGAGGGTGCCCCGCCCGGCTCTGGAAGGGGGAAAGGGGTTAAAACTTACCTTTTTCCAGCGCTGGGCGGAGAGCTCTCCTCCTCCGATCCTCCTCTTCTCCTCCCCGTCGGCTGAATGCGCACGCGCGGCAAGAGCTGCGCGCGCATTCAGTCGGTCACATAGGAAAGCATTCATAATGCTTTCCTATGGACGCTGGCGTGCTCTCACTGTGAATATCACAGTGAGAAGCACGCAAGCGCCTCTAGCCTGTCAATGAGACAGCCGCTAGAGGAAATAGGGGAAGGCTTAACCCATTCATAAACATAGCAGTTTCTCTGAAACTGCTATGTTTATGAAAAAATGGGTTAACCCTAGCTGGACCTGGCACCCAGACCACTTCATTAAGCTGAAGTGGTCTGGGTGCCTAGAGTGGTCCTTTAAACTCTAAATTGGGACTTCAATTAGGGTCCCACTGGTTGAAATGGGCAAATCGGCCTCCATGCAGTTTCCCTAAATAACTGGTTTGCAATAGCAGCTCAAACTTGCTCTGTCTAGTGGAGAGTCCTCTGACAATGAAAAGAGTCTAGGTGAAGAAGGTTTTCTGCAGACCTTCTCCTATGTATACATTACATTATTACTGAAGAATGGGTCAGTTTTTTTTTTTGTTTTTTTTTTGTGGAATTCATTTTAATTATTATTCTTATGATATGGCTTTACAACAAACTAAACAGTATGGTATATCTTCTGTAAAAAAACGCAATTAGAAAATGCACAAACCCTCAAAACGAGCCAGGTTCCTTTTAATATGTGTAGAATAGGTTGTCCAACTAATGCCATGTACGTAGTTTCTGTCCCTGTGAAGAAAGAATAAGAACCATTGCATTGTATTGTACCCTGCATTGTACACTATGGATTACTGACGTTCTGATTCACTTTTACGTCATATTTATATTTATGTTTGACGTTGATATACGTGTTTTCTATGTTTAAGTATATTAAGATACACGCTTATTACATTCCAAGATAACTACTAGCTAGTAATGCAATCTTTATTTGCTTTCTATCTGCTAAACGGACAGTTTTACTTTTCTTTCCTTTAGTTCTAAAGCCATTTTCCGTTGATGTTACTGTCTGGATTGAAATTACTATTATTATTATTATTGCCATTTATATAGCGCCAACAGATTCCGTAGCGCTTTACAATGTTATGAAAGGGGGGTTTAACTATAAATAGGACAATTACAAAAAAACTTACAGGAACGATAGGTTGGAGAGGACCCTGCTCAAACCAGCTTACATTCTATAGAAATGCCCTGTGTTTAAGATACCTATAACAGGAATCAGATATTCATGATTTTACTTATTATCTTTCAAAAGGAAAGGAAAATGTCACAGTCCAGCTGGATCTTGAAGCCGAATTCCATTTCACTCATCTCATCATGACCTTTAAGGTAAGGAATCCGTGACATCTTGTTAAAGATAAAATTACTACCAGTGTGGAACTCTTCTATACAAGGGGGCATTGTTATGGCACTAGATGGTATGCATTTAGCATGTTGACATGAAAACAGGGTAGTGGGAGTATTTCAGACTCAATATGCTATAATATATGTTATGTAGTTCGTCTTGTGAAACGATCTAAATGATGCATTGAGATCTGTGATAATATACAGTTGCAAGAAAAAGTATGTGAACCTTTTGGAATGATATGGATTTCTGCACAAATTGGTCATAAAATGTGATCTGATCATCATCTAAGTCACAACAATGGACAATCACAGTCTGCTTAAACTAATAACACACAAAGAATGAAATGTTGCCATGTTTTTATTGAACACACCATGTAAACATTCACAGTGCAGGTGGAAAAAGTATGTGAACCCTTGGATTTAATAACTGATTGAACCTCCTTTGGCAGCAATAACTTCAACCAAACGTTTCCTGTAGTTGCAGATCAGACCTGCACAACGGTCAGGATTAATTCTTGATCATTCCTCTTTACAGAACTGTTTCAGTTCAGCAATATTCTTGGGATGTCTGGTGTGAATCGCTTTCTTGAGGTCATGCCACAGCATCTCAATCGGGTTGAGGTCAGGACTCTGACTGGGCCACTTCATAAGGCGTATTTTCTTCTGTTAAAGCCATTCTGTTGTTGATTTACTTCTATGCTTTGGGTTATAGTCCTGTTGCAACACCCATCTTCTGTTGAGTTTCAGCTGGTAGACAGATGGCCTTAAATTCTCCTGCAAAATGTCTTGATAAACATGGGAATTCATTTTTCCTTCGATGATAGCAAAGCAGCCCCAAACCATGATGCCCCACCACCATACTTCACAGTTGGGATGAGGTTTTGATGTTGGTGTGCTGTGCCTTTTTTTCGCCACACTTTGTGTTGTGTATTTCTTCCAAACAACTCAACTTTGGTTTCATCTGTCCACAGAATATTTTGCCAGTACTGCTGTGGAACATCCAGGTGCTCTTGTGCAAACTGTAAACGTGCAGCAATGTTTTGTTTGGACAGCAGTGGCTTCCTCTGTGGTATCCTCCCATTAATCCATTCTTGTTTAGTGTTTTATATTGTAGATTCACTAACAGGGATGTTAGCATTTGCCAGTGACTTTTGTAAGTCTTTAGCTGACACTCTAGGATTCTTCTTCACCTCATTGAGCAGTCTGCGCTGTGCTCTTGCAGTCATCTTTACTGGACGGCCACTCCTAGGGAGAGTAGCAGCAGTGCTGAACTTTCTCCATTTATAGACAATTTGTCTTACCGTGGACTGATGAACAGGAAGGCTTTTGGAGATACTTTTATAACCCTTTCCAGCTTCATGCAAGTCAACAAGTCTTAATCGTAGGTCTTCTGAGAGCTCTTATGTGCAAGGCATCATTCACATCAGGCAATGCTTCTTGTGAAAAGCAAACCCAGAACTGGTGTGTGTTTTTTATAGGGCAGCTGTAACCAACACCTCCAATCTCATCTCATTGATTGAACTCCAGTTGGCTGACATCTCACTCCAATTAGCTCTTGGAGATGTCATTAGTCTAGGGGTTCACATACTTTTTCCACCTGCACTGTGAATGTTTACATGGTGTGTTCAATAAAAACATGGCAACATTTCATTCTTTGTGTGTTATTAGTTTAAGCAGACTGTGATTGTCTATTGTTGTGACTTAGATAATGATCAGATCACATTTTATGACCAATTTGTGCAGAAATCCATATCATTCCAAAGGGTTCACATACTTTTTCTTGCAACTGTATAAAACATTGTATGTCAAAAAAGGTATTGGGCTTTTTCTGCCAATCTGCTCAGGCATCTGTTTAGTTACACATTTTTGTGGCACTAAAAAAAAAATATAAAGCAATGAAACTTATGCCTAAACAATGTCTTTGTTTTACTTCCAAACAGATGTGTAGAAATAACAACATTTGGTGTTTAACATACAGATCACATTATAGTAGACAGATGGATTTCAAACTGTAACAATAATCTTGCTTTTCTGGCAGACTCTGATGAATACTAGTGCTTTTGGCAGATAATGACTTTTCTTTGCATAATCAGTTGAATATTTTTTCAAGCAGATGTTTACATTGAAATTGTTTATTAAAAAAAATGTCTAATGTGATTGTTTTAGACATTCCGGCCATCTGCAATGTCAATAGAAAGATCTTCAGATTTTGGAAAAACATGGAAGGTATACAGATATTTTGCATATGATTGTGAGTCCTCATTCCCTGGTATATCCACTGGGCCAATGAAGAGTGTAGATGACATCATCTGTGACTCCAGATATTCCGACATTGAACCTTCAACAGAAGGAGAGGTATATTATTATTTTCCTTTTGATTAATAGTTAAGGTACTTTTCTAAGATATTTCCGATTACTTTTATTGCACATTGTGATTTTCTTGTGCTGTCTTGTGGTTTAGGTAATTTATCGTGTCTTGGATCCAGCTTTCCGAATTGAAGACCCCTACAGTGTGAAGATTAAAAGTGAGTATTTTTAAATACTAAGATGTATTACAAGGTTTTAAATAGTTTACAGCACTGATTGTGGAATTTGTTACATTAAAGTGATACTCCAAGCACCACAACCACAACAGCACACTGTAGTGGTTATGGCACAACAAGTTCAATGACACAATTCACAAGTAGACTTTCAAACCATTAAAAATATATATGTTTGACACCTACCTCTCTTTGTCGAATCTTTGCACTGCTTCCAGTCTGAACTTGTTTGTTGAAGCTGGTTTTGGGAAAGTTCATAATTCCACAATATCATATCAGCTCATACCAAACTGGGACATTATTCATTGTTTGGAGCATCAGCTGACGGCCAATAAATAAGGTCCCACTTGGTTTGAGTTGGCATGATAATGCTGAGGCAGGAAATTCCAATTTAACATACAGCTCAAAATGGAAGCAGCACAGGCGACCAGGAGGAACAGGTAAGTGTCAAATAATGTTTACCAGTTTACTATTGGATTGTACTAAGGGACTCCTGACACCATAAACACTACATTGCACTGTAATGGTTATGTGTGAAGAATGTCCCTTTAATAAAATATTAAACAGCACAAATTGTGTTTTCATAATTCAGGTACACCTTAATGCTGTACTATAAAGCATTGTTTTCTTTGTAAATATTTTACAACAAAATATATGAGGTATTCTTCAGGTTTCCTTCACCAAAGTACAATGATACAGGAGACCTAGGAGGGCAAAACCAAATAAAATGACCATAAGATGTGTTAGTGTGTCTAGTATCCTAAAGCAATTTACATTATTAAGTATTAATTCAACATTCTTTTTAAAGGTCTATTGAGGATTACAAATTTAAGAATCAAGTTCTTAAAGCTACACACTCTGGGAGACAATTTGCTGGATTCAAGAGTGGAAATTACCGAAAAATACTATTATGCCATTTATGACATGGTTGTTCGTGGTAACTGTTTCTGTTATGGACATGCTAGTGAGTGTGCACCAGTGAAAGGCTATCCTGACAACGTGGAAGGAATGGTAAGCATATCTTTTCGATCTTTTAAAATGATTTGAATTTTTTTAATGAAAAATCAGTCTAATTTTTACAAAAGGTTTTACATAAATATGACTAAAAAAGTGTTCAGCCATTAAAAATATTTATTGTTGCACTTCCATTCCTTGGATGCTATGCTTAGGAACTGCTTTGAACTACCAAAATGCAACTGGACATGTATTATAGTAGCCATCTTTGAGGATGCAGAAGCTATCTTTAGTTCAGTATCTTGTATGGTTGATGTGTATACATCAGCGGTGGAACTACCGCCGGTTTGGCTGCACTGGTGACTGCACGCTTGAGGGGCCCATCGGGTGGCTCAAACACTGAGGACCACCCAATGGATATTGCTGAACAGGGGCATGGTCAGGTGCCTTGCGCTTTTAACAGCGCAAATGGCCCCTTTCACGTAAGTGATGCTGGGAGGACGTGAGTGCCTGTCACTTCCTGCCAGAGACAGTGACAGCGACGTGCAGGACGCAGAGAAGAGATGGCTGCATGGCAGGGAAACAAAATGAGATCCAGCTCCACACTTTTTCATCAGCCTCAGCCAGCAGCAGAACGCCAGGCAAGCCACCCTCCGGCACTCAAAATGTATGTTAACAGGAGGGTGGCTGCAAATATAAAAAAACAGGCAAGCCAACATTCGGCACTCAAAATGTATGTTAACAGGAGGGTGGCTGCAAATATAAAAACATATGACCTGTATCTGTGTGTGTTTTTGTCAGTGTGTGTCAAGGTGTGTGTGTATGTGTCATGGTGTGTACATATGTGTGTGTTAATGTGTAGGTATATCTGTGTAAGTGCATATGTGCATACATTCCAGCAATCTAACACCAACACCACATACAAACACATCCCTGCATTAAAACGCAAACACTACACATACGTGCACCACTGCATTTCATAGGCAATAGTACATACAAATACAACCCTACATACAAACACATGCTTGCATTCAAACGCACAAACATTACTCACAAATACAACCCTGCAAGAATGGGCAAAAGTTAGATCCTTATATGACAGATGGGGATCTACCTTTTGACCACCATTGCTCTAGAGTGGGCAAAAACATTTCTTGCACCTCTCTACATTGGTTTTGCCACTGGTACACATTATATCTTAATACAACAAAATGATCAGAATTATCACTATACTATCCCAACCTGCTTCCTACCTCCATGTTTAAATTCTACCTCTTGGTAATCCTGTGGATGAAATATTGCAGCATGCATGATTCTTTATAACCTGTAGCTCGACAAGCTCAGGGCAGGTTTTGTGGACTTCCCATTGCCCCTGAGGCTATCGACATTAGATAGATCTTGCAGTGTGGGTTTCCAGATGTGAATTAGTGTGCTACTGAACATTGGTATCAGACATTTGGAGGTTAAATCATCTTCCTTCACCTTATGAATTTGCCAGAACCATTTATCGCCTATTGTATTAAAATTAAATAATTTAAAACCAATTTACTATAATTGCTCAATCTTTTCCAGTTATTGCCAATTAGTAACTGTATCTGCCTAAGGGTCGTTCTTTGTAAATGTATATTACTACTGAAATTGTGTCTCTAAACCTTTCAAGCATGTTATTTTTTTGGGGGGGAAATAAAAAGTTTTTTTTTTTTTTTTGCAACTTAATTAAAACAAGAAGCATATATTTTCACAATTTCCATTTATTTGTATTCTCTGTTCCCAGGTGCACGGCCGGTGTGTTTGTAGACATAACACTAAAGGATTAAATTGCGAGCAATGCTTGGACTTTTATCATGATTTGCCTTGGAGACCAGCCGAAGGACGAAGCAGCAATGCTTGTAAAAGTATGTTCACAGATAGTAAATTTGTCATTGACAAGTCTGTGGATAGTATTTTGTAAGGATGACATTATTATAGTATTGACAAACTCTAAACAACAGACATACTTGAATTCAAAGTAACACTTTACCACAAAAAAAATAGTACTTGCTTGAGGCTCTAACCCCAGACAAGCTAATTATTCTTGTGCTGTTACTCATAGTAAATATATTTGACTTTCCAATACCATAATTAGTAATAGTCATGTGATAGTCAGTGCTGAGTGTGTGTGTGAATTTGCTTATCTATGGTGTGTTTTTTTTTTGTCTTTATTTTTGCATGACATGTGTTAATAAACATTATTAATGGTACAGTGTTATACAAGCCACACAGAAAACAATGTTGCTAATATTCAAAGTTATTTAACCGAATAGTGTTACGTTGTGCATTCATAGGTGACATTGCTACAACCACAACTTATAAAGTTTGCAAGGTAGCTGTCATGGTTTTTATAATAAGATTCTCCTTAGAGACCGGGGAGAGGAAGAAGATAAAAATTAAAAAGAGATAGTGAGAAGGAGTAGAGGGGTCCAGTGGACAGGGGGGCGTAGAGACCCTCAGGGTATATGTGAGTTGCCCCGCTTATCCAGCAATGTTAAGCTCCCAGAGGACTGTTCTACCATGGATTCCAAACTTTATGGAATGCTTTAGTAGTTCCCCTCACCCTAGCCGTCAGGTTATCCATAAGGTGTATCTCTTTGATTCTATTAATCACTCCTGCAATATTCAGGGTCCCTTGTTTCAACCAGGAGAATGCACTGTCCTCCGTGTGGCCAAGGTTATTTTATGAATGAGTTTTTGTTTGTTTCTAGGCCAACCCTCTGGATATATTTAGCAGATGTACCCATGGGGTCTAATTCCTGGGCCCTAGAGAACACTTGAGTCAACAAATCCCTAACTAGGATCCAGTATCACATCATAAGTGGGCACTCCCACCACATATGCAAGTACGTCCCCTTCAGGCCACATCCCCTCCAACAGATATCAGTTGTACCAACGGAACATTGTTTTACAGGATTGCTCCTGCAGGGTTACGCGAATAGAAGAGGTATTCCTAGCCTCCCATATCTCTTGCCATTCAATACCATTTTGTTCCTCGCCCAGATCCTATTCCCACTGATCAGTGTATGTTAGTCTACCCCATTCCCCGGTCTCCGAGCAGAGGTGAGCGTAAAGCAAAGTAATAAGACCTTTAGGCATAATTTCGGACATGCATATACGTTCAAAGAACTTCATCAGTTTATTTGCCGCTTCTTTGATGTGAGATTGTTTAATAAAATCCCAGATATGTAAAGAAATCGGCAGGTGTAAAGTGCTCCCTTAGCTTAAGGTCATCAAAAGGTATGACTTCAGTACCCTGGAAAAGTAGGCCTGCCTGTTCTAGATTCCGGAAATCCCTAGCTGTCATACCAGGGACAAAAGCCCTATTGCGAAGATAAGGGAGAAGGGGATGTCCGTAGTCTCAGGGAGCTGAGAATTGCCGGACAAGTAACTCTAAGTATGGGTCTATAATGTTTGGGTACCCACATGATGAATTGAGGTAAGTCAGCCCCCAACATAACCAATTCTATATCCACCCACTTCCTGTCGTCTGCAGGAGGGTGCCACATTGCTACTTATTTTATTTTTTTTGCCATATAAATGTACTGATTTTTGCCATATAAATGTACTGATAGCTTGTTGCAATGGTAGTAAATGTGCCCTGGTGAGGTGTGGAGGTAGTGCCTGAAACAGGAAAAGGATTCTTGGCAGAACGTTATGATTTCTCAGGGACTGCCGTTAAATGCATACTTAAGAAAGCAGTCTTCTATGTGTATGTTATATATATATCCCGTATCAGTGCCGTGTCCGCAGCAGGCATCTCCACCGGAATCTGGTCTGGGTTTTAGGGTCGTAGCTAGAAGGGTATCCATTTTATTTGCCTTCTCGTAAAAGGTCAGTTTGGACCAAAGTATTGACTTAGCTGTATCACCTAAAAGTAGCTCTCTTATGGAATGCCTCACCTCTTCCAGTCGTCTAAAAGTCTCTCCCTCAGGGAGTAATTGGTGCTTTTGTTCTAATGTTCTTAGTTCGGTCAAAAATCTTTCTAATGTTTGAGAGTTCTTTTTCTTCTTGATAGTCGCTAATCTTATAAGAGATCCCCTCACTACCGTCTTATGGGCTGCCCAAATAGTTTCTACTCTCACGTTGGGGGTGTCATTCGTGTTGGAAAACTCTATGATATCGTTACGGATCTGCTCTGCGATCTCTTGGTCTTGAAGTAAGGATGTATTAAGTTTGCATGTCCATAGGGATGCTACACAGAGGTTCCCCAGAGTAATGAACACCACGGCATGATCTGACCATGTAATGGCACATACTGCGAGCTTGTAATGCATGCTAAGCTACAGCCATTGACCAAGAAAAGGTCTATTCTGAAATAGGTGCGGGGCTGAGTAAAAAGTATAGTCGGCGTTGCTTGGATGATGTGATCTCCACACATCTAAAAGGCCCATGGTGGTCACAAACCCATTAAATAATTTGTCCTGACCTCCCCTCCCCTGATATCTAGGTACACCCCTGTGAGCACTTCTGTCTGCAGCAGGGCACCACTGCATTGAAGTCCCCTCCCGCATCATACCGTGTGGAAGTGCCTGTATCTTGGACGCTTAATTGTCCCAGAACCCGGGCTCCCACTGATTCTGCTCGTATACATTGATTAAGTGGATTGTGTGGGAGAATAATTGTGTGGGTGCTGGATAGTATGATATAGCGCCCATCCGCATCTAGTTCGGATGACGTAATTCGCAGAGGGCAGCTATTACGGATCAAGATAGCGTCGTCATTGCACTTATGGTGTGCCTGAGCTTAATGAGTCAGTCCATATGTATGGTCCCTTAATCTAAACTTAACATGTTTAGGCAAGTGCGTCTCTTGGACGAAGGTAATATCCAACTTTATCCCCTTCAATTCGCGGAACAAGAGGCGTCTCTTGTTAGGGACGTTAAGACCCTTTACATTCAGTGAGCTAATCTTTATAGCCATGGTCTAGTTAGCAATGTTGTGCTAGTGGATATGCCCACCTCTGCCCCCTGGAGATAGTCATCTGGTAGCCACTCTCACCATGATCCATCAGGCCCCGGATGAGAAAGGAAGAAAAAAAAGTAGGAAAAGAAAGATGTCATGCAATATGCATACCAGACTAGGAATAAAAGTTGTCTGGTCTTACAAACCGCCAGACCCATTTGGGGTACATGGTCCTGCACCCTCAAAGCGCTCGTGAGAGATGTAGGTCCATGAACCATAACCTGTACACGCTGCGGTGCAATATTTGTACTCTGTCAAGCCTCTATATACATCACACTGACTTGCATAAAACAAAATAAAAAGCATTGAAAGGAAGATATAACAAAAATTAACATTGAACAATTAACATGCAGTAATATGCCCCTGAGCGGAGGCCTCTTCTATACTCAGGTGATGTACCGGTAGGTGAGTGACACTGCCCCCCAAGAATATGAAGGAGTTGATGGGTAGGGGGTCCATGGTGAAGAGGACTTAAAAAAAAACACCTTAAAAAGGACCACTCCTCTGATACCATCGGTCACCTGTTCAGCCAATTGTAAGTTATAGCCACAGTGACGCCAGCCTTAAAATGGCTCAGTAAGTTACAACCTGATAGTGCCTAATGAAATATTTTAAGGGTTTAATGCAATATTGGAAGGACAGGCGTCTGATTAAACCGCCAAACCTTACATAGTGCCGACTGCAAGGCTACGGGTAGAGTAGGTCCTCTCACTGATGGCTACGGACGTAACATGCCGCTTTGCAAGAATTTTTCAAGCCTTTATTTTGTTGCCCTTCAGGACAGTACTTTCCGTCGTTTAGCGTCAAACACACGCTGTAATCCCTTAAGGTGACCCCTTTAAATCCTATCATGCGGCATCCATGAGGCCCCTGGCTTTCCCCACCCAACAATTTTTATCTTCACACCACAGAGTGCCCTTTGCAGACTGTGTCACTCCAAGCAGGCCATAAACACAACCCGCGAGGCCCCCAGCGAATTACATGCATAATTTTAGTAGGCCTGTGCCCGTTTCCAAGCCTGCCCCAACAGTCCTGTCCCAAAACCCCTGTTACAGATGTCAGGTGAAATATACCTCTAGGCAGTCATATCCAGTCCAGTTAGTTGCCATGCATCACCTTTTTAGAAGCTTTCAATGCCCACTTGCTCCAGCCTCCTGCCATTTTGTCCTCCAGTGTCAACGAAACAGTAGGCAAGTGCAGTGGGGGTGGGAGGCCAAGGCTTCGAAATAAACGCTGCAGATCTCCACCAGTTGCAAGCACATGCACCCAGCCATCCTGGTACACCATCAACTTCAAGTAAAAGGCCCTGGCATATCTCAGACTGGTCCATGTAAAGCTTTGGTGATGGGCTTCCATTTGCGGCGGCACTGTAAGCTACTAGACGCCAGACCCTGATATAATGAAAGATTAGTGCCGGCATGTTTTACAGGCCCTTCCCTGCTCCTCCGAAGCAAGGCTTCCTTTGTCTGGAAATCGGTGAGTTTGCATCGGCTCTCCGTGCGCATAGGGCTCCATTGGCTGTCCGGTATGTCGAGTAGCAGAGGCCTGAATATGTTGAGAATAAGTACTTCAAAGGGGTCCCTCCCCATCCTTCTCTGGAAGGCCCCACCGGCGTACATTATTACGCCTCAAACGGTCCTCCACCTCTAATTCCGTCTCTGCCATTTGGGCTGTGAGACGGTTCACCTGGGATAACACATTGTTATAAACCTTAGTGGTACTTTCCAGATGTTCTTCCAGCCACACCCAAAGTGTGAATCTCAGACTGTAGGACTGCCGTGGACTCTACGATTTCTCCGGCTAGATAAGTCCGGACTTCGGCCAGCTTGTTCAATATCTGGATGGTATCCCCTGAGGAGGGCTCCATAGAGGAAGCAGCACGAGGTGAGGATGGTGGAGAAGCCGGGCCCGCTCTGGCACCATCTTGGTTTTCAGACGGCCTGATTTTCTGAACAGCAAATAGATCCATTACCGTGGTTCCCAGTTCGGGGCCTTTCTTGGGATGGTTTTTGGGTTCCACTTTTCCATTTTTCGTTATAAAATTAAATATAAGCTGTTGTATGCTCTTGGCATTGTGTAAGGAGCAGAGCTCTACACAGACGTGTCCAGCTCGCTCCTTGGTCAGGCCACGCCCTCTATGGTGTGTGTTTTTTAATAGCGTACTATTTATACGAATTTTATGTTTTTGTGGTTTTAAATACATAATACTATGACATTCGAGTCTTCTTTTTTTCTATATAAATATATTCTATAATTCTATATAGCATTAAATTGTTGAAGTGTGAGGATTATATTCCACAACAGCAATTGTAGAACAATTGTGATTTCATAGTTTTATTTATGTGTGTGTCTGTATGTGTGTGTGTATGTATGTATGTATGTATGTGAGGGAAGATTGAGGGGATCAAGCTGAAACGTTGACCGTTTTTATTTAGAAGGTAAATAAAAGTTATATTTAATATAAAGTCCTTGGAGTGCTATCCTTTAATTTTTTTTTTTTTTTATTATTATTATTTTATATATATATATATATATATATATATATATATATATATATACATTACATATTATTCCTGACATATGTAAATGCACTCTGCATCCAACTACTATTCCAAGCGTTATGCATCACGTTCTGTTGAAACATTAAATATTTAAGAATTATTTAAAGGAGAATACACACCATTTATTTGTGTCTCCTTCATGTAACTCCTAATGCTTATCTTCTCCTGCGCGATTCCTTTGTAGAATGCAATTGTAATGAACATTCCACGCAGTGCCATTTTGATATGGCTGTTTATATGTCGACTGGAAATACAAGTGGTGGAGTGTGTGATGACTGCCAACACAACACAGTGGGACGAAACTGTGAACAATGCAAACCATTTTTCTACCAGCACCCGGATAAAGACATACGTGACCCAAACATTTGTCAACGTAAGTAGCGCAATTTTATTTTAGCTTTATTGTTTTAACTTTGGGAAGATTGCCAGGTTTAGCAGTTCATGATATCTTAGAGAAGTGTTTTGTTTACAATTTTGTAAAAACTCCTCTATATGGTAAAATTTACAATCACTCTTACTTGAATGAAGTGTAAGATAGAATACATGCAATGCTCTGCAAAATGAATTTCATAATACACAAAATAGATTTTAAAATTGCATTGTCTTATGTTTTGGAAATTATCTTCTATCAAAAGAACACAATATTGTGTATGTATACATATATAGATAAGCAAGCTTGTCTTACACATAATAAATATCATGATTGTAAAAGACCATAGCACTAAATGTTCAATACTTTCTGTAGCCTGCAATTGTGACCCAGCTGGTTCCCAGAATGGTGGCGTTTGTGACCGCTACTCCGACTTCTCAGTTGGCCTTATTGCTGGGCAGTGTCGCTGCAAGTCAAATGTTGAAGGAGAGCGATGTGATCAGTGCAAGGAAGGCTTCTATGACTTGAATGAGCAAGATCCAGAGGGATGCCAACGTATGTACTATACCATATGGAGCCCATCCAACTTACCAGATTTGTCCACTGTTAAAATTAAATTATTATATGTTCATGATGATTTCCTGTTTTCCTGTTTGTAGCCTGTGGATGTAATACTCTAGGAACTATACCTGGTGGAAACTCCTGTGACTCACAGGATGGAAGCTGCTATTGCAAACGCTTTGTTACAGGAAGGAAATGCGATCACTGTATGGTAATAACCCTATTTATCTCATTGTTGCTGTAGTCTGTGCTGGAAATACCAGTAAAGAAGAAATGCATTGTCTGTCGGTTGCCACTTGACTAATCACATTATAGGAGATAAAATGCAGTAAGAAAGTGTAATAAATCTTTTACTGGAACCGCACATATAAATTTTTTCTTTATTTTGTTAGTGGCCAACTAAAACCAAAATATTAATATGCATAAAATATGTATACTCCTTTACATTGCCATTAGATGTGCTTTTAGCATTTTTTGCATTCTTGATTTTATATCTCCAAAATAGTTACAGTAAAGTTTAGATTTCCTTATATGGAGTGTAATTATCTGTAATTGTAAATTAGTCAGTATTCTTTAGTGTATTTTTTTTTACAGATGTGTGTAATATACATATTTCTCATTTTATTTATTGTTAAACACAGATCTGCATACACCAAACAAACCATACAAATTGCTTTTCCCAGAGATAACTCATCTTTGCAGTGCCGTTACTACTGAAAGGGATTCTGGGTGGGTATATGAAAAAAAAGTCAACCAGAGAACCACTTTTATATTTATATACAACTATAAATATAAAGATAATCCTTGGAGTCATTTGTATATACCCACCCGGAATCCCTTAAAGTAGTAACAGCACTGCAAATGTGAGATATCTCTGGTAAAAGCAAGTTGTATGGTTTGTTTGGTGATCTATATAGATATTGATATGCAATTTTATATGTCATCTCCTTGTTTACTTCACCAGAGATATTTTACAAAGTATGGTATGAAAAAGATATGACAGATGTGTTGCCCCTTGCATTGTGCGTTATGCTGCAATCAGTATTTTACATACAACACACTACTGTATTGACAGTAACAAAATCCACCCTCGTATGTGGTATAGTTTCCTTTTTGCTTTAACATCTACCATTGTAAAGGGGGACGTACATACTTCTATGTTTACACACTAGCAATTTTCATCTAGCCAGATATTTACAGCACAGTTTAACAAATGGGTTATTAATGGCACCAAACAGATTGACATAGTTGGAGTTTTTAAGTAAAACGTCAAATAAAACAAAGATTTAAATTGGAGGATTGTTTTGGAACGGCAGTGCATGAAGTGAGAGTGACACTTTTTTTAGTACTAGAAGGACTAAATTTGGAAATCTGCATTCCTGCATTAGTGCTGCAATCTTTCAATATTACCAAAAATCAGCAGTCTATAGCACACTGCAATACTTTAAACAAACTTAAATAGGAATGTATTCTCAGCATTGTTTTTAAAAGTAATTGTTCTTTTTTTCAGTCTGAATTTTGGGGTCTAAGCAATGACTTAGATGGATGTCGTCCTTGTGATTGTGATCGTGGAGGATCACTGAACAATAAGTAAGTCAAATGTTTTATTTATGATCATTTACTGATCGTTATTTTGACATAAAATTGAATTTGAATCCCTGATAATTCACACTTTAGTAAATCTAATCATGGTCAAGTTATGTGACTGCAGTGCAACACATATTAAACTATTTGGTCGTCTAGTCACTACAAAGTGAGTTATTGTGAATGGACAAGCAAATTATCAGATATAGGCTGAAATTGCTGAGTTGCAAACATTCTCCATATTTAACAAAATTGTAAGATAACTCAACGTATATTAGCCTTATTTCTTGAGCATGAAGCACCTCTAGTGGCCATCTGAAGAGTGGCCACTGGAGGTATCCCTAGGCTGTAATGTAAACACTGCATTTCCTGAAGGGATTGATTCTACTCACCAGAACAAATACAATAAGCTCTAGTTGTTCTGGTGACTGTAGTGTCTCTTTAATATGGAATTTCCCATTTAAGAAAATAGATTTGAGTTTGGAATTTGCCCATAGGCATATACATGTTTCACTGGAGCCATAGAATGGTATCTTGTACTTAGCTCCCTAACTGTAAGGACAATTGTATATGCTTAACTGTAATTGTGTTGTTATTATTATGGAGAAATAACTGAAGTTTAGATTTTGTTGTGTTCAGACTATCTGTGTCCTTCAGATAAATTGGTTGTGTTTCGCACATTACAGCTGTTCGCCAGAATCCGGCCAGTGTAGCTGCAGACCACACATGATCGGTCGTCAGTGCAATGAAGTGGAATCTGGATTCTATTTTATATATTTAGATCATTACACCTATGAGGCAGAAGATGCTCATTTTGGTCCTGTGAGTATCCGTGTAATATTCCTAATATTAATTGGAATAATATAACATTATTCTGTTTATATCCTTGACTGCACAACTAGTCTTCTAACCTTGCTTTGTGTGTGATTTGAATTTCACCTGTCCTATGTCTGTTATGATCGTAAGCTTTTATGGGCTCACAAAACATCCTGCATTAAATTGTATCCGTCTTTCAAATCCAGCTTTATTCCATACTTCCCTTAATGTATCTAGTAGTGTTACAAAATATGTTGGCTCCATATGAATAAATACTAATCATGATAATCTTGCGTCAATAGGATGTAAGACTTGTTGAGAGGCCATATCCGCATGATCGCACACCTTCCTGGACTGGACCTGGATTCGCCAGGGTCCCAGAAGGAGCATATTTAGAATTCCACATCAATAACATTCCGACTTCTATGGAGTATGACCTTTTAATTCGCTACGAACCTCAAGTGAGTTATTTCTTGTTTCTACATTCTTTCAGTACAGTATGGCATGCATAACAAAACTATTTTATTACAGTTCCCATATTTTGTGATTATTATGAATGTTAACTATTTTAATTTATAATAAAAAATATATATACATTACATTTCATAAAACTGAAAAACATAAAATAGTAAATGATCTATAAGTCATTGTTTTATGATAAAGCTCATTTATGCAGCAATTTATTGCTATTCCATTGAAGTGGCATTCTGGAACACTTTACTTGCTATGTGTATATGTTTAACTGACTAGAGAAATAATACCATTATTCCAGATAAAGCCATTTATCCTTTAAAATCTCAAATAATATCATTATAGTCCCTTAGAAGGGAATCTTCTTAACAGTGCACACATTACCACTATGATCTAAGCATCTGTAAAACCACTCTATAGAGTAGACACTCTTTTACATTTGTGGCCCAATATAAATCATTCAAATTTGAATTATTTAATTTAGTTCCATTACATTGGTGAAATGTTGTGTTTGAATTAAGCAGCCTGAGAAGCTGTTAAACCGCTTGCTAAGGGCAAACTGTCACTGGGTTTAGCCATTCCATTGGCCTCAAGGTAAATTTTAACACAAGTTAATAATACGTGCAAGTCTGGTTTTAATAAATAAACACTATTAGGTTATGTACAGTTCCTGTTCTGTGTAGAGAAATTAACCCAATCGGGATCAATGCCAGAACTAACATAAGCACGCCACTTTGACCTCAGGCTCCACTGCATGCTGTGAATCTTTATAGTTTTCACTGAAGTGAATCATTTATTGTTCTAACAGGGTCAGATATTCCATTGTTTTAAGCTGGGTTTGGTATATTCCATTGGATGCAGGATGGTATAGCTCAGTAATGAATACTGGATGTTTATTTCAATGGAAATAAAGATATTTTTTTTTTCCCCGCAAAGTATTACAATGCTTAAACTCTATTCTGTGTTGAATTTTATAAATGAAATTATAATTAAAATACAGACAAAAGTTACATAACTGAAAAGAGACTTGCGTCCATCAAGTTCACACATTAGTTTGTAAGTAATTACATTAGGGTCCCACATATCACATATAGAAATATATTTGTGCACATTTTCCATTTTCCCTTTTAAGCATTTTTTTTTAAATGTTTTTTTTTAGCTACCAGATCAATGGGAAGAGGCGGTAATAACCGTGATCCGTCCTGGCAAAATTCCCACAAGCAGTCGATGTGGAAACACTATCCCCAGTGATGATAACCAAGTTGTGTCATTGCCTCCTGGATCTCGGTAAATGTGACCACAATTTAAGACCTTAAGGACACATGACATGTGTGACATGTCATGATTCCATTTTATTCCAGAAGTTTGGTCCTTAAGGGGTTAAACTGCTTATATTTGTTATGAATATTATTTTAAATCAGCATATAGTGATTTGTTTCTCCACTCACTGGTGTAAAACCATTTGCGTGATACAAGCCCTCTCCCCACCCCCCAATAAATAATGGAAATTATAAGATTTAGGTATTTATGGGATTAGTTGATTTCACAGGGGTAGAACATGAACTCCACATACTGCTGTGCCATGCTTCAGAGTCCTTCTTAATAGAATGCAAAAGTCACGAGTGTCATGGTTTTATTATAATCCTTCACATGGAAAAGTTTAATTTGCCTTTTGGGAAAGGCCCAAGTGCTATCAGTGTGTTTAAGAGAGTGTTTGTCATGCTCCACTCTTATCATCTGTCAGTTGCTACAGTATACTATAGTTGACAGTTCATTTCAAACTCAGGTGCCTCAGTTGGCAGTATGTTTGTTTAATTTCCAGGATATTATTTTTCCATGAAAACTAGCATGACACTAGCAGCAAAAAGTACCGAAGATCAATAGACACAATGTATGTCCTACAATGCCTATGTTTTAATATTTTTAAGGGTTCATCTCATGTATTTAGTTCTCAAGTATATTATTTTGTAATTAAACCTGTGTTTTACATTGCAGTTACATTGTCTTACCTCGACCCATATGTTTTGAGAAGGGTCTAAATTACACAATACGCTTGGAATTGCCGCGATATTCACCTAATTCTAATGTGCAAAACCCATATACTCTAATTGATTCTGTAAGTATCCACTCCACATATTGTATTTTGTGTAAAATAGGATGGATTGAAACACAAATAAGCAGTACACTAAAATGCACCTATAGAAGAGTCAGATGGGTTTATAACAGCACTCTAGACGCTTGCCTAATAATCTTTCAAGTAAATTGAGGAGCCTCCCTAAAAAAAAGGCTTGTTGGGATGTCAAAAACTTGAAAGACAACCGTGATTGCTAAATGGGTGACAATGAACCTCATAGAAGACTTGTAGCCCATCTGTCATCTCCTATTTATCAAAATGAGACAAGAGCACTCAGGATGAACTAGAATAAGATGAGATTACAGCATAACATTCAAGTGAAGCTGTTGTCCAGATTCTTTACCATCTACACCAGGATTGTACAAATACAAACCCCTGGCTCTAGTATAACCGCAACAATCTTAATGCTCTGCTAGCTTTAAGACTTGCAAAACATCACAAATAATGTAGTTTTTCAGTAGCTGGGGATGTACATTTTGAGCACTTGAGGCCTACATGTTCATTCCTACAGCAGTCCATGCTGCCATTGCAACCCTCTGTAAGAATCTATTATATGCTTAGTATACTGAAAGTAAATAAGGAGAGCTCGGCTTCCTTTGAAGTGATTATTATAATATTAATAATTTCTAAATTACTGTTACAGTATGTGTACTTAAAATTGGTAATTATTTAGCTTATCTCCCATGTCCTTACAGTCTTTTTATTCACTCATAATCCTACTATTTCTGCTTTCTACTCTGGTTAACGTCTTTTCTGGAAATTCAAAATTTTTGCCCATGTAAGACCAACCTGCAAAGCAAACTAATGACACACATATATTTATATATATATAGCTCTTTAAGTAGATATTAAGAAACATTTTTGTGCATAAAAGACTTTGTGAATGCTTCCTTCAGTTACATGACAAGGTGAGTAAGATAACAAAAATATGATCACTCCTCCAGTGACACCCCTGAACCAAAAACATTCATCTGGCCATTTGAAGTGTTGGAAGGAATGATTATGTGTATGTTTCTATTTCCAGCACATTTGTTTGTGTCCAAATCCCATGCTTTTTCAACTATAGCAGGCATTAATTTTAAACAAATGTTTCTGCAGATTGTATTGCTGCCTCATGTCAAGTCTCTCGAAATATTTAATGCGGGAAGCACAGGCGGTGATGGCGTTACCAACAATGCTTGGCAGACATTTCAAAGATATCGTTGCATGGAGAACAGTCAGAGTGTTGTGAAAACGCCACTAACTGAAGTCTGTAAGAGTTTCCTCTTCAGTATTTCTGCTCTTTTACATGAGGGCGCCATGGGTATGTGTCTATTTCTTTACTTTATTTATACACAACACTCCGTGTTTTAAATGTATTCATATGATAACAGTACGTAAGAAAAGTAAGGTGTTTTTGTATGCTTTGTATTTAGTATAATTCCATTTTGTTTACTATTGAATAAATTGAAATACACAATAGTGTCTAATGGGGGTCAGTATAAAAGTGGTCCTACAGCAGGTCTCCAGTTTTGTATTAACAATATCTGACTAACCAGAAATTGTTCTTATGAGTTTTAACTGTCATTAACAGTTGTTCTGATGTTTCTATTTAGAATGCCACTGTGATCCTCAAGGCTCATTAAGTTCGGTGTGTGACCCTAATGGTGGACAGTGCCAATGTCGACCAAATGTAATTGGTAAAAACTGTGACAAATGTGCTCCAAGGACATTTGGTTTTGGACCTAATGGATGCAGACGTAAGTCACCTATTCATTCAATCTAGTTCTTTAATTTGGGTGTGTTTGTGGGGTAAATATTAAAAAATTGCACTTTTATTTTTTTAGTGATGATTATAAGTTAACACAACAACTCAAACATTGTTAGACTAGATTTCGTTACCACAGGGCAAACATTCTGTACGAAAAATGGGAATTGGGAACACATCCAGAACATGCATTTGGTCTTTACAGGAGCACCACAGCTGAAACATGTTCTGGGTGTGCCCTTAATTTCAAATTTTTCTGCTCCTGCCCCATTATTGGTGGCCTCAGGAAAACATGCATTTGAGGCGAGACTCTGAAAGCAGTTTAAGCAGTAAGCATTCCAGTTAGCATGTTTATTTTCCATGTTAAAAATTGTGTAGGGTTTTGGGATACTGAGATCTACTGGAGAGCTTAAAACGAAATGGCTGTGTTGTATAACCAAATATCCATGTTTGTTTGCCACAAAATGTGATTTTAAGCAAACTTATAAGATTTAAAACTATATATTTTTGCGTGTCCTCTATTTCTTAAAACAAACTTTGCACATGATAAGGAGAGAGAGAACCTTGTTCCAATGTTGTTCTTAGTATGCTTTCTCAAGGCTGACGGTCAGTTGCAAAGGACAGAACTTGACTAAAGGGAGTTTTAATGGAGTTTCCTATTGCAGGATTTCTACATTCCACTCTATTTTTCACACCTCACAAATACATATCGGTAAAATATAGGGATTATAAAACGTGATATTAAAAACTCTTAGAAGGAACAGTTCTGCTTCAAGTTCTTATACGCTTGGGAGTGTTCCTTCAATATTTTTAGTATCAAAGTATATTTGTTAGTATTAATTTCATTAACTTAGTATTATAGCATTTGTTTAGCATTCACATTGTGACTGTGTGTGTTTTCAGCTTGTGAATGTGACGAGAGCGGATCAGCTCATTCCTTCTGTCACTCCGAAACTGGTCAGTGTCCTTGTGTTCATGGAGCATATGGGCGTCAGTGTGATGTTTGCTTGCCTGGGTATTGGGGATTCCCCAGATGTAAGCAGTGCCAATGCAATGGACATGCTGATGACTGTGATACACTTACTGGAGAATGCACATCCTGCAAGGACCACACTGAAGGTTACAGTTGTGAAAGGTAACAAGCAGATGTTGTTTGATAAACCCTTTCTAGATATGGATATTCTGTTTATATATTGGCATTTATTTTTCTACGTGGGCCTATCAGATGTCTAAGACAATTTAGTTAGTATATGTTCATTATCCATCTGTTAGGTCCACAAAGTCAGGTGGTAGGAATGATTCACTGACCAATGTTTTATCCAGTTATCATATAGTTATCAGGTAAAATCAAAGCACTTACTCAAAGATGGAGAAATTCATGGCTGTTTAGTGTGCAGTGTATTTAGGGATGGATTGCCATTGTATGTCCCTTAGGCCAACACATTTTTGTTAATGGCTGTATTACGGTTTCTGATTTCGGAAATTCTTCCTTCTAGAAGAAAATTTATAATCACCTCCAATGGTTGCAGTTGCTCATGATAAGATTACTGAAAAAATAAATGGTCTACTCAGAAAGGTCCAACTTGAGTTTTGCTTGTTTGAAGTTAAGTGATCTAGCTGTGACCAGTTTGGATAAAATTATCAAAGACAACAATTCATTCACCTACCACAACTTAATTACTCAGACCAAATTCAAGTTGTTTATGGGTCGAGAAAAAAAATGGCTTACTATTTAAACTTGGCTGTTCACATAGCTCCAACTATTACCTGATATGTTAAACCCTAAAGCAGTGGTTTTCAAACCAGTCATCAAAGCACGTCTACCAGTCCAGGATTTAGGGATTACCCAGTTGTGTCAAGGTGGTTTATAACTTTATAAAAACAGTTTAGACACAACTGGGTAATCCCTAAGTCTTGGACTGGTAGGCGTGCCTTAAAAATCTGGTTTGGAAACCACGGCCATAAAAGCTTGGTGTGCAAATTAAGGTTATCTAGTGATGTGCCTTTGATATTTCCATCATGAACAACCTTACAGTTACACATGTAAAAAACGTGAGTGTGAGTTCTAAACCAAGGAATAGTTCTGATGTGTAGCCAGCATGTTTAATAAATGCAAAACACAATGTATTGTGTAAATTCCTGTCCAGGAACTTGGGAATATAAAAAGTATTACTGTTTACACAACATCACTTGTCTCGAACTCCTTCCGAAAGACTTTGAAAAATAAGTTGCTTGTAACTAAAACTGTAACGTTTAGGACAGCTGGTGTGGTATTGTAAAATGATAGCATTTGTATTTATATGTTGGTAATTGCTGCTCAGGAAACATGATGTTTATAGGGAAGTGGGGGGGAAAAAGCCACAAACAATCCATAAATATTCTCATTTTTTAGATGCCTTGCTGGCTATTATGGAGATCCTAGACTGGGCTCAGGAGATCATTGTAGACCTTGCTCATGTCCAGATGGCCCAGGAAGTGAACGTCAGCATGCCAGTGGTTGTTACAAAGACCCTGCAACCCTGCACATTATCTGTTCTTGTAATGTAGGATACACAGGTAAGTGTTGTGTGTTTGGCAGTTTTATATATATATGCCTTTGCAGCAGATGTGCTTACATTTGTCAATGTATATACAGTTTTTTTTTCCTTCATAAACTCGTGTGTGGTTTTATGTACATATTTTCTTTCCTACAGTTTGCATGGTCCATAATTGAGTGCAACATTTGAAATAATTAGCTTGTGCCATCTTTGTTGTTGTTATATATGTAATCCAATTGTATTATGGAAAGCAAACTAAAAAAACTCACCTGAAGGAACTTGTGTATTTTTACTTGCTTTTTAAGAATGTGTAATATGTATCATGCTAAAATAAGTCTTTAGTGAGACAGATGATGTGCCAGGAATGGCATGATATCACTTGAAATTATGTTTTATCTTTCTCTGTCTAATCCAAACAATGACCTATTAGAATCACATCGTAAAATACAAAACTGATAATTGAGATCCATAGCAGGAATCTTTATACCAGAGCAGTGTTGTCCGTTAATGGTGTTGCCAGTGTTAATTCATTTGTGATGTGAATGCATAATTTGCCAACATCAGAAATTGTGATTTTCTACTTGCATGCAAAAACAAAGTTATTATTTTATATTTTATTTACAGAACATTTAACTCATGGAAAATATGTATTTAATTTTTAATCTAACACATTGTGTCCCTGTGACTGCTGTAGGGGCCAGATGTGATGAATGTGATGCTGGCTACTTTGGGAACCCTGAAGAAAACGGAGGAGTCTGCCAACCATGTCAGTGTAACAATAACATAGATATGTCCGATCCACTTTCTTGTGACAAGCAATCAGGGAAATGTCTTAAGTGTCTCCATCACACAGAAGGAGAAAGCTGCAGCCAGTGCCAGCTGGGTTACTATGGGAACGCTCTTCACCAGACTTGTAGATGTAAGTTTTGCTTGACTTATTTTCAGGCCTTGTGTAAGTGTTATATATATTGTTGTGCAATACACATTGTATTGTATTTTTGGTGACCAAATACAATAAAACTCTTGTACCTCACTTATTCAACCTATGTGTTACGAGGCATCTGAAGGAAATGGGCAAAATGTAGGTAGCACAAGCTTGGAAAGATGCAATATATTGTGTGGGGTGTGGCCAGAAACTGAAAGAGGTGTTTCTAAGTCATGCCAAATTGTTTTCAGCAACACGGTTAAAATGGCAGATTAAATGTAAATCTGTGTTTGATTACTAATGTCTTAATTAAAGACCTATCCTAGAACAAAAGTACGTGTGCTAATGTATTTGATCATGTTTACTTCTCTTGATCTTAAAATCAATGCAAGGGGCTGGGGAGGTAATGTGTTGAAGAGCAGATCAAGACTTTATAAGAGAAAAATTCCTGATGCATTAGATGATTTCCATCTGTTTATTGCAGTAAAATACACATGGGAAACTAAAATGAATCCTGAAAGCTGTGTATTTAATTAAACCCATGAAAATGTGTTTTGTACATATGTCAAAATATTAGCTTGATGTATGCCAGATTAATTTTTACAATGTCACTGTAAGCTTGCAAAACTGTACAGCCTTTCTTCATCTTAATAAAGTGGTTTAGGTACAGGGTCCCTGTCCTCTTAACCCTGCAATGTAAAACACTACAGTTTTTGAGAAACTGCAATGTTTACATTGCAGGGTTAAGTCTACCTCTAGTGGCTATCATACTGACCGCTACTAGAGTTGCTTCTGTTGCACTGAGAAAGTAAAACTCAAGGTCATATGATGCAGAAGCCCCATAGGAGAGCATTGATTCAGTGCATTCCTATAGACAAGTTTGAATTTGTGTGCACTGCTCACTGCGCATGTGCATTAGATCCCCAATACTTCTCTATGAGGAGAATAGGCCTGGATATTAGAGGAGGCCATTAGAGAGGTGGAGAGGTGAGCAGTGCCAAGGGAGTCTCAGTACTGAAAAAAAGTGAGTAAAACTTTATTTTTGTGCCATGGGGAGGGTGGAACTGAAAAGGCGTAGAGACAGGGACAGTATAGAATTAGGAATACGGATTTGTATTTCTAACGCTGTGGTGTTCTTTTAACCAATTGAGTTTTGAACACACAGACTTTTCTGAGTTTAATAGGATGAGTCTTTCACCTAAATCTCCTAACAACAAGTTTATTCCTTAAAGTTTGAACTATTGAAACTTCTAAGTTAATTTCAAATTGTAGAACAAATTGAAATAGAACATAAATTAATTTTTATATTCGATTGCTGTGTCCTAAAATCGGAAATTCACTGATAATTTGATGTTCATATATTTCTTTAAATATATATATATATATATATAATTTTTTTATTTTTTTAATTCCCCTCTCTTCCTTTTACACAAAATGTCACATTTAAATTTTATTTTATTTTTTTTTAAAGTGTACAAATTCAAGTATGAAAACACATTCCATTATCATGTTAAATAGCCACTTCTAGCTGAGGCCTGCTATGTCTTTATATCCCTTGGTATATGAACTGAACAGCGCTCTTAGTTTGTGGAAATGTCCCAGTGCATTACTAGAATATGTAAAAATAATGGGGGGTAGGGGGGTTGTGTTTTTTTAATATATTTGGAATGGTTTCCAGTGGGCCAAAATTTTCAAAATTAAAGTAAATAAAATAATTTTAAATTAACTGTAAAAAGTATTGATATATACTGTTAAAAAGAAAATAAAAATAACTTCAGGTTTTTGAAATTAATATAAATGCATATTAACCCAAATACAAATATTATTGATTTTAAAAACAAGATGGCTAGCAAGCAACCACCCTTGGTGTGCTAGAGGGACAGAGCGTGCAATATTTGTTGATCCTTCGGGTAGTGAAAGGGTTTAATTTGACTGCTGTAGACTTTTTTTGAATGTGTCTATATGAAAAGGATTAGAAGGTATGTAGGCAATCAACTTATTATTCTAAAGATTAACCAGGTCTGTTTAGTCCAGTCATTACTTTTTCAAGTACACACTGTTCTTGTCACAAATCCTTTTCACCTGTGACAATCAAATCAATTTCCTTTTAATCTAGGCCCGAATGAATTAATCTGTAACGTAAATCCTAGAACTATTGATACATTCGGGTATAGATTAAAAAGAATTTGATTAGTCTATTGCAGGTGAAAAGTATTTGTGTACAAGTCTAGTACACACTGCAAGGTAAATAACATTGATTACAAATTCATTATTATTTAATTGCATTTAATGATGATTTGTTCAAACCCATAAATTCACAAAGTAAACACAATTGGAGAATGAATTGCTGCACATGGCCCAGAAACCTTAGTAGATAAAGTTAATATACTTGTTGGCCAATTGATATCAGTACATTTCTTTGCTGTGATATTAAAGAGCTATCATTTCTTTGATTAATAGAGACAGCTTATTAATAAGGATCACAATCTTAATATTATTCATGCACAGAGTGCACACAGTATTTGGTTGTGATTTAATTGGTAACCTATATTTCCATATATCTTCAGCATGTGTCTGCAACGTCCTGGGCACAGAACAGGATACTTGTAAAGAAGGTGTAAAATGCCACTGTGACAGATCATCCGGCCAGTGTCAGTGTCTCCCCAATGTGATTGGTCAGAGCTGCGATAGATGTGCACCAAACACCTGGAACTTAGCAAGTGGAACTGGCTGTAAATCTTGCGGCTGTGATCCTATCCGTTCTTTGGGACCTTCTTGCAATGAGGTAACTATGAGCTTCAATGCATATGTGAAACATATAGTATAATTATGTTGTTGAAAGCCACATTATGTGACGGTTCCCATGGATTATTTTTTCAGTTCACTGGTCAATGTCAGTGCATGGCTGGATTTGGTGGCCGAAATTGCAGCGAATGCCAGGAACTTTTCTGGGGTAATCCGGATGTTGAATGCCAAGGTAAAGAATAGTTATTTATTATTGTGCTGTCTTTCATTAATGCTGAACTTACTCAGGAAAATCCATAATGAGCTACACTAACTAATCTCTGTACTCACTCTGTCAGAAGAATAAAAATTCTGATCACTTTATTTCAGTAGTGAATGCAGGTTCGCAATCCACAGAAGTTGTAATACAACTTTCTGTTTTATGTACTGACATGCTTCGTCAGTTACACTTACAACTGTTTAAATACTGTTTTAGGCCAGTGTACAGCTTTTTATTTGTTTTAGAAGGAAACTTTTCAGCTCAAGTGTTGTAATATTTTTCAATAACTTTGTTGTTACTTTGTTAATAACCATCTATAACTCAAAGAGTTAATTAGATTCCATATTTTGGAGAATAACAATAATATAAATAATTCAGTCATGATAAGCACTGGCATGTTTTGCTTACCTACTGGACAACAAAGGGCAAAACTGATTTTGCCCTTTGTTTATTCCTGGAAAAAATTAGGAATAAAGAAAATTTGCTTTTCATAATGACTGAAATGTTTCATTACTCTTGGACATCCAACCAAGTTTTAAAAAATCATGCCTAGACGGAGATATAGCCATGAACGTTAAGTAAGAATGTGTTGGAACCAAAAGGGTTTATTGCTCTTTATCATATGGCTACATTTATTAACTTGTTAAATGTCTGAATAAGAGACTCTATAAGAATATCCATGAATTTGATTCTGAGTATTGGAAACTAAGCAAAATGCAGGAAACTCTGTGGTAGGGAGTGTACTCTACACACTGCCGGAAAAACATAAGACACTTAGAAAGAGAGCTATGCAGTTATAAAGCTGTGCACCCTTGCAGTACATAAGCATTTATTGATGAAAATAAGGGGAAAAAAGATGCTTTGGATCAAAAGACCCTTTGTGATTGTAACACGTTGTCAGTGGTTATAATGAAAGGTTTACTGGCCACATAATTTAGGCAAATGCCTACTGTAAGAGAAAGGCTTAACTTATTAGTGCAGATATGCATTTAAGCATAGTTTAGACCAGACCATAAATCTCTAGAGTAAATTCTCAGTCATGGCTTGGGTGCATGTTCAACATCCTGCATAAAGTGAAAGAGTTTTTTTTTTTTTTTGGTTTGTTTGTACACCCACATTTCACAGTCCTTAAAGTCTTGTAAAAATAAAATAAAAACACACAAATGGATAATGTTAGTGACGCATGTCAGAGGTTAGTAGTTTTTGCTTAAAAATAATAGGTATATGTTACCAGGTGATCTCAAGATTAAAGCTTCTAAGATGAAAGGAATTCTTACTGTGTCTTTGTTTTCCACTAAGTGGAATTGCATCATAGGAATAGAGGATTAAGTAAGAATCTGCATTTCTTACTCAAACATTTCATTAGCCTCCATTTTTTTGTGTTTTGTGGGTGGTTTAAGCATACACAAGTCTTTTGTAAAAATGAATCTAAGTGCCCTCATAAGTCCTTTCTATAGAGATGTGTTGAGGTGGATAATCTTATGGAGTAGTGCTGAATGCTTTGATTTTGCTGACGAAGTAATTATGGTGAAATAGCTGTTTTATTGTATTATTTAGTTAGCAGCTTAATATTTAAAATTGTCTTTTGTATTCTCCAGCCTGGCCTATATTTGCATGTAATAAATACTAAATATACTCATGAGGCTAGCTATCAGAAATGCAGTGCGTTTTGCTTATAATTCAAACCATTATGCATTGTGTAAGGCCTATGCCTTGCCGAACAAATAACGCTTTATAGAGAATGGTTACTCAGACATACCAAACATGAACAGGCTCTTAGTTGTTCACTTAATAATACAATGATTTTCCGTAGGTAGACTGCCTTTAGAGGAATATTTTGTGCATGTTCCACAATGAAACTTAGGAGAGTTTTTTATGTATTATTTTAGCTAGATGGTATATTAATTAATAGTATCTCACTTTTTTCATAATCCAAGTTCATTGGCAGTTTTCAATTAGACATAAATAGAATCAACGACAGTTTCAAAATACAAGACAAAAGAAATTGCATACATACATAAATAAGGAGCCACAGCTAAAACTACCGCTAGATAAATCCAAATACAAGTATGAGTTCCTTTGCTCTTCTTTGGCCGTTTTAAGAAGGTCTATGCTGTGTGTACTCCGTTCAAATAATAACTTCGACCTTAAGTAAATAACAAAGGGTAATTGAAAGGTCTTCCCCAGATCAAAGATCCCTTGTATTTAGTTTTGGATTTACATTCCATTCTTTGTGCTTCTTAATGACTATTATATTTGGTTACTCTTCCCACCCTTGATCTTTATCTAAAATGAGTCTGTTGACCCTCATTCCACCAGTCCCTTTGTTGTTGCCTTAGGGAATGTTCAACATACAAAGTCACAGTAGGAGACTTTAATCACTTTGGGTGCTGTGTTCTGATGCTTTGAGATTTTGTGAAAATAAAGGATTTTTTCTTGAAGGTTATGGAGATATTGTATACTGTAGTCTGGCTTTACATTTCCTGTGCATGTATTTTACTTTACTTTTTGCCACCGAGAAAATGTTCCATAAAATAACTATAGTATTGTGAAAATGCCATCAAATAAAATGTACCACTACTGAAGGGAGTAACCCTGAAATTATTTGCAGTATTTTACCCAAATACAAACCATAATAATACATTATCATAGCAATCCATGCTCCTAACTGTAAATTGTCAAGAGAAAATGTGTTCATAACATTATCAGTATGAGTAATGTTTAAAGAGATAGCATAGTCTTCAGCACTCTTCAATGTAATATAGCTAGATTCAGCCCCCCACCCCCACCAACTTAAATTGAATGATTTTTTTTTCAGTACAGCATCACTGTCAGATGCATCAGTCATTGCTGCAGGCAGATTCTTCTCCCTTTACATCATCTTCTACTGAATCTTCTTCAGCTTCTTGTACAATGAAATGATTCTCAAAGCATTCCATTGGATGAGTGGGGCGCATGCACGGCGAGCACCCAACTCACCCAAACAAATGGTTTCCTATGAATTGATAAGGTTCAATATCCTCATGACTAAGTGAAACTCCATTATTGCAGTTAAAGTGCCCCTAGTGGCTGTCAGGAAGACTAGAGGAGTGCTTAACCCTACAATGTAAGCATTGCCATTTCTACAAAACAGGAATGAAAACATCCCAGAGTAAAATCTACAGGGCCATTGCATTGAGATTCTGTGAATTGGGTGCCTTCAGTGGTCCTTTAAAGCTGTCCATGTTAAGAGATATAGGATTGAAATATTAAACGATTTCCCTGTCATTGTAAGGTAAATTATTAGATTATATATTGTTGCTTATATTTTTCTTTAGCTTGTGATTGTGACTCTAGAGGCATTCAGACTCCGCAGTGCGATCGTGCTACAGGACATTGTGTTTGCAATGAAGGTATGGAAGGGTTTCGTTGTGACCGATGTGCCCGTGGATATTCTGGCATTTTTCCAAACTGTTCTCCTTGTCACACATGCTTTGCATTGTGGGATACAATTATCAAAGAGTTGTCCAATAAAACAAACCAGCTCTTAGACCGTGCCGCTGCTATGAAAGTGATTGGGGTTATTGGACCATACCAGCAGACTATGAGTAAAGTGCAGGAAACACTTGAAGAGGTTCAGAACATCATTTTACAGAATCCTGCGGCCCATCCTCTGAAAAACATTGACCAGCTGTTTGAAGAAGCAGAGTAAGTTCATTAAAGTGTCATTTCATGATTCTTGGAAAGGTTTTACAATGCAAAGATTTTATGTACATTGACTCTGGTGTTTTGTTTTATATAGAGAAGACATGTATGTAGGCTCTTTATTATAAGCTCTACATTGTGCCATTTTATAGTGTCAATCCAACCAGAACACAGTTATGAACAGAATATTATACTATCTTTATAGACTATCACAGGGTCAAAGTAGCCGAACTGGAAGCATAGCAGACTGTGAGATTAGTTCCAGTTTTGGCCTTAAATTTGAAATTATATATTGCGCAGAACCAAAATTTTTATTCTCGTTAGGGACACTAGGTGCAAAAAAAACCTTGTGGACCAAAGCATTCCAGTTGGATAATCCTGTATTATAGAGGCTTAAATATTTCCTGTATTCATTAAATGCAAAATCTGACTTCCACATTCTTATTCGCTACGAATATATATTTCCTGTTAAAACCACAAAAATGTAGTTTAACATCTGGCAACAATGTTTTTTTGTTGTTTGTTTAATATTTATTTATGATTCTATCCATCTATTTTAGAAAGCTGAAAGCTGAGGTTTCTGAAAGAGTTGCAGAAGTGGAGCAGAAACTATCCAAAATTAATATCAGTGACACCGAAAAGCTTGATGCTTTGCAGGCAGATGCAGAGAGTGTTTCTAAAGCACTGAAAGAACTTGGAGAACAGCTAGAGTATATGAAGATTTCCAATGTTCGAGGTGGGTGGCTTCAGCAAGCTTGTGAAGCAAAATTACTCCTTTAACAAAAAATCCCTCAGTTGCTAAGTGCTGCTAATGCATTTAAAGTCAATTTCATTCTGCACATTTTATTAGTACATCATACCTTTTTGATGTGTGCAGCTGCAATGTCCTGTCATATATTACTGAAAATGCTAGTTTAAAAACCTTAAAGTGACAGTTGAGGCATCATAACAACTCTAAATGAAGCGGATATAGTGCCAGAAGGACCTCACTCTTAGCTCAAGGGGGAACGGTTTAACCCCAAAGTGAGCCTCAATCACAGGGCAGGGAGCTGACGCTCTCAGCCAATCAGTGACTTCCATTCATAAAACTGGCTTGGAAGGGGTATGTTTCTTTCCAAACCAGTTTTATTGGTGATTGGCTGTGAGCGCCAGCTTTCTGCCCTGTGATGGAGACTCATTTTGGTGTTAAACCTTTCAAGAACATTTTAGCTTCTTGAGGTAGAAGTATACCCAGGGGCCTCCTGGCACCATAACAACTTAGAAACAGAGAATGTGAAGAGAAAATGAGAACTTCAGAAGTAAACACACAGTACTGTAATACCTGCTTTTTTCGTGGAGAGTCACAGCCAAGAGAGGTGTGGCTAGGCCTGTTACACAGAAATTAAAGTAGCTTATTTTTTTCAAGTCTGTTGTTTTGGGGGGAAGGGGGCAGTTAAAAAATTTATAGTCTAAAATAGGAGGTTGTCTTATACACAGAATATCACCACAGGGGCTAAAAAACAGCAACGCTTGTGCGCGGGGCCTTTTTTTGGTGTCCTAAATTTATTTATTTATTTATTATATATATTGGGGGTGGGGGTGGGGGTGAGGCAGTATTGCAAAATATCCTTCTGGTTGTGATCTGAGAAATCAAAACTTGGCAAAACCCTTACTGTGTTGTAGGAGCTATGGACAGCATCAACAAATATTTCCAGATGTCTCTGGAGGCAGAAAAAAAGGTCAACGCCTCCACTTTGACCCCAGATAGCATTCTTCAGCAGTCAGCTGCTACACGAAAGGAAGTGGAAGATTTAATGTATGAACAAGAATCTGCATTCAAGGAACAGCAAGAGGAACAGTCTCGACTCTTGGATGAACTTGCTGGCAATGTCCAGAGTTTGGATCTTTCATCTCTATCTGAAAAGGTAGATTATTTGTAAATGTCTAAGGTGATCTGTTTAATGCATACTTTATATAACAAATAAGAAAGAAAGAATGCATTCATAGACATTTGGAATCTGTATAATTCGGCTTGAAATGTGCAAATCTCCAGAGAGTTGTTGATTTCCAGTCTAATAGATAAACACTATTTTTTTCTCATAATACGACCAAAGGGAGTTGCTAAATTCCAAACCCACCTGGGATTTTTGCAATGCAATACTCAAAGCAAAATACCAACTTTTAACCAGTGCAATCCTGTATCTTTTATTTTTTTATTTTATTTTTAACTAGCTGTTCCCACCCTGTTTTGTGTCCTCTCCCCATTTCCACTAATCAACTTTCTGTGTCTCACCCAACATTCAGGACTCCAGCACCTAAAGCCACTACTAACAATGCCTATTTATGACTTCAGTTTAATTACATATTGAATCATTTTTGTGGAAGTAAATTCATGTTGCTCAAACATTTTTCTCATACTAAATGAAGTATGGCTTATTAATTATTTGTAGCTATATTGGTGACACAAAAGCCAAGGAAAATTATTTAAACTGAATAAAAAAATAAAATAGGGTTTGCCACTTAATTTTAAATGGAAGCAGGACTCTCTTCTGGTTCACAGAGTAGCAGTATGTTGGCTCTATTTGAGCCTTTGCCAAGCCACAAAAATCTTTATTTGCAATGCTGGAGTGTTTTAAAGTACATCCAGATTATTGGGTCCTCCTAGTCCCCCCCCAAAAAAATGGTTTAACCTCTGATTCATCTGTGAAAGGGTGCCTCATCTCAGCTCCTCAACACCTGTGTGGGATCATGAATGCTGATCACCGTAAGGCCAATTCAGTGCTTCTCATAGAGAAGCATTGGGATGCAGGGAGCATGTGCTGCAATGTTGCTCATATAGAAGCATCAAACCCAATGCTTCCCTAGGACAAGCATTGCTATACACTTTGTATTATGTAATGAAACAATCAGGAAGATCAATCAGATCCAACATTTTATAAACGTGCAGATTTCTCTTGATGTTTATAAAATGAGAAAAGGGGACACTCTCTTAACAATGTGCAAGTACTTTAGGGGTTTGGAGTGTTTTTATGTTTTGAGTAACTTGTGTATTCAGTATTTATAGATTCTATATTCTCTAACAAAGAAAATGAGGCAGATTAAGCTGAAGATCTTAAATAGTACTGTGTCTAATTATTTACTAACCCTGGCATAATCTTGCCTGAAGGTTTCAGCTGGTGAAATAAGTCAAGAGTTAGAAGGAGTTAGAAGTTAACCCTGTTATTTATTAGCCATTTCAGAAGAAAATCTACAATAGTTAGCAGCCCTGTAAATTTGCCCTCTAGCTACTTTTGATGGTTATTGTATTTACAAGGGTACAGCATACTGTAATTTTACTTTGCTTTAGTGCTGACTTAAAGAGAGACTCCACTGATAAAATACATAAACATCATTGTTTAGTAGATATACCCCCAATAAAAACACACATGCATTTAATTATGCATTTTTTCATTTGGAGTAAATCTGAAAACGTTTTGCAAAATCTGCAGATCTCTTATAAATCCAATGCAACTCAATGAGATGTCTTTGCTAGGCAGTTGTTCTGTGTAATTGCGCGTCAATTGCCTGTCTCTTGAGTAATTGACTGTCTAACAGGAAATAACCAGACCGGTTGTGTGATTTACAGCCAGGGTTGAGTAACCAGGTTGATTTATAAAAGTGCCAATTTCTATTGAAATCAGCACGTTGCAAAATGAAAAACAAGTAACATTCTTCACATATAAAGCACTTCTGCTAAAATTCTTCAGGGTTTGAGGTGCCCATTTAAAACAAAATTATCAAAGCCTGGACCAGCTGTAGGCTTTCAGGTGCTTCACACCACCCCCAATATGTGCATGATCTGTGTGAGTGCATGTAATATAATTATGTGTTAATCTTAGTGTTCCTGTATGTGTGCAAGATTACTGTGTGTATGTTGGTGTTCATGTTTACATGTATTGTGAGTGTGTTTGTCTTTCTCTGTGTACAATGCCAGTTTGTGTTTATATATGGTGTGTTTGTGTGTAGAACGCAAGGGCTAAACCCATCAGTAATGTAAAGTGCAATGGCCATGTTGCTCTGCCAGCTTTAAGGGCTAAAGGCCACATCATCCATATGTTTGTAAATTTCAATTCCCAGGCTTATGGCTTGCCTGGGCATCATGTTAATTGCCTGTCACATATGTTTTTATAAACCCCCACTATCACTAACGAGTTATCTCTGCCTAGCACTGTAGTTAAATATCACTAGCCCATCCCCAGTTGAGTAGCAGTAGCCATCCAGTTGTCTGTTACCTCTCCCTAACCCACCCTCTGTTTTCTCTCCCTAGCCTATTCTTCTAGATATTACTTTCTGCAACTATCTCTCCATCTCCAGTTATATATTCCAGGCCAGCCCAACTAAGTCTTCTCTCCGTCTCCCCACTCCAGTTATTTCTCCATCATATTACATGTAGTTTGGCTGAATTGTCAATGCATAGTACAGCATTCTGCCCTTGTTCTCTGGCCAAATCACACACGACTAGGGCATGGCTTTGATGCAGGGAGTGGGGAAATAACTCATATCCCTTCCTCTATTTTACTGCACAGCCACCAGTCAAAAATAGTTTTACTATTAAGACTGAGGAATAAAGCAGAAAGCTGCACTAAGCAGTGCTTGTTTTGGTGGTCTGTGACGATGGCGGTGGGCAACATAACACTGCCCAAGGTTGTAGAGCAGGGCACTCTTGCTGTGTGCAGACTTATCAAATCAATGCCAATATAAAGATGTCACATTTTATACATAAATGAGAAGGATAGAGTAGAGGGAAAACTTGGATAAAAGGTTGTATAAATCATCTAGCAAGAAGGTCTGGATCCTCACTCCAAATATTCTGTCCAAAGAGTTAATTCTGCATAAAAAGAATCTAAAGCATATGAACCATGGAAGTCCACTTCTCCATTTCACAATCCATCATATAGTAGGTAGTAAAGCTGTACTCATATTCCATAGCCATGCTAGCTGCATCTCTGCAGATGCCCTGTATCAGAGATGGCCAAAGGGTAGATTTCCAGCTGTTATAATACTCTTTGTCCACATGTCCATATGAATCCCATCTATCTATTGTATCTGTGGCTGTTTACAGAACAGGTAAAGCATTTCTGACATTTTATAGTAGGAAATGTGTAATTGTAAAACCATGAACAAGACTATCAATGTAAGCATGCTAATAGTTGCATAAACTGACCTAAATATGACTGTGGATTTACATTATAATTTCTAAGAGGTCAGAACTGCGTGATCTTTGTTTCCTTGACTTTCTTTTTTTTTTTGTCCTACAGACATGTGGGACTCCTGCAGGTGTGTCATGTGAAGAGTCACAATGCGGTGGTCTAGGCTGCAGAACTGAGAGTGGAATGAGAAAATGTGGAGGGCCAGACTGCGATGGTGTGGTTTCAGTGGCGCAAAATGCATTGCAGTCTTCAATGAACTTTGATAAGGAGATTTTAAGTGCCCTGGCAGAAGTGGAAGAACTCTCTAAAATGGTACATTATGCAGTTATAGTGTATTGGACACAACAAAATATTTTGTTAAAATTTGTTTAAATATTTTAATTTATGGTGCTGCTAATTTGCAACTTTATTTTTTTGTTGGTTGTTATTTTTAAATTTGAAAAATAAGAACCAGATATGCAATGTTTAGACCAAAATAGAAACATTTAAAGAATAAACTTAAGCTGAAAGTTTTTTTTCTGCAGCTTATTTATTTTGAGATAAATTTATCTAAGGTAGTTTTCATTTAGCATTAGTTCCCTGTTTAATAAATTAACACCCAAGTCTAGGACTTGTTGCACTGATGTGGTGCTTGAGGGCTACAATATTTCTATACTTTGCATGTAGTTATCCAATGAAAATGGTGGGCATTTTTATGTTATGAATTATCCTTAAATTGTACTCGAATGCAATGTTGTACAGCACCTTACTTAATGGTAAACATTATCAGCAAATGTAATTATTTGTTCTCTAGCTCTCCAACACAATGTCCATTACCATACCTCACATAGGACTACATTAAACATAACAGCAATTGAGAGCTTTTGTCCATATAAACTAATCCATGCATGAAAATATTCTAATGGATCAAGTAGAATTTTATCAGTAAACTATTCCATATTTAGGACATTAAACCTTAACACCTTAAGGACCAAATCTATGGAATAAAAGGGAATCATGACATGTCACACATGCCATGTGTCCTTAAGGGGTTAAAGGAGCACTATAGGGTCAGGAACACAAACATGTATTCCTGACTCTATAGGGTTAAAACCACCATCTAGCTCCCCTGGTCCTCTCATGCCTCCCCAAATATAGTAAAATCTTACTTGTATTCAAGTCTGCAGCTGCTTATTTTGTGCCTGTTTCCTTTAGACCTGCCTGCTGACATTATCAGATGTGGTAGCCTGATCCAATCACAATGCTTCCCCATTGGCTGAGACTGACAAAGAAGCAGATCAAGGCAGAGCCAGCACAAGTCCATCACAGCCCTGGTCAATCAGCATCTCCTCATAGAGATGAATTGAATCATTGAATCTCTATGAGGAAAGTTCAGTGTCTGCATGCAGAGGGTGGAGACACTGAATGTTTGGATGCATTATAAGCAGACCCAAGAAGGATCTCTAACAGCCATCTAAGGAGTGGACAGTGAAGTTATCACTAGGCTGTAATGTAAACACTGCTTTTTCTCTGAAAAGACAGTGTTTACAGCATAAAGCCTGAAGGTAATGATTCTACTCACCAGAACAAATTCATTAAGCTGTAGTTGTTCTAGTGACTATAGTGTAACTTCAAGTGCTTCATGTGTCCCTCAATGAATAACCTAGAGTTTCCAATTTGTTCTTGCCTGATAAGTTAATATTCATATGGGGTAACGTGTGATGGGCTGAAAATTTCTAATTACAGTTTATACATATTTTGTAGGTAGCAGAGGCAAAGCTCAGAGCAGAAGAAGCAAAGCAAAACGCTCAAGATGTCCTCAACAGAGCAAATGCCACAAAGGACAAAGTAGACCGAAGCAATGAAGACCTGCGAAATCTCATCAAGCAAATTAGGGACTTTCTAATGCGTAAGTATATTCAGAATTCAAAGCAGTTCTTTTTTTATGGTAATCAATCTGATATGCTGTTTTTTTTTAGAATGTTTTATTTATTTAGTATTTAAATGTATCTAAGGTGAAGCAAATCCCATCAATTTCTTAATTTTGCTTATCTGAGTAAACCGAGCATGACTCGTATCTATGAACCTATCATTGCGTTGCTATTTTAATTGAATCCCAGAAATGCCAACTTTAAAACTATACTAGATATTCTGTGAACTGAACAATGCCAACTACAGTTTATCCAGCCTTGAAATGTGCGTTAAAGGAGGCTTCTCATTTTACAGAAAAGAAAACACATCCAATCTACCATTTATTATCTGTTTTTTGACATGACTATTTTGTGAATTATTAAGTATATTACTTTATTTAGAATCACATCAGGTTATAAACATTTAAAGGACCACTATAGTGCCAGGAAAACATACTCGTTTTCCTGGCACTATAGTGCCCTGAGGGTGCCCCCACCCTCAGGGTCCCCCTCCCGCCCGGCTCTGGAAGGGGGAAAGGGGTTAAAACTTACCTTTTTCCAGCACTGGGCGGGGAGCTCTCCTCCTCCGATCCTCCTCCGTTCCTCCTCCTGGGCTGAATGCGCACGCGCGGCAAGAGCTGCGCGCGCATTCAGCCGGTCACATAGGAAAGCATTCATAATGCTTTCCTATGGACGCTTGCGTGCTCTCACTGAAAATCACAGTGAGAAGCACGCAAGCGCCTCTAGTGGCTGTCAATGAGACAGCCACTAGAGGATTAGGGGGAAGGCTTAACCCATTCTCTGAAACTGCTATGTTTATGAAAAAATGGGTTAACCCTAGCTGGACCTGGCACCCAGACCACTTCATTAAGCTGAAGTGGTCTGGGTGCCTAGAGTGGTCCTTTAAGCACATTCGTTGCTATTCTATACATCATCATTTTCCAGGACTCACCATAATATCCAAAACAAAAAGTAATAATACCCCGGTGCTTCTAAGTGCCAAAAAATCTACAAGGTAAATGAAAGCGCACGCCACAGGATTTTTTTTCAAAAGTATAATGTGAAATCAACGTTTAGACCCTCCTGGGTCTTTATCACAATTGTCCATGATTTTTTTGTTATATATTTTGTTGATATATCATTTAATATCTATAAACAAAAAATCATGGTTAATAACATATCACTCCTGAAATAAATGCGATTGATGAAAAATAGACACTTACAATATACATCACATACTCAGAAATAGGTTAATTTGACTGTTTTGTAAAAAAAGTAATATTAGAAAATGTTTCCTAGGGTAAATTAAAGCAAGTTAATCTCTCTCTTCCCTTAGTGGTTGATTTCAGAAATTACATTTCATTCTATCTCAATATTGATAAATATACAAAATGGAGAAAAAAATATATATTTTTTTTCCTTATTTTTTTTATTTTAATCTAACTTAGGGTTTAACCCATTTCTTGTTATCTGATTGAGCCCACTTCCCAACTGATGCAAACAATTTTGCTGTAGTTTACAAATGATATACTGAATCTGCAACACTTTACTAAGCTTTTCATCTGTAGTATGTATCAACAGAGTACACAGGGCCGGCCTTAGGCAATTAGGCGCCCTGTGCAAAAAGTCTTCACGGCGCCCCCCCCACCTCCCACCAAGTTGCCTGAATACAGTAACACACACAGGCACCGGGGACGTGTGTATCATGAGGCAAACAAGGCATCTGCCTTGGGCGCCACTTTCAGGGCCGTCTATAATATGAATATGACCCCGGGCAAAGCCTTTTCTTGGGCCCCCTGGGCCCTGTCACTGCACCCTCCCTCCCCATTACGCCCAACCCGCAATCACACTGACAGACATACTGACACATACACACACAGACAGACACATTAAAACATTCGCAGATACATACTGACACACACATACACTGACACAAAAATATATACTGGCAAACATTGACACACATTCAGACATACTGATACACACACACACATACATACATACTCACAGACACATACACTGACAGATATACTGACACAGACACACACAGACACATACACTGACAGGCGTATTGACATACACAGACATACTGACATACACACACACACACTGGAACACAGTGAGACATACTGACATACACACACAGACATACTGACATACAAACACACAGACAGTATGTCTGTGTGTGTTAGTATGTCTGTGTGGTGTGTTAGTATGTGTGTGTGTATGTCAGTATGTCTGTGTATGTCAGCATGTCTGTGTGTGTATGTCAGTATGTCTGTGTGTGTTAGTATGTCTGTGTGTGTATGTCAGTTTGTTTGTGTGTGTATATGTCTGTGTGTGTGTATGTCAGTATGTGTGTGTGTGTATGTCAGTGTGTGTGTATGTCTGTGTGTGTGTGTATGTCAGTGTGTCTGTGTGTGTATGTCAGTATGTCTGTCATAGACACACACAGACACACACAGACATACTGACATACATACACAAACAGACATACTGACACAGACATACTAACACACACACATACTAACACACAAACACATACTAACACACTAACACACACAGACACAGACATACTAACACACACACATACAGACATACTAACACACAAACACAGACATACTAACACACACACATACTAACACACACAGACATACTAACACACACACATACTAACATACATTTAGCCACCCTCCAGGTTCTTACCTTTTTATGGAGGGTGGTTTCCCTGGGGTCCAGTGGCAGGCTGAGGCAGATGGGAGTTCTTCTCTGGAACTCCCCTCCTCTCTGCCTTCCTCCTCCCGCGCGGCTATCTTCGGTGGGAGGAAGTGACACGCGGTACTCACTTCCTCCCAGCCTGTACAGGAAGGGGCCCGGTCGTGCTGTTTAAGCGTCACAGCGCCCGACCGGGCCCCTTCTGCCACATGCCCACAGGGTGGCCCTTAGTGCATGGGCCACCCGGGGGCCTCCTTGGTTGGCGGGCCGGTGCGGCTGCACCGCCGGCCGCCGGGTACATGGGGGCTGCTGAAATCGCGGGGCCCACGGGGCAGCTGCTCTGGGAGCCAGAATATGACGTCAGTCCGGCTCCCGGCATCACTAAGCGCTGTTTACTCAGCCTGTGCGCCCCCTGCCTGCCCAGCAGCCACACTGGACTGCTGGTAAGAAATCCACTCCAACTTTCCCAGGGAGGCTGGGTGGATTTAAAATAAATGTAAAAAATATTAGTTTGTGAGTGTTAGTGGAAATGTCTGTGTGTGTGTCTGTGAGTGTTTATTTTGAAGTGAATGTGTGTGTGTCTGTAAGTGTGTAATTGTGTGTGTCTGTAAGTGAATGTGTGTGTGTCTGTGAGTGAATGTGTGTGTTGGTCAGTGAGTGTATATGTGTCAGTCAGTGAGTGTGTATGTGTCAGTCAGTGAGTGTGTATGTGTCGTCAGTGAGTGTGTGTCGGTCAGTGAGTGTGTAGGTCAGTGAGTGTGTATGTGTCGGTCAGTGAGTGTGTGTCGGTCAGTGAGTGTGTGTCAGTCAGTGTGTATGTGTCGGTCAGTGGAGTCGTGCATCTTTCAGTGAGTGCTTGCGTCTGTCAGTGAGAGTGTGCATCTGTCAGTGTGTGTCCAAGTAATAGTGTATGTGTGTATGTCATTGTTTGTCAGTGTATATGAGAGTGTGTGTCTGTCAGTGAGTGTGCGTCTGTCAGTGAGTGAGCGTCTGTCAGTCAAAGTGCGGCCTTGACAGGAAGGGGTGGGGGAAATTTAAACTCGGTTACAGGCATGTACACACACACTCAGTTAAAGGCAGTCACACATACAGGCACAGGCACAAACAATGGCACAGCGACACACACAGACAGTCACATAGGCAGTCACACACACAGACAGACACACAGTAACACACACATAGACAGTTATACACACACAGGCAGGCAGTCACACAGATAGAAAGTCACACACACAGGCAGGCAGTCACACACAGACAGATAGTTACAGACAGACACACACAGGCAGGCAGGCAGTCAGTCACATACAGACAGTCACACACACAGACAGTCACACAGACAGACAGTCTCACACACACACGGGCAGTCACACAGACAGACAGTCACACACACAGGCAGTCACATACATGGGCAGTCACACAGACAGACAGTCACACACACAGACAGTCACACACAGGCAGGCAGTCACACACAGAGACAGTCACACATACACACAGAGACAGACAGTCACACACACACACACACAAGGACAGGCAGTCACACAGACAGTCACACGCACACAGGCAGTCACACAGACAGTCACACACACACACAGTCACACAAACAGGCAAACAGTCACACACACACACTTACCTCTTTCCAGTGGATGCAGTTGGCTGATGGGGAAGCATCTTTCCCTCTTCCTGTACAGCCGGGGCTTCGGGAGGTATTAGCCCCGTCTCCGCCTCTCGATAAGCCCCGCCTCCGCCGCTCGGTAAACCCCGCCCCCTCTGCCGCGATTTTTTTTTTTTTTTTTAAATAGATCCCGGTGGAGAATAATTAATCCTCCAGCCAGGTACCTCTTTTAGCTCCCCTGCACTCCGGCCATGAGTGAGCTGTGTCGGCCACAGGGCGCCCCCTGTTCCATGGCGCCCTGTGCGGTCGCACAGCTCGCACACCCCTAAGGCCGGCCCTGAGAGTACACAAAGGATGATATAAGCAGTGTAGGGTCAGTATGGTAACCTACTTTATTGATATCACTTCTTATTAGTTCTCTTTTCTAGTTGCTCTGGCTTTCTATAGTTAAGCTTTTGAGGACACATGTAAATGAAAGGGCAATCAACACTAATTGTTTAATTATTTCACTGTCTTTAACTGTATTGTGTTGAAGTCTTCGAGTGGTGAATTCTTCTACCCTAGAGTGGTGAGCAGACTTTGGGTTTGTTTTAAACTGCTATTTAAATATACATTTGTGTGACTGAGAAATATTGCTGATTTTAAGAGCAATATTCTGATGGAAGTTAAAATAAATAACTGTTAAAACTCTCATTTTTCAAACAGAGGATGGGGCTGACCTTGATAGCATTGAAGCTGTTGCCAGTGAAGTTTTGAAAATGGAAATGCCCACTACACCTGAACAGCTCCAGGCCTTAACAGAAGATATTCGGGATCGTGTGCAGAGCCTGTCTAATGTAGAGACAATCCTCCAACAGAGTGCTGGAGATATAGCTAGAGCTGAGTCTCTCTTGGATGAAGCAAAGAAGTCAAGGTGAGTACATTCAAATCTGTATTTCATAAGAGAGCCTATTTGGGAGGGGAGGAACCTACAGAATACCAAAGGGACTTGTATAGAAAGTCCAGAAAAAATAGACTCTCTGGTCACTCCGTTTAATTGCTAAACAAGCAAGTATGTCTTGATTGTTAACAGCCCCTCCATCAGCCCTTTGACCGTATATTTTTTTTACATAATATTTGCTCATAAAAATATATTATATATCATTTTGTTACAGTAAAAGTGCTGAAGACATTAAAGCTACTGCAGACATGGTGAAGGAAGCTCTAGAAGAAGCAGGAAAAGCTCAAGATGCAGCAGAAAAGGCCATCAAACAAGCAGATGATGACATCAAAGGGACAAATGATCTGCTCACGTCTGTGAGTCACTTTTAAGAAACATTTACATGCAAACAGAAATGGGAATCCTTACTTTTGTTATGGTGGTTAAACATAATTTGGGAATATTGTAAATCCATCAATTGCATGTACAAATTTAATTTACAGAATATTTACCTAGTACCATCAATTCCAACTCTAACATGACAGTCAAGCAGAAAATTCTACAGTTGTACAAACCCAAACATTTTTGTACAACCCTTCATGTCGGAGGTTCACGTAATGATACAACAACAAAAAATAGCATCTGGTACAAATAAGATTCTAAATTCCATCCTTGTTTTATGTTTTGGCCTCACTTAAGAAGTCAAAACAGTATTTAAATACAGATATTGCTGTTGCAAGCATGCTGGTAATAAGTAGATATATAAGTATGCAGGAACAGCTCATTAATGCTGACTTGAAGAATCAGTATTGGAAAAAAATCGCAAATTTAGCATGATCAGCAACTCTACCAGAGGAAAAAAAAAAAAAAATAACTCAGGCAAGAAACATGAACTAATCTTGTTTTTTTTTTTAGTCATTTTTAAAAAAAAAAATGCTGTATGATTAACCCTTGTGCCTTAAAGCTGTCCAGTTTAGTCGCTTTTCGGTTTTCCGAAAAATCTCAGTTGGATTGAACGGGCACTTCCCCTAATGTTGGAGGTACTGGAAAAAAATTCCATTTGGAAAATTTTGCTCAGGAGAACCAATATTTTTTGCTCTGCACAAATCTGGTAGTTACTGTTATGTGACGGTGCTGTTTTAGCTTATCATGTTCTTTTATAAAACAGTCTCCACTGTTTTCAACTTCATGACGTCTACTCCATATTATTTTCACTGGTTGCTTACCATTATAATAATGGTACCTATAAATAGATTGCCTTATAAGTAGTAATATTTTCTGAACATGGATGTTCTGAACTTGCTAACAATATTAAATATAATAATTTTATTATTACTCCAGTTATTCAGTATACTGAATGTTGGTCGAAAGATGGAACAAAATCATAATCTTAGTCTTTCTTATTATTTGTTCCACTAACAGATTGAATCAGAAGCAACAGCATCTGAAGAAACTTTAAGTAATGCCACGGAACGTCTTACCCAACTGGAAAAAAATGTTGAGAATCTTTTGAAAAAATCAACTGCTAATTCTGAATCCGTAGAGAAAATTGAAAAATCTGTTGACGATGCCAAGTCAGATGCCGATGGAGTTAAAAAGGTTTGCCTATCATATTTCTCATTGACAAAAACATTTTTCTTCAAAACTAAAATGCTTCCTGTTTTTATTGTATATTGGTCTTCAATATTTGTTTTTCTTCATTATGGACTGGTTTTGGATTCACGTCAACCAGATACAGAAAAATGTTTGCGTAATTTACACTTAATTTCCTCTTTAGAATTATATACAAAATAAAATTGATAGAACTAATACATATAAGTGTGAAAAAACTGTCTTCTAATAAACACTTCTTTCACTGCAGGCTCTTGATGGTGATCTTACTGATAAATATAAGCGAGCTGAAGACTTGATAGCAAAGAAAGCTGAAGACTCAACAGAGGCCAAAAAGAAGGCTGAACAGCTTCAAAAGGAGGCCAAATCTTTGCTAACACAAGCAAATAAGAAACTCAGCTTACTCAAAAGTAAGTGTATATATCAATCAGACACTTTACACATTAGTTTATTTCAGTAACAATTATAAAGAAAACTTGCCATCTAAAAAACGTTCACTGTAAAATTAATAGACTTCTAATTAGTACATTTTAGTGGAAATAAATAATGTACCTTCAAGATAATATCTAGAAATAGACTGTGTGTCTGTGTGGTAACAATTTGTATTTTGCTTAAATTGTGTTCCTGGGCCCTATTTGTTAAGAGATAAATTTAACCCCTTCCCGACCGAGGACGGTTCAGGACCGTCATCGGGATTTTCCCATTGCGGACCGATGACGGTCCTGAACCGTCCTAACGGTTTCCGTTACTTACCTGATCGCCGTCGTTCCCCCGGCGGCGATCAGTGTTGCTCCGGTGTGGGGAGACTGCCTGCAGCCCAGACAGTCTCCCCACACTGATTTAGGACCCCTGGGGCCATGTGATCGCTTAACACAGCGATCACATGGTCACAATGGGTGTCCATAGTGCTGCCTGCAGGGGGACTGCCTGTGCTGACAGGCAGTCTCCCTGCTAGTGTAAAATCAAAAAAAAAAATAAAGTTAATGTTAATAAAAAAAATAATAATAATTATATATGTGTATATATGATATATAGACATATATTATATCTATATAATATATGTCTATATATCATATATATAATGCCATACTAAGTGTATTTTTATATTAATATGTACTTATATTAATATAAAAATACACTTATAATTAAATTACACACGTATATATATATAATATATATAATAACTATATAGATTGTATATATATATTATTATAAAATATAAATAATAAGTAATTTAAATTAAATAAATTTTTTTTAAATAATAATAAAAAATTTAAAAAAAATTATATATCTATATGAAATTTTATTCTAACTGTATTTTAAAATTATATATATATATTTATATCAAAATACACTTAGAATGAATTTGTATATATATCTATGTATATAAAAATAAATAAAAATAATAAGAAATATACATATGTCCATATACAAAATTACATAAATAATTATATAAATATACACGTAGACTTCAAATATATAAATATGCATATATATTTAAATTCTACGTGCGTATTTATGTAATATTTTTACATAATTCAGTAATTTTATTGATTGCAATTTGAGGGACCTGCCTGCCAACCCAGGCCGAAATTCCAGAGAATTTAATTTGCTAGCACTGTATTTTACCCTGTAACGTTCTACGACACCCTAAAACCTGTACATGGGGGGTACTGTTTTACTCGGGAGACTTCGCTGAACACAAATATTAGTGATTCAAAACAGTAAAACATATCACAGCGATGATATTGTCAGTGAAAGTGACTTTTTTTGCATTTTTCACACACAAACAGCACTTTTACTGATGATATAATTGTTGTGATACGTTTTCCAGTTTTTAAACACTAATATATGTGTTCAGCGATGTCTCCCGAGTAAAACAGTACCCCCCATGTACAGGTTTTATAGCATTTTTGAAAGTTACAAGGTCAAATACATGGGTCAAATATTTTTACATTGAAAATGGCCAGGTTGGTTACGTTGCCTTTGAGAGCGTATGGTAGCCCAGGAATGAGAATTACCCCCATGTTGGCATACCATTTGCAAAAGAAGACAACCCAAGGTATTGCAAATGGGGTATGTCCAGTCTTTTTTAGTAGCCACTTGGTCACAAACACTGGCCAAAATTTGCGTTCAATTTCGTTTTTTTACTTTTTTCACACACAAACAAATATGAATGCTTACATTGGCCAGTGTTTTCGACTAAGTGGCTACTAAAAAAGACTGGACATAACCCATATTGAATACCCTGGGTTGTCTACTTTAAAAAAAATATGTACATGTGGGGTGTTATTCAGAGATTTATGACAGATAATAGTGTTACAATGTCACTATTGATAAATTTTAAAAATGCATGTTTTGAAACCGCAATATCCTACTTGTACCTATAGCCCTATAACATGCAAAAAAAAAGCAAAAAAGCACGTAAACACTAGGTATTTTTAAACTCAGGACAAAATTTTGAATCTATTTAGCAGTTTTTTTCATTCGCTTTTGTAGATGAGTAAAAGATTTTTCAAGTAAAAGTCAAAAAACATGTATTTTTTTCAATTTTTCATCAGATTTTTTATTTTTTTTAAATTAAAATACATGAGATTATATAAATAATGGTATGTAAAGAAAGCCCCTTTTGTCCTGAAAAAAACAATATATAATTTGTATGGGAACAGTAAACGAGAGAGCGGAAAATTACAGCCAAACACAAACACCAGAAAAGTGTAAAAATATTCCTGGTCGCAAATGTACAACATCGCAAAAACAGTCCAGTCCTTAAGGGGTTAAAGAAATTCTATACATGGTTATTCACTAAAGTGAGACTTCAAAGTTAATTTCTAATAAATTCAAATACAATCAAAATAGCCAAACTGGAAACATTCTCTAACCCATATACATGCTATCAGTTTGGCTACCATGGCCTTAAATTTGAAATTCATTTTGAATTCTCACTTTAATAAATAATCCTGATCTTGTTTATTATATAGAAATATCTTTTTTATCTTTTAACTGTTATTGCATGAAAAAACATTCAGTACAAGAACAACTAAAAAGAAGAAAAATAAACTTGCTAATCATGGTACAAATGTCAAGGTAGTGTTGAAGCTACCACAATTGCGGCTTAGGTATGTTTTCTGCAAAATAAGAAATTAATTAGGGGTTTTAGGAGAGAACTAGAGAAAGGCAACATGTGTTCGAACAGTATAAGCAAACCTTCCAACAGTAATCCTGTGGTTACCAGGAAAAAAATGGAAAAAATGGCAAAATCAGCATGATATTATATGTGCTTCCAATCCCCAAACTCGGTGCCTGATATTTTTGTCTTTAAATTCAGCAAATTGCCAGTGTTGGACTGGCAAACATGATAAGATGAGTAAGAAAAATCGCATCATTTGCAGATCTGCAAATTTGACTATGTGAGAAAGTGCTTTGACATTAAAGGGACACTATAGTCACCAGAACAACTACAGCTTTTTGCATTTGTTCTGGTGAGTAGAATCATTCCTTCCAGGCTTTTTGCAGTAAACACTGTGTATTCAGAGAAAAATGAATTAGTAAATTAATAGCACTTTTTTTATTTATCAACTCATCCTGTCCAATTAAATTTGGGACTGGTATAGTGATATATCTTCATATCAGCAACGCTATTCAGTAGTAGAGTAGAGCAGGGGTAGGCAACCTTTGGCACTCCAGATGTTGTGGACTACATCCCCCTTGATGCTCTTACACCTATAATGCTGGCAAAGCATCATGGGAGATGTAGTCCAAAGATTACAATTAGAGGTGTAGTCATCTGCGGTGTCGAAGGTTGCCTATGCCTGGAGTAGAGTGTAGTTGTCTGGGTCATCTGGGTTGAACATTTAAAGGAACACTCTTATCAAAAATATATATATATATCTTAATACAATCTATATGTTATATATGCTATCTCATTTCTCTCGCTCTTTTTTTTTTAATTCATGTTGACATTTTTGTAGAAAACACTTGCTTAGCGTTCCCACTCCCCATTTCTGACAGCCATCTTAATGCACATTTGGTTGGGTTGTCTGTTATTTTACCCAGTTCTCACAAAGAGTCCATTGTTTTTGACAATTACCTGACAGAAATGTTGCACTTAGAGAACAAAAGGAATGTGTTAATGTATTGGTACTGCAAGTATTAGCAGACATGAATGCATTAGTGTTTATAGATTTATAATTTCTTTATAAAACAATATCCAACTTGTGTATATATAGTATCAAAGCTGACAAGGGCCTTGATTTTATTAGTTTGAATCAACACCAGAAATGATTCCAATGATTCTATTCTGTTAGATAAAACTTTTCAATAATTTAACTGCAGACATCATCATTAAAGTCTAGGAAAATTTTTAGATAAAACATTTGAAAAGCTTTTTCTAACAGATTGCAATAATTTATGTTGCTGATTCAAAAAAAATTAATGCCAATATGACAATATTTGCGTAGATCATATGTTTACATCATGCATGTTCAATCTACTTTGTTTTCTTACAGATTTAGAAAAGACATATGAAGATAATCAGAGGGTTCTTGAAGAAAAAGCCAAACAGTTAGTTGAATTGGAAGGAACCGTTCGATCGCTTTTACAAGCCATTAGCCAGAAAGCAGCTGTATACAGTACTTGCATATAAGCTCAAATTTGGTTCAGGCAACAAAATTGGGACCAAATATTCCATAATTTATTGGATGAAGACTAAACTCGAAATAAAGAAATTATTTTTACGATTGGTTTTATTAAATAAAATTTGAAAACGTGTGATAATTTGTGACACGATTACAAAGTTCTTAATGGTTCCATTGTCTGTGTTTGTTGGCAGAGACAGACCATAACAACTTGTGCTACAAATTCACATAAATATGACTATTTTTAATTGTAATATTTTGCACTTGATTAGTATTAGTTATGTAAAACACAATAATAGCATTTACTCTGTAGTGAAAACAAATTGTTAAATATAGGTTTTGGCTCAATGTAATTAACTGGAAAGTTGACTGGCATTGTTCATGAAAACCTGTTATCCTATATAAACCATCTTTTAAACTACAACTGCATTGGAAAATTATCCAGATTACACTATAATCCATGTACTCAAGAGTAATATTTTTTGTAACTAAAGTTTATTTATTTTTAATATGTATTAAGTATTAAAGGAACACTATAGTCACCTAAATTACTTTAGCTAAATAAAGCACCTTTTCCTTCAAATGTCACTGAACGAATTTGAAATGAATAACAAGCCTAGCCATACCATAGACAACTTGAGCTTTGCCGAGCGTAGGGCTCTTCAAGATTTCAAACAGCAAACTGATCTTATAGTCAAACCAGCTGACAAAGGTGGCAACATTGTCCTCCTGAAACGGTCTGAATATGTTGATATGTGCATGTGTCATCTTAATGACATCTCCTACTATAGAATTCTTTCCTCAGACCCTACAAGTACCTATGTTAATGAACTGGAAACTTTATTGCACGATGCTCTCAATCAACAGATCATTAACCAGGACGAACTCAAATTTCTATTACCTAATAAAACTCCAACTATTGCCACCTTTTATTGTCTTCCGAAAATACATAAAGGTACCCGTCCCCCCCCTGGTAGACCTATAGTATCTGGCAATAACTGTCTTACAGAAGCCCTGAGTAAATTTGTAGAAAAGATTCTACATCCTCTAGTACTCAAATTACCATCGTACCTTCAAGATACAAAGTCCACCCTTCTCACATTACAGGATATGACCGTTCCACCGTACACTCAGCTAGCAAGCCTTGATGTGATTTCTCTATATACCAACATACCACATCACTTAGGTCTAAGGGCTTGCAGCTCTTTTCTTGATAATACCTTATATAATGATCTACAAAAGAAATTCATCCTAGCTGCCCTTGAATTTATCCTTACACACAACTATTTTGTATTTAATGGAGCCTTTTATCTCCAAATATCTGGTACTGCTATGGGGACGGCTTGTGCCCCCACTTATGCCAATTTATTTCTAGGGTGGTGGGAGCAGCATGTCGTCACTGCCACAAAGTTCAGTTGTTTCCATCAATACATTCTGAGCTGGCATAGATATATTGACAACATGCTGCTCCTGTGGACAGGTTCTGTCCCCGTGTTTGAAGACTTTGTCACTATGTTGAATGACAATGACATCAATCTTAAATTGACATATGTGATTGATGAACACGAACTGGTGTTCCTGGATTTAAAGATCCTACTCGAGCAAGACGGGACCATCCAAACTGAATTGTTCAGGAAGGAGACATCTACCAATAGCCTGTTGCACTGGACGAGCCACCATCCATATCGTTTAAAGGCTTCCATTCCCTACAGCCAATACCTTAGAGCGAGACGCAATTGCTCACATGACCAAACTTCTTACAACGAATGCAAGATTTTGAGGTCACGGTTCAAGGAATTGGGATACCCCAACCGGGTCCTAAAACAGGCCTTTCACCGAGCGTGTGGTATAGATAGACACTCCAGTCTCCAATCTTCGAGACCAGCACAAGAACTTAAGGCACCTCGCTGTATCGCCACCTTTGACCAAGGCTGGGACAATATGACCACTATCCTACATAGGAACTGGCCAATTCTCCTACATAACCCAGTGCTAAACAAAATCTTACCAAACCATCCATCACTAACAGCACACCGACCGACCAATCTTTATGATCAATTAGTTCATAGCCAAATAACATATACGGGAGTGAAACAGCCATATATCGGCAAATCAATTCTCGCTGAGAACCTAGTGCATCAAACACACTCTTTTGATATGCAGCTTTTACAGACATTATAAGCGCACTGAATAGATCTATAATACTGCTCTCACGAAGGGGTATGCATGAATGCACTGTTTGATTCGATGTGCACTCTAGCCCCTCTTGATATAGCAGAAACAGAGCAGACAACGGTAGCAATTCGGCTATTGCATCCTGTCAGTATTAGCAGACATTGCTTATACTGCTAGATGGGTAAAAAGGTTACATTCTGTTCACTTTATTTGCTAACCATTCTGACGAATAGACTGTATCTATTTTTGTTCACACAGTCATCAGATACTTTTTTGCGAATATATCAAGTGAACAGCCTTGAAGCAATCCATGGGTATAGTGACCCCTAGTGGTCAATTATCAATATGACATTTCTGGCAGAACAATTTTTGTAATATGCCAATATTTTTACTTTTGTGCTATTACTACTAGCCACTTATTAGATAACAACATCTACACTGAGGCAATTCGCCCATTTGCTTTTAGTGGGGTTTTGGAGATAGCATCTCTCCTTTCTACTCCAAACCCTACCACTACTAGAGTGTATGCAGACTCTGGAACCTGTACATATATTCCTTTATCCTCACTCACTAGTATAACCAATTTTTGTTTAATGTTTCCTCACAATCCCCTTTTCTCCCTCTATATACGCCCCCAGCACCTATAGGTGGTCTTTTGGGCATGTCTAATTTTGGACACCCACGAGAATCACATTAGATCAAGAGAGGCAGTCTATTTAGGAACGTCTTTTGTATAATACCAATAAAGTATCTTCTAGATTTTTATCAAAGGGACAGAATCTCTTTCTCTTGAAGCTAAATAAAGCAGTTTTAGTGTATAGATCATTCCCCTGCAATTTCACTGCTCAATTCACTGTCATTTAGGAGTTAAATCACTTTGTTTCTGTTTATGCAGCCCTAGCCACACCTCCCCTGGCTATGATTGACAGAGCCTGCATGGAAAAAAAAACTGGTTTCACTTTCAAACAGATGTAATTTACCTTAAATAATTGTATCTCAATCTCTAAATTGAACTTTAATCACATACAGGAGGCTCTTGCAGGATCTAGCAAGCTATTAACATAGCAGGGGATAAGAAAATCTTAATTAAACAGAACTTGCAATAAAGAAAGCCTAAATAGGGCTCTCTTTACAGGAAGTGTTTATGGAAGGCTGTGCAAGTCACATGCAGGGAGGTGTGATTAGGGTTCATAAACAAAGGGATTTAACTCCTAAATGGCAGAGGATTGAGCAGTGAGGCTGCATGGGGCATGTTCTATACACCAAAACTGCTTCATTAAGCTAAAGTTGTTCAGGTGACTATAGTGTCCCTTTAAAGTTTCATAGTCAAAATATCATACCTGAGGTTGTGTTGCAAAACCATATTAGGAGGGCAGTGGTTTTGGTTTAGGAGTTTTTTTCAATATGTTTTTGCATTACACTTTGGAAATAGTTGTGAATGCAGAATGTAAGTATTACTTATACCCTTTTAGGACCTTTAAACAGCTGGTAATGGTAATTTAATCATTTATTATTATTATTATTATTAGCATTCATATAGCACCAACATATTCCGTAACACTTTACAATATTTATCATATCTGATACCGGAATGAAAAGTGTAGACCAAAATATCGGCGCTGAAAAAAACAGTTGAGTTGGAGAATGTTACCTATTTCGTTTTTTGGTCTAATACTCTAACGTATCGATTCCAAAAACCGTACCAAGTAAAACTAATACATTCACAGGTTTTACTCTTGTTGAAGTTTGATAAGGCCTATTTGTGGCATGTGCTCCTTATTTTCTAAACTCATTAACATTTTACCATTGGCCACAGATGATGTTGTAACAAAAACCTCTTTACATTTCTTCAATTACGCAGCTACTCAAGACACTGGAGACAATACATTTTTTTTAAGATCTGCAGGAGTACTTCTCTATAAAAAGGTTGAGAAACACTGATTTAGATTATATGTACTGGGATCCCAGGTGTCATTGTGGCATGCTGAGTGCATATCCAGTGTTTTGCATATTCAGAAACTTATGACTGAATTGACGCAACCAAGAATCAATACCTTTATCCATACGGCATCCATTTGACATGCTACACACCTACTGTTTCTTGAAAAACTGATAGATAAAACTGCACTGTCAGATGCCCTTGACAGACCCATTCTTCCAAGGCGTATCTGCTGGGACTTTTGGAAACAGGTTAGAGAAGGCAAATCAGAATATGGTTTGTGCATGAATGGTTTTAAATAACCACCAGAATATTGGCCCAATGTCATAACGTAGAGTGAACCAGATATTACAGGCCACCAAAGTGCCACCTATAATTGACAATTTCCTGATGACTGGTTTCAGGATAGAATCAGGAAGCACTTGAGCGAAGAGTATGCAGGCAATCAGGCACACAGAATTCTAGTCTGGTGGCATTAACTCTGCCTCCACTGTTATAGGATATTATGTGAACAGTTCTTTATTCTGTTCATTAAGTGAAAGGTGGGGAAACAAATGGCATTAACACAAAACCCTGTTCCAGTTCAATTCTCATAAGATCACTCACTAACTCTGGATCTGTCATTGCTGTTTGTAGATTATTGCATTCCAGTGTACCAGATGGCAAGTGTATGATACCCGTGTGAAACCCCTTAGACAACCCTTCGGTGAGAAATTTAACCAAGTGTTGTGAGGGGTGGGGTCGTAACAGAACAGAAAATAACATGACATTGATGCAAGTTGGGTAAGGTTTAGGAAAGATTTTATTAGGATACATGGTTTTTGTGTCATACCGAGACCAGTCTCCGAGCAAGCTGGAGGAGGCAGCGGGCTTATAGCGTTTGGTGAGTGGTCAGGTAAGTAGAACAGAAACAGGAACTAGGACCGCAATGGAAAACAGGTAAGAGACACCAAAATGGCAACTTGACCGGACGTAACCCCTTGAACTCGCCAGACCAACAATGGTAAAGTGGGAGAGGATTGGCCCTTTTAAAGGAGATCCAAGCCCCCCACAACTACAGGCCTAGCCTTAAGTATATTGTAACAAACCACCTCTTTTACAGGTAGGATGTTGTCACAGATCTTACAGTAACCACAGCCTTCTAGGGTAATCAAAGTCAAGGACACATCCAGTTCAGTTTTCCTTTTTATTTGATAAGAAAAAAGGTGCTTTAAATAAACAAAACAAAATTCCTTGCTCTTACTAGACAGAAATAACCATCTGTAATTGGGTGGCTTTCCCACTTACCAAATTTCGAAAAACTAAACAGATTTGCAATAAACACAGTTGTTCTCTCCTAGCTGCCTTTTTCTCCCTCACTCCGCAGCAGGCTGATCTCTTCTTTTAAAGGCCTGCCTGCTAATTGACCCGCTACAGGTGAGTGTCAATTAGTTAACATTTCTTAAGTGAAATCCAAGTTCTGATCTGTTACAGAGCAACTAGTGCTGTTGGAGCACTGGCCCACCCTGCTCTCCAAATGCTGCGCCCCAGGGACCCATACCGTGTTTTGCATAGTATCAGCCATGTATATTGCAAACTTAACATCTCTCCCTGGGACATTTAACTGAAAATTCTCTGGCTGCTGTTTAGCAAAGCAGGTCTGATATATCTTCCTTCAACAACCATTCCACATTTTCGCTCAAAAAAAATAAAAATATATATATGTTTTTTTTTTATTTATTTCCAGAGGTCCTTGCACTTAGACTGTACAGCAAATCTTCATTGCCGGGTGCTTGAATGAATACAGGAAAGTCAAAAAGATGGTAAGCATTCAAGGTCTTTGCAGAGTTAAAAGTAAAAGCTTTATTGAAGAATCATTCTTCAATAAAGCTTTAACGTTTAACTCTACAAAGACAGTGAGTGCTTACCATCTTTTTGATTTTCCTATAAATATGTGTATATTTTTGTTAAGGCTTTGTTTGGAGTTGTGGGAGGGGCTTAAATACCTTTTCAAAGGTACTCCACACCTTCCCCAATTTACTTGTGGCTACTTACGTTCACACGCAGGTCACCATTGGCAAACTTACCTTGTCTCCACGTAGACTTTCTACTTGACTTGCTGACTGTCCTCTGATACAGTGCTCCTCTTACCTGACTTTAATCCTCCCATGAAGCTGGCTTCCTCCTTCATCTCACCAGAGACTGACTCACTGGAAACACACTCTGAACCGTAAGAAACAGGCCCAGCCATCGTGCCTTGGTGGCAGTCTCACGGTTTGCTCATGGTTTGGGTCCATTCTCTTTATTCAGTCTATTGGTATACACTGTTTTCGTATGGTAATTAGTGTATTTCAATTTGTTTACAACTCACAAATGCTTGTCATTTTACTCTTTCGGGGGCCTTTGGGACTTAGCTTGTATATTATGACTGTCCCGTTCGGCTCATTTCGCACGAACAGCTTACGCATGATTTTGTATGTTTATTATGGTTTGACAGATCTTTTCATCTATTTTACAAACAAATGCTCCCGCTTGGTTAGGACAGTTACGGCTGGACAGAACATTCGCGCAAATACACACAAACGCTAATTCCATATGAGTGTTACATGTAGTTTTCAGTATGAAGTTTTTAGACTTTGATATGTGACATGTAGTGGTTATTAAGAATACTGCATTCCAAATTAGTTTTGGTTTAACTTAATCACTTAGGACCCTGTGTATATTACATCCTAAAAGGATACAATAAACGTTGAAGTTCTTCTAATATCCCCTTGTTTTAACTACGTGAATGTCTGTTGTTTACTCTAGGTCTAGTTCACTAAACGCATAAATGAATTTGGGTTCTTCTAATATCCCTTTTATCTTGATGAAGTTGTTTTCTTGTTTTAACTACGTGACGTTTCTTATGTCTGTTGTTTACTCTAGGTCTAGTTCACTAAACGGTTAGCATAAATGCATCTTTTGTCATTTGGGTCCTTCCTACAACCTTTGTCAAACTTAGGTGGGTTACATTTTGATGATATCGTATTCAGTCAAATATGTCTCAGGGCTCTCGTCGCTGTAAATACTCATTGTGTATTTCACTGTGTTATTAGGTTCCTTATTCAGGACTGCTGCTTTCACTTGAATCTGTTTCTACATTCAAGGTGGATCCTGGTTTATAGGCTATATTTTGGCTCAGGGGCCACTACTCATCTTGAATACTATGTTTTATTTACGAGTTACAGGGTACTCAGCATTTCAGTGCAGCATTTGCTAAACATACCCTTTTACCTTGCAAGATAGGTAGGTCTGTTACAGATTATTTTAAATTGGGTTTACGATCTGGCACTTATGATTCTTAAGTATGTCTTTCTCATTATTAGGTTCTAGGTATCAACTATTTACTGCACGACCTCTTACTTATTGTTGAACCTACCTGCCAACAATTAGGTATACTGTATCTATAGAATTATTTTTATGTCACATACCACATCTTTCTACAACAATTTCATTACTATAGGTCTGCTCCATACACTCTTTTCTGCAGTTGTACTGCATTACTGACTTACTCATGTAAACGTACGTCAATTTCCCATTTACATATACGCTGCCATACCTTCTTGCTTTAGTTAGTTTTGTTACTGGCTAATAGGATGTTAGAAGTCCAATAGTAAAGAATTTCTCAGGTCTCTACGCCTTAGGTTAGTGGTCCTTTGAGGCCAACACCCATGCTCATAATCGGAGGTGCTACGCCCATTGGCCCAACTCATAGTTATTCACCTCGCATGGTGGCATAGAGAGTGCCTGAACCTGTCACTCCCATTCTATCATGCTTTAAAAGTCACAGAGAGGCCGACACCTAACCACAGCGTTTGGTGGACACAAAATCCCCTTGCACCAACACATAGATAGAGCCTCTCAAGCCGCTTGGCATATAGCGAGGCCTCACCTATCACCAACTTAGTGTAATTTTTTTTGCCACTTGGCATTAACTAGTAAGCCAGTACATTGTTGGGGTATACACTAATTATTACTTTACATTATTTAGCATATCTCAACTACAAGAAGGTGGCAAAGAACTGTCTCTCCCCAACACTCCTGCTAAGTCTGGTACACCTTTACACAGAGGGGACATGGCTAGTCCCACTTCTATTAGATCATGGACTATACCTCGTATTACAATTGAACTACGTAAATGGCAACAGCTAGGAAAGCAGAACTTTTCAGATTACTGCATACCACCACGGTAAACACCGATGCCGGGAGGGCCCTTGTGGATCTAATATGTCAGACCTTCACTCCATGATGTCATTGGTCTTGTCCTCTTTTGGGCAGATTAATGACAGATTGAAGAGACTAGAGTCTGGCGACCTGGCAATGTCACCAGCCGGGATTTCCACTACAATACAGTCAGAACCTGCGCCAGCTCAATAAGGTAATTCATTGTCCACCATGAATGCACCCCAAGATATAAATCCGGCTCACATGGTCCCTGGCCAATATCAAGAAAAATATTCTGGAAGGCAAATATGTAAACCTGGTTTCGCTCCTAATTGCTTCCCAGGATATCGCTGACAGTAAATGTTTGCATACAGAGACTTGTCAGTTGTCTTAAAAGTTAGGAACCCAAGATTAAACAGGAAACTGTCTATCCCAGAATTTGTATTGGTATTTGGGATCTATAGGGTATTATGCTCTATCTATCCTCATAGGAGAGAAGAATTTGACCTATACATGCACAAGCTGGTGGACTTAGGGCATAAATATGGTGGTATGGCATGTTATGACCACCACCGGTACTTCTCTGCAAAAGTGTCTGTGGCTCTCACTCAGTTCGGCATAAAGACTGACTTGGGTCAACTAGAGACAGAGCTATTCTGCCGACACTTTGCAGGCCTAAGAACACCAGCCTGTGCAATTTGTACGTCCACTTCTCACACAGTATCTCCTAACTTTGAAGTTGCCAGCTCGTCATGCAGGCTGATGCATATTTGTTCTAATTCTTACAGAGTCCATGCTAAAACCTGTGTCCCAACAAAATGTATCCTAAACCATACTTAACCTCTGTAAATGTGACTGCTATATTATCAAATCACCCTTCAAAACACCTGGTGGATTTCTTAGTTTCTGTTTTTTATTCAAGGTTTCTATACAGGCATCATATACATGCCATCAGCTACAATAGAGTGTATCAGCTACAAACAGCCCTATTAAATCCAGAGGCAGTTGATACACTTCGACAACAAGAAGTTAAAGAGGGTTTCCTTTTGTTTGTTTTTTTGACCCCTACCTTTTACTTCATGGAGGGCAAACCCTATCTGTATTGTCACAGGAAAGAACTCCATGAAACAAAGGTTAATTATAGACCTATCCGCCCACCATTCAACAGCAATTCCGTGTTTGAATTCTCTGATTCGATCTGATGAATTTTCCCTTCAATACACCACAATAGATACTGTCATCACAGCTATTCTCAAAGCAGGGGTAGGCGCGTGGCTTGGTTGAACAGATATAGTCAACCCCTTTAAACTCCTACAGATGTGCCATCACTCTGGCACATGCTTGCAGTGCCATCTTAACAGCATTATGGGCCCCTGGGCAAAGCAGTGCACTGGGGCCCTGCCTACACATCAACTCACTGGAATAAAAATGTAAATTATCGATAAAAATAGGCTTATATTTATTGGTACCTTCAACAAATGCAATACATACATACACACAGACTGCTAAATATAGTCACAGACTGCTGAATACACGCACACACCGACTGCTGAATACACGCACACACAGACTGCTGAATACAAACACAAATTGACTGCGGAGTACACGCACACAGACTGCTGGATACACAAACAAAGACTGCTAAATACTCCTAGTCTGCTGAATACAAACACACACACACACTGCTGAATACACCCAGACTACAGTGATATATAATGATTATTAAAATCTTTATGTCCCCCCGCCCTTCTTCTTACCTTTTGTGAAGGAGGGGGGACACAGCCAGTCGTGATGGTCGTCCGGTGATGAGTTCTGTATAGCCTGCAGCTCCTCTAGCTGCAGACTATCTCCTGTCCTCCCAAGCACAGAATGCTGTGTGGAGCGTTGCACAGCCTGCTCGCGCGAGGAGCGATCTTCCTCTCAGGTCCCTCATCCTACCTCCTGGTACTTCACGCCCTCTCTCTCTCCTTTAAAGATTTTGATCTTCCCACCAGCCCGAGAGGGCCCACTTGAAGAAAACAGGGCCAGCTCTCCATGGGCCGACAGGGGAGATCAAAGGATCTCCCCAGTCGGCCATGCACATGGGCATCGCAGTGGGGCCTCCATGCTTTCGGGCCCCCAGGCAACTGCCCAGCGTGCCCATAGGGAAAAATGGCCCTGCCTGCTACTTTTTCTCCCAACTTACATTTGCTTCCAAATGTAGTCCAATATGTAGAGACAATATGCTGGTTATTACTTAATGTCCCACAGTAATCCGCTACCTGGACAATTTCCTTATGATCAAAGAAGCCATTAGCCTTTTTCAACTACTGGGAGTCCCAGTAGCCTCTAAGAAAATGGAAGGACCTGATACCATTATTAATTTCTTAGGTATTTAACTCGATCCCATTGCCATGCAGTTCAGCCTACCCAGAGTAAAAATAGACCACATCCTTTCATGCATTGACTAATAACTCCACCCAGGTTCTTGCAGTCGCAAAGAATTACAATCTCTGTTAGGTTCACTAAATTCCGCTATGAGGATTATCCCTTAAGGCAGATCTTTTATTTCGAGACTACTATGCCTCTTTCCAGATCTTGCTACTGATGACAGTCGCATCACACTGGATTCCAAAGTTACAGCAGACCTGCTCAAGTGGCATAGATTCTTACTCGGAACAGAAAAAGCATGTTTCTTCCTGAAATCTTGGAAAATTAACCCACCATAAGGATACCACCAGTTTTGCAGCCATATTTGGTGAAGAAACCAGTGGTGTAGTTGGCCAGCAGAAGTTCAGAGCATTGAAGGTTTTTTCACTGTCTTCTGCTCTATTTAAAATATATCCGATAGTAGCGGATCTTGTGGCTTGTGGTCATTTGTGGTCGATATTTTTCAGACAACCAGGTCACATGTCACATTCTTAATAAAGGGCGCTCATCTTCTCTAACCATCCTGAGATTCCTTAGGAGCTTAACTTGGTTGGCAGCTTGTTATCAATTTTTCTCGATCTGTATTCATGAGCTGGGTGTCCAAAATACCGCTGCTGACAAATAGTTTTGATTTAATCTCCAGGCATATCATAAAGCTCTACCTACTGCCTCATGAATAGCCACTGCTACCCCTGTGTTTAAAGACCTGATAACGGACTAGGCTCACAGTCATAAGCTGACAAAAGTTGCTTTGTTAAAACTTGACGAGCATATGATAGAGCTCTTGTTCTATTCAATAGGTTCATATCGGAACACCACATAACTTACTCATTTGCTATGACATCTTTGGTTGGGTTTGCTTCTTTTTGCCATCTCAAACTTAAAGTATCACACAATACCATAAAGTTATATCTCACCAGCATACAGCATCACATGCGAAATCAATGGCCCAACAATCCTAGTTTCATGTCATCATATCAAATTAAAACCATCCTAAAAGGCATTCAAAAATCCAGCACCACACAAGCACAAAAGAGATTGCCTATCCACAATCACCTATTTCAATTCCTATCAGACTTGCTGGACTCTGGCCCCTTCGAACCACAAACCAATCTGTTACAAAGTACCCTGTCTGCCCCCTTTTGCTACACTGTTTCTGTTTATTTTCCTCGAATAAAACCATGAAAAACTTCCACCAGGTCATTCGCAGGAAGGAATGACCGACCACCCGGCATATGAAGTGTGCCACCTATTAACCACCCAGAAGCTGCGGTTTTGGCTTGTTAACCCTGTACACCTCCCAATTATCGAACAAACTGCCGAATGACCAACCACCCTTATTAGCCGCCCAGAAGCTGCGGTTTATGGTTAACCGCAGCTTAATTGACGAACGGCTGTGTGGTCATCATTTGTATGCACGAACACGTGGAGGCGGCCATCTTTAACTGCCGAATGCCCAGCGGGACTTGGTCGTCGACCTTCTGGTACTGTTCTTGGACACTATTATTCACGAATCCTGCTGGGATTCCCAGACCTCCATCTGTTCGTGTCTAAACAATCTAACACCGTGCCATTCGGTACTTTTAGAGTCTGGAGGATAGACCGACTCTATGCCTGAATATTGTGGAGCTTTTTCTGGGTTGATTTTGGCCGAACGCCCCTGGAGACAAACTTTATCCCCATGGTGTTCCCACTATATTTGTGAGATCTGAGCCCTTTTTGGACACCTTGTGCGCTCAGATCCAAGCATCCAAAGCCCGGGACTTCACCCACCATCCCATATATAAGTTGGCATAGGATGGTGCACCCATCAAAGTCCCACATCTTTGGATGTTATTAACTCCATCAAAAATTAAAAAGAAAGTGTGTTCCAAAGGATACTGTACTATAAACACAGTGAAATTCTTAAAATCAGTAGAATATAGACATATATTAGTGTATAAGTCAAGATGACAGCTAATGGCCGAAAGACCGTTATAATGGCGTTTTGAGGAATATAAATAGACAATATCCCGTCTCAATAACATATTAGTGGGATGACATTTAATCTCATATACATAAAAATCTATATTTAAAGACAGCTTCACTATAGGACAAGTTAAATACTGTATTATAGGAGATATGCATTTTTATGTGGTTTTTGTTATAATTTCAACTCCAGAATATTTCCTGTACCTGGAGATAATTAAGTTACTGTAACCATTTAAACTGATTATCTCCAGGATAGAGGGGAGGGTTCAGAAAGATGCACTTTGTTCTTACTGGTTTATGTCCCTTGTCACACTGTGTTCCATCAGGTCCAGAGGGGTGTGCGCCCGGCCTGAAAATGTGTATATAAGCAATGCCTTTCTGCTCAATAAACCAGACTTCTTACCCTCAACTCGCAGCCTCAACTCGTGTTGTAGGGAATTGCTGATCACTAGCTCTGCTCAGAGCTCCAGGAATACTTGCAGGAAGAGGTGCTAAATTGGAACTTTCTACCGCTCTCCAGGATCGGGGACAAGGACATCCAAGCGGTCCAACCCTCAGCTAGCCTGAGGCAACCGTAACACAGTCAAGTTATGAAGACAGTATGGTCATATATTACTAAACATACAGACCATTCCATACTTTCCATACTACACACGAAAAAAAAAGTCAATTGGCAAGCAGGTAGATATTCCATACAACCCTACTCAAAATAAATGGTGCCCGGTAAGAGTGTTAGAATCCTACCTACTCCCTCCCTACTATCACTACATGGAGTCAGTCCTTACAACAGCAAAATTCATGCTATACGTCAGGACAGTAATCATGCGACTAGGCCTTAACCCTACCAATTATTCTGGTCACTCTTTTAGAATAGGGGCGGCATCTATGCCATCAAGCAGGAATATACCAGTCCACATTAAAACATTAGGTTGCTGGAAGGCCTATTCACGGTACATTCTGCAACTGGAACAATAACGACATCAAGCCTTCATCAAAATGACATAAATAAGTATTTATAGTGATTGTATTAAAAATTTGGCATGTAACTCCTTTATGCCTTCTTCATTTACAGGTCTACCACCTCGTCGGTTCCGGCACACCACAACCGACTATGCTAACCCTACTTTTCTCACTATCGCTCTTTTCGGCCTTTGTTTCCCTAACACAGGGGTTCTCAACGTTAGTCCTCAGGACCCCCTACCAGTCCAGGGTTTAGGGATTACCTGGGTGTCTCTAAGGTGTTTAGAAAAAAAAAAAAAAAACACCTTAGAGTCTAAGGTGTTTTTTTCCCTTTTTCTAAACACCTGAGACATACCCAGGTAATCCCCAAATCCTGGACTGGTAGGGGGTCCTGAGGACTGGGTTGAGAACCCCTGCCCTAACACAAATGTTAAGGCTTTGCCTGGAGTTGTGGGAGGGGCTTAATTACCTTTTTAAAGTGACTCCACGTCTTCCCCAGTACCGTTACTGATCTGGTGATTTGCATGTCCCCTTCCTCCATCCCCTCTATTCACTCAATATACCTTTATACACCTCATGGGTGAGCCCTTTATACACACACACAAAATCATGAGGAGAAAAAAAAAAAAAAGTACACCCTCTTTAAATTCTCTATAAAACATTCTCTGCGGTGGATCAAGCTGAAGTGGTGATCCTCACCTAGACTTTCAAATGGCTTGGTATTAAATAGTAGCACAATTTTAAAGGAACACTGTGTGGTCAGGAACACAAACATGTATTCCTAACCCTATAGTGTTAAAACCACCATCTAGTTCCCTTGCCCCCAATGCTTTCCCATAGGATTGGGTGAGACTGTCAAGAAGGCAGTTCAGGAGCAGAGCCAGCACCTATGACCTATAGTCGCTGATTTAGCTGAAGTGGGAGAGTGATCCATCATAGAAAACACAAATTCAGGCTGAGAAAAAAAAAAAATTTTAACAGAAAAACACCAAAATATACCAAAAGGTATCCTAAAAGGAAAGAAAAAAAGAAAGATTGATTGAATATCTGCAGAGTGAGGGAGCTTGATTCCCAGAGAGCAGCTTACACCTTCTTGAAGGATTTGAATTTTGCGGCAGAAAAAAAACGCACTTTTCCCCTTTAAATAGAAATGGTGCATTGTTTATTTAATCGCACATGCGCGATTCACCGTGAGCGCCCAGGACCGCCATTTTTATTACTGGCGCAAAAAGGGCTACTCGCGTCCTCTTACCTTTGGGTATGTGTAGGCGTCCTGACCATTTGCTAAACATAGAAACATAGAATGTGACGGCAGATAAGAACCATTCGGCCCATCTAGTCTGCCCAATTTTCTAAATACTTTCATTAGTCCCTAGCCTTATCTTATAGTTAGGATAGCCTTATGCCTATCCCACGCATGCTTAAACTCCTTTACTGTGTTAACCTCTACCACTTCAGCTGGAAGGCTATTCCATGCATCCACTACCCTCTCAGTAAAGTAATACTTCCTGATATTATTTTTAAACCTTTGTCCCTCTAATTTAAGACTATGTCCTCTTGTTGTGGTAGTTTTTCTTCTTTTAAATATAGTCTCCTCCTTTACTGTGTTGATTCCCTTTATATATTTAAATGTTTCTATCATATCCCCCCTGTCTCGTCTTTCCTCCAAGCTATACATGTTAAGATCCTTTAACCTTTCCTGGTAAGTTTTATCCCGCAATCCATGAACCAGTTTAGTAGCCCTTCTCTGAACCCTCTCTAAGGTATCAATATCCTTCTGAAGATACGGTCTCCAGTACTGTGTACAATACTCCAAGTGAGGTCTCACCAGTGTTCTGTACAATGGCATGAGCACTTCCCTCTTTCTACTGCTAATACCTCTCCCTATACAACCAAGCATTCTGCTAGCATTTCCTGCTGCTCTATTACATTGTCTGCCTACCTTTAAGTCATCAGAAATAATCACCCCTAAATCCCTTTCCTCATATGTTGAGGTTAGGACTCTATCAAATATTCTGTACTCTGCCCTTGGGTTTTTACGTCCAAGATGCATTATCTTGCACTTATCCACATTAAATGTCAGTTGCCACAATTCTGACCATTTTCTAGTTTACCTAAATCATTTGTCATTTGGCTTATCCCTCCTGGAACATCAACCCTGTTACATATCTTAGTATCATCAGCAAAAAGACATACCTTACCATCAAGACCTTCTGCAATATCACTAATAAAAATATTAAAGAGAATGGGTCCAAGTACAGATCCCTGAGGTACCCCACTGGTGACAAGTCCAAGCTTGTCAAGCTAAAGTAGACAACCCAAGGTACCCAAGAACAAGGTTGTCAAGCTAAAGTAGACAACCCAAGGTATTGCAAATGGGGTATGTCCAGTCTTTTTTAGTAGCCACTTGATCACAAACACTGGCCAAAATTAGTGTTAATAATTGTGTGTGAAAAATGCAAAAAACTAATTTGAACATCAATTTTGGCCAGTGTTTGTGACCAAGCGACTACTAAAAAAGACTGGACATACCCCATTTGCAATACCTTGGGTTGTCTACTTTTGCAAATGGTATGCCGTCATGGGGGTAATTTTCATTGTTTATTCCTCCATTGTTTATGCTTGTTTATTCCTCCCTTTTCCAACACATCAATTTCAAGAAGTGACTGTTGACTTTGTGCCAAATATATCCGAACCCTTCACGGGTGCCATTGCAATGTGTGATACATTCATGGGGAAAAGAGAGGACACCCTTTTTGAATTCTATGGTTTTACAGGTTAGGACACACTCTTTTGCTCCACAGCAGGTTTTAAAATTAGGTAAATGCAACCTCAGATGAACAACGCATGACCAAATACGTCAAGTCATGATCACACAGGTCTTCTCCATTTTGGCCTTAATTTTTGTTAAATACACCATGACACGTAATGTGTAACACCGTGATTCGTTTTTGGACCAAGGAACTAGGACCATCCTGAGCAGAGAGAGATTTCTCCAAACATCTGTAAAACCAAAATTTGTTGTGTGCCATTACATAAATATGGCTGCCGATGTTTAAGTAAAATAAAAACTGGTGGCTTTGCAATGCTAATAAATAGAAGTAATCAAATCACTTAACTAGAATGGGGACTCCTAGAATCATAATTATTTTGAATAGAATGTCCGTTTAACTACTTCTCTTGGTAGACAAAGATGTATATGTTATCACTAGGTCCCTAGTGGGGCATCTACTTATCACATTACTTGAGGGGAACATATAAATACCACTAAAACTGAGCCATAATCAATGCAAATGTATGTGACAACAAAATAATGTACATATTTTAAATAAACCAAGTTTATTAAATTTGAGGATAATGGATAAAATGCATGCCAAAGAAAATGTTAACTGATTTTCATTAATGTAGTACAAAAACAGCCATTTTTGACACCCATAAAAATCAAATGCACATGTAACATGTTTGAACATCTAACCCGTAAAAAATTAGAGAAGACACAACAGTCATAACCTAGAAAAAAAAAATCTTATACTCAAGAGAAGTCTGGTATAATTGTTTGGTGAATGAAATCCATCATCTCCTCATAAATGTCCTTCCTGAAGACTATTTCAAACACTACTTTTCCACTCTTGACAAAATGCAAACAAATGGCAATTTCCACTGGTTTACATCATTGTGAGGAGAAAACAAAGACAAAAACCACAAAACTCAAAAAGAAAATCTAAAATGAAATTAGCAATAAATATATATTATAATGTATTTATTTCTGAATATATGTTTTGACATGTTGGTACATATACCTGGATGGAACTGGTACAAGCAATATTTACTAGAATAGGAAAACAGCCCTACCATGAATGGCAGCATTTACAGGATGTATATGTTAAATTACATTTCCACAATTCGGTATGGTGGAAGAAAGAAAAATATGAGGACAGCCAATGTGGAGGTTTCTCAGATCTGTTCAATACAATTAGAATGCATTCTTAATACGAAATAATTTTACAATCATTAAATTTTTATGGCATGGTTTCCAACAATGAAAGTTATAAAACAAAGATGTTCAGATGTCAGCCTACTTTTTCAAGTCTCAGTTCAATTAAAATTCTTGTTTTCTTTGTATGCATTTCATATGACTAACACAATGTTAAGTTATTTTCCACTAAGAGACCACTGGATTCAGCAAGAAATGGTGTCCAAGTGTTGTACCTCAACACATTGATCAACCCTTTTTTAGAAACCTATGTACATGTAGAGTTTTTTTAGAACCACCTAAAAATTGATGGCTTTGCCAAATGATGCAGCCAAATTGGCTTCCCTGAAGGCTTCTGATACAGTCTGCAGAAAGAGGGGAAAAAATGTGGTGAGAACATGCACATAAACCGTATTACCTAAATTATAAATTCCATTAATATTTTATGTACTTACAGGATGAGCATGACACACTCGGGCTACATCTTCACAGGAGGCTCCATATTCCATAGCAAGTGCAGCTTCATTAATCATCTCTCCGGCACCCTGCAAACACAGTAAAGCAGATGAAAAAAAAGTGGGAAGAAAATAAGCAAATAGGAAGAATGTGCTTAGTTTAGAAGCAAAACTGTGGAATTGTCTTGTACCATTTCAAAAACATAAAAAAGAACTACACATAAATGTTCGGCATAGAGAGAAAATTAAAATGCATTGTAACTTGAAGTGGGGCTACATTACATTAACTTTTTTTGCTGTGCTTTTTTTTTTTTTCCTTGTACCTTTTGAAAACTAATAACCATATATTGGGGAAATAAAATTATTTTATATATGTATTAAACACTAGAAATGCTATAGTGAATATAATCAGGTATGGAAATATTAGCATTGGTTGGGAAGAGGAAATGTTGCCAGGAAGAGAGAGATATTGAGACTTGGCTGCCCAGGAGAGACAGATATAAAACATAAGTAAAGAGAAAGGGCGTGAATGGGGGTCGAGGGTAATTGTGGACTAAAGAAAGTAGGAGCGGTGTGTGAAAACTAGTCCACAAATATCTGTACTGCAAATGTTAGTTATGATTTGTGGATATTTCCATCTAGGTTTTCAGAGCATCATGATATGTGCAGTCTTGCAAATATAGGACATGCCAAAGTTGGTTAATTAATACTTGTAGACTGTGGTTTATTAGGTGCTCATTAGCAAACTAAATTCCCCATGACATTCAACCAGTCTTTTGTTTTACTGTTAAGATTAATTCTAAGTAGTGATCACATGTATCTAGAAGTTTCTGAACTACATTTCTCATGATGAAAAGCCAAGCTTTGTTCGCAAAGGGACTGGCCACATAAAGGGTAAGCCATGAAAAAAAAGGATGTGTGAAAAGTGGAGGTCAATTTTGTCACATCCACAAGAAGTTAATAATTGGAGCAGTTGCCACTGGCCCTTAGCTTGCAATGACAACAACATTTATCAGATCCAAAAAGTCTTTAAACTTACTGCTCCAAGTATATGAGCACCAAGCATTCTGTCTGTAGACTTATGGCTCAGGATTTTCACCAAACCATCTGTGTCAGCATTTGTCTTCGCTCGACTGTTTGCTGCAAATGGAAACTTTCCAACTTTGTACTCTGTACCCTGCATAGAAGTGAATGTACATTAGTTTATTTAAAAAAAAAAGTTTTACATACACAAAACCTTAAATATAAAACCTATTAACAAGGAAAGCTCCATTTGGTGTATTGTATTTGGTGTACAAAATTAAGTATTTCACAAAGACCACAGGATAATGAAAACATTGTTGTTCTTTATTGGCATTTAATAACACTTTTCAAAGCTAGTGAATGCAGAGTTTGGGTAGAACTGGTGCACGTGCACCCTCCATTACCTCACTCAATATCTCACTTTTTAATGCATACTTAGATGCGCATTGAATGGTCCATATCTATTACTTTTGGTTTTATACCAAGATAAAATATACAATATTTTTTTACTAAAATTAAATTAACTAGGAACTCATAATTGAGGTTTTCCATTCGTATTCAATAAATCGTTTTTACAGTTGCATATTTCTGATTTATGAATAGGGATAAAAATTACGCATTGTGTGCTTTGCACACCGGCAAGCATGAAATTATAGATTAACAAATAAAGTAACACTCCAACCTCGCTGTAGTGGTTATTTTGCCAGGAGTGCCTCTGTGCACTTCCACAGTTTTAAAATGTTTTGACTTCTAACCTATGGTATGTAGGGTGCTATATCTCACCCCCACTACCAATGCTGGAGAGCTGGAAGCTCCCAATCAGAAATTTTCATAAGCTCTCTGGAACTAAGCCCTGTCCATACTCACTTGTTGAAACCGATCAGTTTATGAGCTTCCTACTCTCTGGCATTGGTAGCGGAGAAGGAGAGAGGTACCCGGTAGACTGCAGGTAAGAAGAAAAACCATTCTAAAACTACTTACCAAGGAAGATCGCCAGGTCACTCCAAGCACCATAATCACTACATATTGCTGCAGTGGTTATGGTGCTTGGAGCACCCCTTTAAATTTTGAAAACAGCATGATGATGGAAAATGGATGAAACAAACTACACACCAAAACAAATACAATACTCTGTTTAACCCCTTAAGTAGGGCAGGTGTCCTTGGAGACGGTCCTAAACGCCGTCCTTCCTAATGACAATACTCTGTTTAACCCCTTAAGGAGGGCAGGTGTACTTGGAGACGGTCCTAAACGCCGTCCTTCCTAATGACAATACTCTGTTTAACCCCTTAAGGAGGGCAGGTGTCCTTGGAGACGGTCCTAAATGCCGTCCTTCCTAATAACAATACTTTGTTTAACCCCTTAAGGAGGGCAGGTGTCCTTGGAGACGGTCCTAAACGCCGTCCTTCCTAATGACCTGATCGCTGGCGATCCCCCGCCAGCAACCGCGATGGGGGGGGAGGGGGGTGATGGGACTTGCCTGCAGTCCCCCTGCAGCTGATCCAGCCCTCCCGGGCCATGTGATCATGATGAGGATATATATGCATTTTCCACACACAAACAAATATGAACGCTAACTTTGGCCAGTGTTTGAAAAAAGTGAAAAATGTAACATGCTATATTTGACCCTGTAACTTTCCAAAACACCATAAAACCTATACACGGGGGTACGGTTTTACTCGTGAGACATTGCTGAATACAAATATGTGTACTTTATTGCAGTAACAGCTAACAGTATTATGACATCCACAGTTAAAATGCCATGCAGAACTAAAGAAAATAACAAAATATCTGAATTTCGCACTTTTTTCTATATTTTATTCATATTAAATTAAGTTTTATACATAAATATTTGATATGAAATGAAAGCCCTGTTTCTCCTGAAGAAAATTATATATAATAGGTGTGGGTGCATTGAATATGAAAGAGGTGAATTCTGTTTGAACAAACATATAGCGTAAATTCTAAGTTTTGCTTACGCTTTGTTTTGATCACAACTTTTACAACTGCCTGCAGTCAATAAGGGGTTAAAATGCATATTTATAAATGTCAGTGTAAAAGAATAGAAAAACTAAACAAAAGAAAACAAAACAAAAAAGTCTCACACACAAACAAAACAATAACCGGTTATATATTGCCTTTGTAATTAAACATACCTCTTCTTTCAACTGCTCCTCTGACCGGCCAATCCAAGCCACCTCTGGATGCGTATATATTACAGAGGGTACACAGTTATAGTCTATGTGAACTGCACCTCCAGCCATCCCTTCTACGCAAATAATACCTTCATCTTCTGCTTTGTGAGCCAACATTGGTCCAGCCACTACATCACCAATGGCATGGATGCTAATAAATTAAAACAGAGAATACAGTGATGCTTTGTGTGAAGTGATGCTTTTAAAAAAAACACTGAATCGATTATTAAATATACATATTACGGCAACTAGAAGGTAACTTCACAAAACATAAATTAATCTGATTGTATATAGCATAAGAAACGTATTATAGCTCAATACGTTCAAAAATAAATGCAGTTCACTAAAAAATAGAAAAACAACATTCTGTTACAGTTATTTTCCCTTAAAGGTACACTACATGCACCAGAACGACTATCTCAACAAAGCTGTTATGGATATGGAGGTCTTGGGAACCTTTTTTTTTTTTTTTTAACTCCCAAATGCTTGACGGCACTCGTCGTCCTCACCCATCTGCATATTCCTCCAGCTCCAACCTCAATCCAGAAGCTTTTCCATGGGTTCTGGTGATAGGCTGAGAACTTCCGAAAATGTTCTCAATCACTGGCTTCAAGAAAACAACTTTTTGGCATAAAAGACATTACTCAAGAAATTCTAAAGAATATTAAGCAGACGCAGCTCCCACTAAAACATTCTAGTGGCAAATGGACACACAGATACCAAACTACACTGCTCAAAAAAATAAAGGGAACACTTAAACAACACAATGTAACTCCAAGTCAATCACACTTCTGTGAAATCAAACTGTCCACTTAGGAAGCAACACTGAGTGACAATCAATTTCACATGGTGTTGTGCAAATGGGATAGACAACAGGTGGAAATTATAGGCAATTAGCAAGACACCCCCAATAAAGGTGGTGACCACAGACCACTTCTCAGTTCCTATGCTTCCTGGCTGATGTTTTGGTCACTTTTGAATGCTGGCGGTGCTTTTACTCAAGTGGTAGCACGAGACAGAGTCTACAACCCACACAAGTGGCTCAGGTAGTTCAGCTCATCCAGGATGGCACATCAATGCGAGCTGTGGTAGGAAGGTTTGCTGTGTCTGTCAGCGTAGTGTCCAGAGCATGGAGGCGCTACCAGGAATCAGGCCAGTACATCAGGAGACGTGGAGGAGGCCGTAAGAGGGCAACAACCCAGCAGCAGGACCGCTACCGCCGCCTTTGTGCAAGGAGGAACAGGAGGAGCACTGCCAGAGCCCAGCAAAATGACCTCCAGCAGGCCACAAAGGTGCATGTGTCTGCTCAAACGGTCAGAAACAGACTGCATGAGGGTGGTATGAAGGCCCAACACCGTGCAGGATGTTTGGCATTTGCCAGATAACACCAAGATTGGCAAATTTGCCACTGGTGCCCTGTGCTCTTCACAGATGAAAGCAGGTTCACACTGAGCACGTGACAGTCTGAAGACGCCATGGAGAACGTTCTGCTGCCTGCAATTTCCTCCAGCATGACCGGTTTGGCAGTGGGTCAGTAATGGTGTGGGGTGGCATTTCTTTGGGGGGCCGCACAGCCCTCCATGTGTTCGCCAGAAGTAGCCTGACTGCCATTAGGTACCGAGATGAGATCTTCCCTTGTGAGAACATATGCTGTTGCGGTTGGCCCTGGGTTCCTCCTAATGCAAGACAATGCTAGACCTCATGTAGCTGGAGTGTGTCAGCAGTTCCTGCAAGATGAAGGCATTGATGCTATGGACTGGCCCACCCGTTCCCCAGACCTGAATCCAATTGAGCACATCTGGAACATCATGTCTCGCTCCATCCACCAACGTCACGTTGCACCACAGACTGTCCAGGAGTTGGCAGATGCTTTAGTCCAGGTATGGGAGAAGATCCCTCAGGAGACCATCCGCCACCTCATCAGGAGCATGCACAGGCGTTGTAGGGAGGTCATACAGGCACGTGGAGGCCACACACACACTACTGAGCCTCATTTTTAATTTGTTTTAAGGACATTACATCAAAGTTGGATCAGCCTGTAGTGTGTTTTTCCACTTTAATTTTGAGTGGGACTCCAAATCCAGACCTCCATGGGTTGAAAAATTTGATTTCCATTTTTTAATTTTTGTGTGATTTTGTTGTCAGCACATTCAACTATGTAAAGAACATAGTATTTCAGAAGAATATTTAATTCATTCTGATCTTGGATGTGTTATTATTGTGTTCCCTTTATTTTTTTGAGCAGTGTAGATCAGAAAAAAATACCCTTTTTTTTGTAGTGAATAACACAATTTTGAGGACCAGGGGAATCATGGGAAGGAATTTACTACAAACAACTATTCAAAAACTGTTGAGCCCATTACCCAGTTCATGCATATGCAGACAATTTAAGTTTTATCCACTTCTGATTGTGGTTTGACAAAACAACTTACACTGTCAGGAACATACTTTTAAAGGGTTATTCTAAGTAATGTGGCAACTTCAGTAATTTGAAGGGGGCAAAGTGCTTGTAGTCTGAAATGTGAAAAGCTGCACATATCCAGATAGAGAACTTTGCTCCTGTAGGTGCAGCTCCACTTACAGTAGCATTATTTGCAGCCCAAAACAGGGTATCTGGGCTGCTAATCTCAGTTTAGTGCATAGATTTGGTTTGGATACACAATGGCAGTTCAGGAAACCCTCCCTTCCATCCAAAATTAAAATTCAGACTGCCCTTCCTCATGCAATGAGGAAGAGAGATGTCATTGAAGATGGACTGGGCTGCAGGAAGAACTTGGCATGGGATCGCAGGTAAACTGGTTTAGAAAACAAGAACATACTACTTACTTTGGGATTTTTGTCTGAAATCTTGTGTTGATTGGAATTCTGCCTTTGTTGTCCAGTTCAATACCAAGTTCTTGCAAGCCAAGATTTTGAGTGTAGGGACGGCGGCCAATGCACACAAGTAAAACATCACAAGTGATTACTTCTGCTTTACCACCAGCAGCTGCTTCAATACTGTTGAACACAAATTGCAGAAGCTTAGAAAACAGTGTGCAAATAAATCAGAACTTGTCACTCTAAAGCGTATTATTTAGTTCTCCATATTCCATCTAGCTCTAAGTGCTAACCCTTCCAATACCACTTAAGCTGAACCTGGCACTTCAGGTTAACTTAAAAATAAAATATATAATTAGTAGCTTTTGGAACAGTTATAGGATTACTTATCTGCAGCCTCACACACCAGTGCGTAATTCTTGGATGTCCTTGGGTGTTCTAATGCTGTGACACCCACCCTCAGATTCTCTAAGATCGGTCCTCCTTGAGGATACTTCCCCAAGCAAGGCAATCCACAGTGCCAACACCAGCATGCTGGCTTCACTACATTCTATACTCACCCAGCAAACGTGAGGGAGTGACAGTGGGTAGAGAGCCTCTTGCTCCTTCTCTCACAATTCTTGCAATTAGAACCTGGATACACTGGCACACAGTTCTAATGACCATGATTTGATTGACAGGAGGAGAGGGACCAACACATTTAAAGGCATTAAATAATAATCTATACATTTGCCAGGACTGTAGTACATTAAATATAATGCTATTTAATTGAAGACCAAGTTGTGTGTACCATGACAGTTACATTTTAAAAGGAAAATGTATTTTTGTTTAATTTATTCAATATAAAATATTAAATGGTTGGAGGGAGTCTGACTGCTGAACTGGATGGTCCTCATGCTGCCCGAGTACCGGGCCTAACACCAGTATTCTGCCTGAATCACAAGCCAAAACCAACCGCAAACCATTTTATGACACTACAAGACACTCGTGAGCGGTCTGGAGACACTGTGCTTGCAGCTACTCTGCTGACGATCAGAAAATCCATGCCAGAGCAAAACTACAGCCTGCAGGAGGCGGCTGCTTTCCTTGCCCCCGGCTCCTGCAGAGCTGGAATCCTTTCTATCGAAAGCCAAGATGGCCACCGACCCTATGCCCAGTTCACTCCAAACTCCCACGACTTGGGCCATACAGGAGGATGGCATCGCAAAGGCCTTTGACAGACCCAACAGGACTTCTCACGGATTGACAAAACACCAAGCTAGGCAGAGCTCAAGCACAACATAGCGCGGCTGGGGAGGAAACGGAGGCATCACAAAAGACCCAGACGGCTTGGATCAAAAGCGACCTGCAACTCATGGGGACCAAGGCTCCCTCAGAGAAGAACCCCTCTACGCAACTCAGCGGGGCGAACAACTCTCACTTACAGCAAGCTGTGGACTCCTTGTGATGAACACAGAAAGAGAGTCTCGCCTTCCCAAACACATGGGACCCGAGGCTTTGTCCTGCACGGCCATTAGGCACTCAGCGGAGGGCATAGGCTGAGCTATGTATTCATCAAGGGGACGCACCACTGGATGAGATAGGGCTTCATTATCTAATTTTTTAGCATTTGTAAACCCAGGGACACTTATCCATTCACTCACTCTGAAGCGTCTGTTAATCTCTCGATATCTTTAATAGCATAGTCCGTTTTTACGCTTTATAGCCTCTTACACAAAACGCTATGATTTCCACCACACTACTGTCTACTCATCTTACTTTTAAAAATGTGCACAGTTACTCATGCCATGCAATTGTTTTTATTTGTCTATTGAAACTCTGGCGATAGCTGTTGTGGCATCGCCAGCTAAAATGTTACCTGCATCATCTATGCACAAAAAAATAAAGAATTTATAAATAAAATATTAAATGCATTATAGCCTGTGCATATTATTATGTAAATGTATATGCATATTTCTCTTCAATGCATTGCCTTGCTTAGCAAGGGTAATCTGACAAGACATTAGGACAGATTTCCTAATTATCAGGTCACAAGCTCAATTAAAGGGATAGTATATGTGACAAATGGTCTTCCTATGACGTTTGCCACGAACTCCTGGAGGAGTGTGGAAGCTGGCCTCCTGCCTACCGACTATGGTCCAGGTCTGAGACCCCATTCAGGAGTCACCCATCCCAGCACCCATTAGCAGCTTTCCCAGGGTGCCCCTGTGTGGCGGAACCAACCTCGCCACTGTCCACTGGAGAGGCCTGGTTGCTCGCCTGCTCCCTTTAGACTATGGTCCTGCATTTTAAACTTTTATTTTACCTGCAGAAAGGTTTATTCGTGCCTTTCTGCGGACTGTTAAAGCCATGCTACCCCAGATAGCTATGCCATGGAGCCCAGCCGTATGCTGAAAGACTGTTTGAAAGACTTTGGCTCCATGGCGATTGAACTGTATTTATGTGATCTGAGCGCCATTCGGTAGTAATGTGCACTCAGATCTAAGCTATCTGGGGATATGTAGAATGTCTATGTTTTATGGAATAAATGTAACTGTATGTAATTTTATGTATTTTATTGTATTGTTACTGCCATGTGGTTAATAGAGTCTTGCCTCTGTCCTGGGAGATAATTGGATTACTTCACAATTATCTCCAGGACAGAGAGGAGGGATTGTGATGTAAATGTGGGTGTGTTTTATGGTTGTGGCGAAACCAACCTCGCCACTGTACACTGGAGAAGCCTGGTTGCTCGCCTGCTGCCTTTGGACTATGACCCCATGTTAAAAGACATCTTTTTCCCTGCAGAAAAGACTTATTCGTGCTTTTCTTCCAGGTGTTCGGTAGATTCAATCTACCGAACAACCGCACGAATGAATAGACCACCTGGGAGCTGGAGTGTGCCGGCAATTAACCTCCCTGAAGCTGCGGTTAACCGCAGCTTAATTGACGAATGCTGGGTGGCCGCCATTCGTATCACGAACACGAGGTCGCGGCCAGCGGTGTTCGACGATTAATTCATGGAACTGAAATCGGACACAGTTTTGCGTGAACACCGCTGAACTCCCTTCTTGTTCGGTGAAAGTGCACGAATGGCCCGGTGTTCGGTAGTTTTGTTTGAGTGTGTTGTACCCCAGATAGGAATCCCATGGAGCCCATTCGCATGAAACTGACTGTGTAAAGACTTTGGCTCCATGGTGATTAAACTGTATTCGTGTGGTCTGAGCGCCATTCGCTTAATAATGTGCGCTCAGACCTGAGCTATCTGGGGATATGTAGAACATATATGTTTTATGTACTGAATGTAACTGTAGGTAATTTTATGTCTTTTTCTGTTTGTTTTCTGCCATGTGGTTAATGGAGTTTTGCCTCTGTCTTTGGAGATAATTGAATTACTTCTCAATTATCACCAGAGCAGAGAGGAGGGATTGTGATGCATTGTGGGATGGTTGAAATGTGTAAATCTGTGATTGGTCCTTTTACCCTTTGTGTCCCAGTCTCCCATTTGGTCCCCTAGGGGATTGTCCACCAGGTGAGAGACCTGCATAAAAGCCGGGCAGTTAGCCCCAGTAAATGAGTTCCTGCTTAACCCTCAAAGTGAAGTGTAGTCTCATTATTGGGGGAGGATTTACTGTATGCTGTTAGAGACTGATTGCCAGGAGTGTAAGCCGCTTTGGGGCTTTTCCCGTTCGTCTGCTAGAAGCTATTCGTGTGTCTCCAGTTCGGGAGTTTCGAGTATTCCCTTGGTATGCAGTTCGGGAGTAAGTGAATTCGTGGGTTTGCAGTTCAGGAGATTGGCGCTTGCAGTAGCTGTCGGTGCAGCTGAAAAAGGGGAATATCGCCTAAACGGTTTCTAACCTCTTTTGGGCAAAACGGTCCGTTACAATGGTTCTCCTGTAAACGACTGGTTGTACTGTGTCCCACCCTGTGGGATGTTCCCTTGCATGGGGACTTGCATAAAAGCCAGTGTGTGGCCATTACAACAGAGTTCCTGCTTAACCCTCAAAGTGAAGTGTCGTCTCATTATTGGGGGAGGATTTATTGTATGCTGTTCCAGTTTGACTGCTAGGAGTGTAAACCTATCCGCATGGTTTTTCCTATTCTGCTGTTTCCAGAATTCGTGTGTTTGCAGTTCGGGAGAGTGGTGACTGCAGTAGCTGTCTGTGCATCTGAAAGGGGAAGATCGCCTAAACGGTTTTTAACCGCTTGTGGGCAAAACGGTCCGTTACACCATGGTTCCGCACTTTTCCTTTATTCGAATACAACCGAACGCTAGTTCCCTGGCTGCCATTCGCATGAATCCACAAATGGCCCTCAGCGGTACTTAGCAGTGACCACTATGGAACCAAGTTCGGCATCAGGACTTCAGGGGTCCCGGTCACCTCAGCGGTACTTAGCTGCAAATGTTATGGAACTGTTTTTGGCATGAGGTGACTGTGCGGTTCCCGGACACCTTGGTCCTGGGTTTTGTACCACTTTGCAACCCGTCAGGAGAGCGCTTTTTGGAGGGAAGGTGTCTGAGACTAAGGGGAACAAATGCTACCTGAGAGCTAGGCGGAGAACAACCTATTGCGGCAGCAGGAGCTCCCGAAAGTCGCCCTGGAACTATTTTAGGCATAGGACCTTGTGTGCGGCCGGTCAGAATTTTAACACTGTGATGTTTCCCCTACGATGCATTGATCTGAGCACTATTTTGAGAACTTTGGCGCTCAGATCAGGGCTATTTGGTATGTGGGGATATGTGGGGTTACTGTATATTGTTATGATGTTTTGGGGTATTTTTATGTTTTAGCCTCTTTGTTCCTGGGAGATAGTTAGCTTACCGGTCTTAAACTCAATTATCTCCCAGGAGGGGCTAGCATTATATTGTGTGGAGACCTCATGATGGGGGTTATTTATATAAACAGGCAACTTGACCATAATAAAGCAGTTCCTTCACTCAGTCTGGGCTAGTGTTTGGGTGGATCAGCTATACTCACTGCAGGAGAGCTTAATCACTTGAAGCTGTACCCAGTACCCTGTTTCAGGGCGCGAAGCAACCTTGAGACCCCAGCAAAACTGCAGTGGCTAGGCATTTAAGCACTCCTGTGTCCCGGAGGAGAGCTACCGAGCTTAACTGAGGTACCCAGTCGGGGTGCCAGGCAGTCCGCCACAGTATAGTGCTAGGAATCCAAAACCGTTAGCATGAGTCACATGCACGGTGAACGCTGAGAGTGCATTAGGCTCAGGAATTGCAATAATCACCATTGCAGCGTTAAGGGGACAGGGACACTGCATCTAGACCACTTCAATGAGCTGAAATGGTCTGGGTGCCCATAGTGCCCCTTTAAACTTTTGAGGGCAGAGAATTACTCAAGCTTTTGTCCAACAGAGAAAACAAAAACTGGAAGTGGTAGTTTGTTGAAGATTTCATTGGAACAGATGGTGATAGCAGCAGACAAGCTGCTAGTCTGAAAAAAGGGAGAACAAAACCCCCCCACCAAAAAAACCCCAAGAACATGCCACACTGGAAATGGATGAATAAATTAAAAAAAATAAAAATAGCTATTTAGTAGATACAACCTCATTAATGCAAAAATACACTCATTTATGCATTAGTCATTGTTTGCATATTTAAGAAAAAGATTTGCAACCTCTACAGGCCCTCACATTTTTTTCCTCAGCAAAGACTCATCATTAAACAGCACAAAGCAAGAGTATATGTTCTGTGATCATTCATTTGCCGAGGGTGCTGGCTTTTGCAGCTCTGTCGAAGCCGGATGTTGTTCAGCCTACTTTAGAAGGACCAGTGGGACCCAGGTAAAAAGGCAAACTGTTGCTAAATGGTTTTCCCTATTACCAGGGAATAGTGCAGGGTACTCAAAGCATCATAGCCACTATAGCAGGCCGCAGTGGTTATAATGCTTCGAATAAGTAAGGCATACATTAACCATAGTGGCTTTTTACATATAGCATGAGATGCCTTCAGTACCTAACATAGGAACCATCACCTACTTTAAAGACTGTTTTAGGCATAGGACCTTGTGTGCGGCCGGTCAGACTTTTAAACACTGTGATGTTTCCCCTACGATGCATTGATCTGAGCACTATTTTGAGAACTTTGGCGCTCAGATCAGGGCTATTTGGTATGTGGGGTTACTGTATATTGTAATGATGTTTTGGGGTATTTTTATGTTTTAGCCTCTTTGTTCCTGGGAGATAATTAGCTTACCGGTCTTAAACTCAATTATCTCCCAGGAGGGGCTAGCATTATATTGTGTGGAGACCTCATGATAGGGGTTATTTATATAAACAGGCAACTTGACCATAATAAAGCAGTTCCTTCACTCAGTCTGGGCTAGTGTTTGGGTGGATCAGCTATACTCACTGCAGGAGAGCTTAATCACTTGAAGCTGTACCCAGTACCCTGTTTCAGGTAGTTTGTTGAAGATTTCATTGAAACAGATGGTGATAGCAGCAGACAAGCTGCTAGTCTGAAAAAAAAAAGGGAGAACAAAACCCCCCCACTTGCACTAACTGAATATTATAAATCTCACTTAGACCACGCAAGATTAAACTCATACTTACGAAACATCAATTTTTCCATCCTGCCTCTTTGTAGCACCAGTGACCTTTGTGTTCAGCTTAAACTTCAGACCCTGTTTTTGAAGGATACGGTGGAAATTTTTTGAGATTTCCATGTCAATGCCAACACCACCAACATGACCCAAAAATTCAACTGCTGTAACATCTGCTCCTAAGCGTTGCCATACAGAGCCCTGTGAATTAGATGTCAATACGGAGTTAATTGCATTAAACCAATACTCCATATCATTTCTTTATAAAAAGGAAAAAAAAAATGTATTCAGAGAAAAAAAAAAAATCAAAGATCACACAATTCATGGCAAAATCAAATGGGGAAAATAAAAAAAGGTTTGCATTACTTCCAGTATTTTACAGAGTGTCTCTGTGAAAAACTGTTTAAAAGTTGGTTCTGGTACATAACACTTAATTTCTACCATGTTCATCCAGACTAATGGCTATCTAGCTTGTTTCTCACCAACTAATCAAAATAAATATTTTATCTAAAACTGAAACAGAAATAAACAAATGTAACAGAAACAAGTGATTGTTAATTGATACTAGATAAACAAGCAAAGTGCCAGGACTGTCAACATAACAATGAAATACATTTGAAAGATGTGCAATATATAAATGTACATTAAGCATCATCATTTTCAGGAGAGATGGATGCTTACCAATTCCACTCCTATTACACCAGCACCAATCACCACCATCTTCTCGGGGACTTTCTTCAGAGACAGAGCACCAGTTGATGACACAATGGTCTCTTCATCGATCTGTAATCCATTACGTAATAAGACAGAAATCACAATGTCATCTTAAAATAAAAAATGAGCAATTACAAGAAAACTTACAGAAACAAAAGGCTGAAGAAGACCATGCTCAAAGGATCTTACAGTCTATGGGAGGTTGGATGTAAAACACAACAGGAAAGGAAATAGCAATCAAATAAGGTGGGAGTGAAGCAGAGATGGAGGAGAGAGCAAGAGAGACAGTTATGCATGGTAGAGGTTACTCTGGGAGGCCATAAGCTTTCCTAACATGATGGGTTTTAAGGCACTTCTTCAACGATTGAAGACTAGGCGAGAGTCTGATGGCGGTAGTCAGGCTATTTCATAGGAAGGGAGCCGCCTGCGAGAAGTCCTGCAAGCGTAAGTTGGCCATACACGTGCGAGCAGTGGACAGGAAAAGGTAACGGGCAGAGCAGAGAGACCGAGAAGGGGCATACCTATGGATCTGTGAAGAGATATAAGCGGGGCTAGAATTGGTCAATGCTTTATAGGTATGGGTTAGCACTTTAAATACATGGGTGAATACCATCTGGCTCTGGGGATACAGGAAGCCAATGTAAGGACTGATAGAGGGGTGAGCTGTGAGAGGACCGACTAGAGAGGAGAGACTAGAGAGGAGAATCAGTCTGGCAGCAGCATTTATTACAGACTGTCGTGGGGCAATACGTTTTTTGGGAAGATAAATTAGGAGAGGGTTACAATAATCCATGCGGGAAATTACTAGAGCACGGACAAGCTCCTTGGTAGCATCTTTTGTAAGAAAGGGGCGGATGCGAGCTAGGTTTTTAAGATGGAATCTACAGGACTTGGTAACATGCTGGATGTGAGGCTCAAATGTGAGGCCAGAATCAAGTATGACACCAAGACAGCGCGCTTGCAAGGATGAACTGATGTGGATACTACTAACTTGAAGGGAGAGTGAAAGAGGAGGATCAGTATTAGGATGAAGAAAGACAAGGAGCTCAGTTTTTATTAAATCAAATATTATAGAGATACATGATGTATTCAATGCAAAATACTGAGATTTACTCACGATACCTCGATCCAGTGCTGCCATTTCCTCATTATTGTTTGCATTAGTCTTCATGTTACACCCACCTTTGGCTCCTCCTCTGCTCTTATTTGATTTACTCTGCATGGAAATTCTTCCTCAAGCATTGTAAACCTCACGCCTCACATGCTGGCCTCACTGCCTGCATTGCTGGCGTCTGAACTGAGTAACGCTAGTCTCTCAACTTCTATGCTCCCTAGCCAGCGCTAGCAGTTTTATAGGTGTTTAGAGGGTCTTTTTAACACCCAATACCTGTCCAAATATGATTTACGATTAAGATTATAAATGCACAAAACATTAATCATGTAGCGTTCAACAACTAAGCCTGCATTAGTAGGGCATAGTATACATAGAAAAACCTGCAGAATAAATCGTATGCCTAAAGGGACACTATCAGCACTCCACCTAATGAGGTTATAGTTTCTGGAGTCCCATTGCAGTGTCCTTTTCTGCATTAAACCGTTTTAATGGATTAATGCCGAACATGAGTCACCAGTAGCCCAGCCCAGCCCCTCTGTGCTACTCGGGCTAATGAGAAAGCATTAGAATGAGCAGCAATTGGCAGGATTAATTGTCTGAGTGTGTCAGCATTTTACTTTCAATCTATCACTGTTTATTTGGAGTCCAGGTTACAAAAGCCCTAAAGCAAACAGGTGGTTGGTTAGGAATAAAGGGCTACAGCATTTAAATAAGTTAATGTAACCAAACCCCCAGAGCCAGATGGTATTCACCCATGTATACTTAGGGAGCTTAGTGTAGAAATGTCTATTCCACGGTTTTAAAAATATTTCAGAAATCATGCTAGAGGATTGGAGAAAAGCAATTGTGGAGTCTATATTTACAAAAGGTTCAAAAGTGCAAACTGGAAAATACAGACCTGGGAGTTATATATCTATGTCTGTGAAAATGTTTGAAGGGCTGTTAAGGGATAACATTCAATAAATTTTAAACAACAATATCATTAATAGGGATAAACATACTTTCATGGAAGAGAGAGTAAGATAAACTAATCTAATTGTGTTATATGAGGAAAACCATAGAAATATACATCAGGGTGTTTCCATGGATGTGATCTTCTTGGATTTTGCTAAAGCATTTTATATTTACATGATTTTTTATTTTATTTTTTTAACTGATAAAGTGGAAATCAGCTAGTTAAGATTACCGACCATGTTCTTAGGTGGAACATTATTACGTTGTCAATGAAAATCTTTTAAATTGGGCAAAAGTGGTATGTGGAGTGTCTCAAGGTTCTGTCTTGACTTCTCTTTAATCTGTTTATAAATTATCTTGAATAAGAAATTTAAGGTCATGCGTCTATATTTACAGATAGGACAAAACTAGTTAAGAGAATACAGTCTGAACAGGATATAGCATCTCTATAAATTGAGGGACTGGGCAGACAAGTGGCAGATCAGATCTAATACAAATATATGCAAGGTCATGCATTTTTAATTAGGAACCCACAAGCAACTTATACATTAAATGGGGTTGAATTAGGAATAACATTAAACGAAAAAAATGTTAGATTACAAAATAGGCAACAAATGTAGATATTTTTTTTTTTTTGGCCTTCTTTTGCAAAAACATAAAAAGATGTATTTTAAAGGTTGAATTTAAGGACTCAAGTCCTTTTTTTCAAATCTAGATTTCTATGTACCTTATATCTGCCCATTGCTAGTATAAATTGGTATGGAAGTAGGAAGTGTGGAGTCTCTACTTTAGCCATACCAAAAGTGGGGTCCGAGCTGTGAGTTGCCAGAAACCTGCATACAGCACTTGAAAATAGGAACTGCATTCCTCTGGCACTTGAAAATTGCCAGAGGAATGCAGGCACCATAACCAATGCAATCAAATGAAATGGTTAAAGTGCTTATAGTGTACCTTAAGAAACAAAAGCTGCAGCATTCAAGTAATTATTTTTAAAATGTAAAAGAAATATTAGATTCTCAAATTGCAATTTACCTCTATTCCTGGGAATGGCGCCACCTCAGAACCTGTAGCTACAAGAATGTTCTTAGAGTTGATAACTTGGGAAGTGCCATCGGCTTTGGTTGCGGTTACTTGGTTTTTGCCTGTGATTCTTCCTAAACCTTGAACATGGACTACCTGTGAGGAAATAGGCAGTTTTTTTTTTTATCCAGAATGCCAAATAAAACAAAATCAGAAATACATAAGAATATGCAAGACAATGGGTTAAATTCATCAAACCTTATGACCTTCAACTGCAGATTTACACTAGCACTGCCAAATCCACACAAAGCTGAGAAAATAGCCTCTTCCTTAGTTTGGCATTGAATATGTACGGGTGCACTTAAACAGAAAGGGTGAAATTGTAGTAAAATAAAAATGCATGGCAAGAGTTGCCACAAACGTAACATCTAAAAAAAAAATAAAAAAAACCAAAAACCCCAAACACTTTTCTGATATCTAGAGTTCTGTCAAGACCACTTTAAAGTCCTTCCAATTATGCATTTATCTTCGCAAAAGGGACACTGTAGGCACTATAACAATTACATTGGTTATAGTACTTGGAGTCCCTGGCACTGTTTCTCCATTCAGTGTTTTCAATCATAGCTGCTCAGGCTAATACTTCCTCAGCAACTCGAGCAGCAAAGAGAGGATGGGCTGCTGGGGACTCTGTTTTAGCACTAAAATATTGAGATGCGTTTAAAGGCAGTCACAGGGGAGTGCAGATAGACTAATTTTATTTGATAGTCTACTAGCAATGTATCTTTTGGTTATTCCTTACACATAGTCTGTGCAAAGTAAAAATGAAATGGAAAACATTTACATAACTCTACAGGTGCTCTGTTTCCTCTTTTACCCAATCAATTCCTTCATTCTTGTCATATATTGAACACATCACTAGAACTATGGATCATTACTATTTCAAATTGTAATGCAACATGGACACCAGAAGTCATGTTCACACCTCATTTAAAAGTAGATGTGAAATGAAACCAATATTAAAACAAGGACTTTACAAACACAGATTCCAAAACCATAACATTTTGGAATCTGGGAGGACTGACAGAGCAAGAACTAAGACATCTGGAAGTAATCTAAGCTATATAAAATTATATAAAAGGGCAAATCGATTAATTTTTCAGTCCCGGAAGATACTCAAGAAAGTATTCTTGCCCACATGCCAAGGCCACTGTAGATGGGTCAGAACTACATCTCCTCCGACGTGGGGACCTAATGCTCATGCACAGCGAGTACATTAGACCCTCCCTATAGGAAAGGGTTCAATGCTTTCCTATGGGGATCTCCCCAAAGTTGGATTTCCTTATGCAGAGCGTAAAGACGTCCAGCATCAGGCAACCAAAAGATCCCGGAAGCATCTCTAGTGGCTGTCTTATAAGACAGCCACTAGAGGCAGTCTTAGCACTGCAATGTAAACATTGATATTACTCTAAAACTGCAATGTTTTACATTACAGGACTAAGAGAGACAGGAACACTGCATAGACATAGAATGTGACGGCAGATAAGAACCATATGGCCCATCTAGTCTGCCCAATTTTTTTTAAAATACTTTCATTAGTCCCTGGCCTTATCTTATAGTTAGGATAGCCTTATGCCTATCCCACGCATGCTTAAACTCCTTTACTGTGTTAAAAATGAAAATTAGTTAAGTATTTATGAGAATGGCAGATAAGGATTTAAATTCAGTTTAATAATTTCTAAACTAAACAGTTTGACCATAGCCCTTTGAAAGGCTGCTATGTGACAGCCCACTTCAAAGAGCCAAAGTTGCCTGGGTGCCTATAGTGTCCCCTTACGTGTTTATGGTGCCTACAGTGTCATTTTAAAATTCACATGGCAAAGAAGGGGTAAGTTTCTTATGAACATACAAATAAAGAAGAATTAAAAGTGCACCATTTTAAACATTACTTTACTGAACTACAGTTCTCTGCCATTTTGTATTTGGCATTATCTACAAAAGTAAGAAAATTTACAAATTGGAGTCCTTGTGTACAAACAAAATAAATAAATAACGCTTAGTGCAGAAAAAAAATTACCATTACTTGTACACAACGCCCAATGCATAGACAACAACCCTTAATTCATGGATACTACAACAACCAAACTAATTTATGTGGAAATATGCATTTCTTTTATTCAAGTAGATTACAGATATTAAGTTGCCAAAAAAAAACATGCAAAAAAGAAATATCTGACCTTGTTCTGTTTAAATAAATGAGCAATACCAGATGTAAGAGACTTCACTGCACCACTTTTCTGCTCCATCATCTTTTCTAGGTTTAAATTGATGCCAGTCACTAAAGAGAATCAAACACATATTTAATCAATCTGCTTAACACCAAGTTTTATACTACCAAAAGGTGTCATGGTATAGATTCAGATTTCATGACTAAGACATCAAATGGTAAAATATAGGTGACAAACATTCATGCTTAGAATTTAGCAGAGATGTAGTTTGTGAGAAAACAGAGAACAACCAAACATTTAATAGATTACCGCTGAGTTTATCATTACTTGGTTCTTAGACTTGTTTTAGCTCCCTTGTCCCATTATAGGGATAACTTGTTTTGTTTGCATCTCAGACTGACCTCACTACCAAAATGCAATCTGAAATGCAAACCAGCTCTGGCAAGTTCTGTGTAAAAGAGTTAGAGCAACCACAGACAAATAGTTTTTTGCATCTTCTTAGGTAAAAAAAGGTTAATTCAAATGTGCTTAAAAAGTGCCTAATAGGGTTCTAGCCAGACTTTACTGATGAGACCCAACACGGCTGAAATAATAATTTGGGATTGGTTAGTCTTCTGTGCAGAGAGAACCTGCCAGCAATTTGGAAATTGACTCAATGACACAATGGAACTTAAACTAGCTCAAGAACTGAGAATAACACAATGAAGGATAAAATATTATTATAATCTTAGATGATTAGATGTTGGCTTTGGATGCTGAAGAACTTTACTTTTGGGTATAGAGGCTTGACAAACAAAAAAAAACCCCTAAAAACTGACTATATTTATAGCATTTAAGCATAACTACAGCTATAAGCTTTAGTGGTTAGGATGCTTGGAGGGCCATTTTAAACATGCCTCTCTTTATGAAACAAGAGTGAAATTTAAAGGTTTGGAATAAAGACCCAGAGAGCTTACCTTCAATTCCTCTACTTGAAAAATCTTTTCCATGCGCTAAATGATACAGGTGAGAGTTGTTCAACAAAGCCTGGAAACAAAGCATTTATTTTACGGAACATCAATATTTATAAATTACAGCATATCACAGTGCAGGCGCACACACACTATATGAACAAAAATATAGAGACACGCACTAATTATTGAGTTCAGGTTTTTCAGCCACACGTGCATAAAATCCAGCACATTAAGACGACACTATTAAGAACCAAAACAACTTTAGCTTAATGGAGCATATTTAAAATATATACACATACACAAAGCAAAACAGGAGCACTCTCTTGGTTTTTCCAAAGTGTATTACAAAAAGTGTACCTTTACATCAACGTTTCAACCCTCCAGGGTCTTTATCATTTATATTTTTTTGGAGTTGAGTGCCAGAGTCTGGATATGGATATAGATATATATCATGCCCTTGTAGCTTCACTGATCAATTCTCTGCCATTTAAGAGTTAAATCAAATTTGCTTATGTTTACACAACCCTAGCCACACAAGCTCTTGGTTGTGACACAACGAACATGAGAAAAAAAATAAAAATAATCAGATGTGACAGCACAGTGTGTTTATTTTAGACATTTTTATTTCCTGCTCTGCTAATTGAATTTTAATCTCACACACACAAGGCTCATGCAGGTTAATACCAAAGCATGAGACAGAGACTGTGCAATAAAACATTTGAACTCTCTTTACAGGAAACGTGTACAGAGACTGTGTAGGTTACATGCAGGGAGAGTGTGACTATAGCTGCATAGACTGTTTTAGCTCCAAAGTAGTAGAGAATTGAACAGTTATACTGCAATGCTCCAACGCTGCTTCATTAAGCTAAAATTGTTTTGATGCTTATAGCGTCCCATTAATCTCAATTGACAAACAACCGCAGTATAATAGGTAGCACTGAAGTGCTCCATGACCTTAAAATAAATTTTTTTTAAAAACACAAAATAATACATTGCTTTATAAATAACTAGTAATAATCCAAACGTCACTATTTTTGGTCTTGTAGCACAACCTTGTTTACAGTTGACTGGAATCTTTTTTTTTTTTAACCTTTAAATAGCTGTCTAAAGGTTTAGGTTAAACTTTTAATACTACATAAACTAAAGAATAGAGAGAAGGAACAAAAGGGTGAACCATTTAGTAGGGGAACCCTTCTGAGAGACGAGTAACCCAGATAAAACGTAACTTTTAACTAATATAGTGTAATACTACATTTGATGATAAAAACAATTCACCTGAGAGAGAAGAAAAATAGCCTGAATTGCAAGTTTTTATAAAAAGTATAATTATGATACCTACGAAATGTACAACATTGAATTAATTTGATTTATGTTGAAGGGAAAGTGGAACTAAGCTTGGTTGAGAGATAAGACAAACAAAGAAATAATAAATGGAATAGAGAGAGACAAATTACTGTTTTAACATAGGTCGCAAAAGCAATAACTAATGTGTACAGTTTTTCCATATACCTTAGAAGGAATACAGCCAACATTTAAACAGGTCCCACCCAAGGTTTCATTCTTCTCCACACAAACGGTCTAAAAGTAAGGAAAAATAAGTAACATTTTAATGTATTACCCAGTTACACAAGTTTTCACTATCCATTTTTTTTTTTTTTTTATGTTATCCTTGCCGTAGACATTCAGACCATATATCAATGACTTTTGATGCCAGTTATCCAAAAAAGTATGAAGCAAGCCTTGTTAAAATATAACAAAATAAGTAATCGGAACAAGGTGGTCATGTGTATACTGTGAATTATAGCTTCTATGTTAAAATAAAAAGATGCAAACTATGAATACATGTAGTATATTTTTCACATATTCCTCCGTTCTACTTCCTTTAATATGCACAATCACTGTTCAATTTGTCTACTCATCAGTGGCTCCTTCCTTAATGTATATTAGGGGAGCTGACTGTCTTTGAATGTTTCAGTGACAATGCGATTTTCAAGGATACCTTGCAAATCATGTGTCTATTCAAATATAGCATTAAAGGAAGTGAACCTCCATCATATTTACCTAGCAGGAAGTCAAAGGTAGTATTGAGATTGTTCTGTCATTTGACAGGGGACTAGTAAGGAGATCGATGCTGTCTATAGTTGGACAGCTTTGGAGGCATAAAGATGAGTTATAACATCTGTATTACCCAAGTAATTCAGAAAGCGAAGGCTAACCACTTCATGATGACATGTACTCACCTGGAAGCCAAGCTGGGCAGCTTTAATAGCAGCAACATAACCTCCAGGGCCAGAGCCTATTACTGTGATATCCGCTTCCACTTCAGAAGATGTAATAAAAACATTAAATCAGCAAAAAAAACATTTACACTTCTGATAATTCACTAGAAATCAATAGAATAATAAACATTTCAGTAAAATGCCACAAATGATCATGCATTTAGAGAAAAAAAAAAAATAAAACTAACTTTGACCCCAAAAATCTGTTACACATCTACAACTGCAAAAAACAAAAACAAAAAAAACACCCATGAAAAATAGTTTCTAAATTTTGTCCCGAGTTTAGAAATACCCAATGTTAACATGTTCTAAGCTTTTTTATTTTTTTATTTTTTTTAAATAAGTTATATGGCAATAAGTACAAGTAGCACTTTCCAAACCAATTTTTTTCAAAAGTTACGCAAGAACACTATTATCGACATCGAGGCAATGCTGCAATACCATCAGGACCATCCTAACATCTACAGACGGGGATTGTACCGTCCATACACTGATCCGGAGCTCCAGAAAAGTGTGAGTGTTATATATTTTTTTTCCTTATATTCTGCCTCTGCTGTTATAGACATACTACACTATATTAGTATTCCTGTCCCATTTAGTATTTTCCCTTATATTGGCTGCATTGGTTTCCACACAAAGACTAATTATTAAGCGCTGCTTCCCTACATCCCCCGCTTTACTTGCATCAACGACCAGGAAGAAGAGACTCTGGGAAAGTTTTAGCTGCTGTACACATAAGGGACAAGTGCCAAAAATCTCACTTGCTGCTATATCTAATACCATCAGAGCGCCTGGAAGTGATCATGATCGCTTCCAGCGTTCTAATTCGCTGCAGACGTATCAGGTACGTCCAAGGTTGTTAACCGTTTTTTCAGACCCTATAGTGTTCCGTCAAGCAGTTCGAGCCACACCTCCTCTATATGTGAACTACAAAGTCCTCCTACTGTAAATAGAGATCTAATGTTTAAACTTCTCTCCTGGAGCTCCTCCTACCTCTACCAGCGGTCTTTCAGAGTTTCTTTCTCTGGCTCTGCTTCTTCTCCCCAATTCCTCTCTGTTGGTGTCCTCCAAGGTTCAGTCTTTGGTCCCCTGTTCTCCATCTATACTGCCTCCCTTGGTAAACTCATTAGCTCCTTTGGCTTCCAATATCATTTCTATGCAGATGACATGCAAATCTACCTGTCCTCTCCTGATATTTCCCCGTCCCTCTTGACTAGTGTCTCTGACTGCCTCTCTGCTGTTTCTAACTGGATGGCTGCCCACTTCCTGAAACTAAACTTGACCAAAACTGAAATTCTGGCCTTTTCTCCCTCAAGTGTTGTTACTCCTGTGTCTTTCTCCCTCCAAGTCAACGGTGCTACCATCAGCTCCACCACGCAGGCTCGCTGCCTAGGTGTTCTCTTTGACTCAGACCTCTCCTTCAAGCCTCATGTTCAATCTATCGCCAAATCCGGTCATTTCCTTCTCAAAAACACTGCGCGCATCCGCCCCTACTTAACGCCAGATGCGACTAAGGTATTGGTCCATTCCACTGTCCTTTCTCGCCTTGACTACTGTAATCCACTTCTCAGTGGTCTTACGTGCTCCCAACCTGCGCCGTTACAGTCCATAATGAATGCCGCAGCACCTCCCATGCCTCACCCTTCTGTCAGTCCCTACATTGGCTTCCTATAAAATATATAGCTCAATTTAAAATTCTGGTTCTTGCTTTCAAATCTCTACATATTGCTGCTCCCACCTATCTATCCTCCCTTATACACAAGTATGTCCCGTCTAGGCCCTTACGACCTGCTGAAGACTTTCGTCTATCTTCTGTCCATACTCCCACCTCTGATGCTCGCCTTTCCTGTGGAACTCACTTCCCTCCTCCATTAGATGCTCACCCAGTCTCCACTCCTTCAAAAAATCGTTAAAAACCCACTTCTTCATAAAAGCGTATCAATTAAACTGTTAATAGCTCCTGACTGATTCCTCTTCTGCAACTGTCACTAGTCTAATACTATCCTTACCTTTTTGTGTCATTTTACCCCACTCCCTCTAGCATGTAAGCTCATTGAGCAGGGCCCTCAACCCCTCTGTTCCTGTGTGTCCAACTTGTCTGGTTACAACTACATGTCTGTTCGTCCACCCATTGTAAAGCGCTGCGGAATTTGATGGCGCTCTATAAATATCATAATAATAATAATAATAATAATCACACAGTCTGTTTAATATAGAATTTCTTATATCCTGCTCTTTTAATAGTTTGCTAGAGCCTCCTGTGTTTTACCTCACCACCATTTTCATATGGTATACAAAACTGTAATTAACTCTTTACTTAAAGGCACACTGTAGGGTTAAACAAATATGTATTCCTGACCCTATAGTGTTAAAAACACTATCTAGCCCCTGTTTGCTCCCTAAATATAGTAAAAGCTTACTGTTATTCCAGTCTGCTGCTGCTGGCTCTACCTGCTTGGCTGACATCATGAGAAATGATGATCTGAACCAATCGCAATGCTTTTCCATAGGAAAAGCATTGGAGCAAGAAGGTAGATCAGGAACAGAGCCATCACAAGCCAAACACAGCCCTGGCCAATCTGCATCTCCTCATAGAGATGCATTGAATCAATATATCTCGATGAGGAAAGTTCAGTGTCTCAATGCAGAGGGTGCAGATACTAAATGTCAGTGATGCACAATGTACAGCACTGCACCAGAAAGTACCTCTAGTATCCATCTAAGGAGTGACCAGTGGAGTTATCACTAGGCTGTAATGTAAACACTGCCTTTTCTCTGAAAATACAGTGTTTTCTGCAAAAAGCCTGAAGGTAATTATTAAACTCTCCAGAACAAATACAATAAACTGTAGTTGTTCTTTTGACTATAGTTTCATTTTAGAGAGCTTAAACTTTTAAAACAAACTAACACAAAAAATAATCAACCCCATACGCAGTTTTTTTATGAACGTACATTTTTATGAACGTATATTAGAGGAATAAGTGTTACAAAACTTACATGGTTTGTCTGAATAGGTTCTTAGAGGCACTGAACATAACCTCTGCAACCCATGAGGAATTCGATTGAAGGGATTCTTTTAGATATGTAAAAGAAAGATACAAAAGTCAATCACCTTTGAGAATCAAAAATAACTAGCAGGGCTATTCACTGTGTGAGAATTTAAAGTGAATGTCAAATTTAAAGTAAAAAAACAAAAAACAAACGCAACACTGAAAACATTCTCTAAATTAACTATGCTTCCAGTTCAAAGAATCTTACTTTATGAAGTCCATCTATTGGGATACACACATTTTTTTTGTTTTTTTTTTTTAACAATATAGAAAAAAAAATAAAATGGATTTATACCTTGCTAGCAAATGTACAGGTTTTTCAATAAAGTTATATTTGATCTCTCTGCTGTCCATCAATTCTCAACATAGAAGACTGCCAAATGCACAACCCTGTATGATGACAATTGAGTAACAGGCGAGGGAGGAGGAGAAGCTCTCTGCAGGCTGTTCCACTATGTTTGTTGTAGCTACGATAATTAAGAAGATGCATCAAAACCATTACAGCCCAGTTCCCAGGAGTGCAAGCTGCAGCTTTCCCTAAAATAAAGCCCAACTCACTAAACAGTAAATTGGGTGCTTTTCATTTTAATTGTTTTGCAAATAATGTTTAATGTATTATCAATAAAACATTTTGTATAAAATGTATTAACCCCTTAAGGACACATGACATGTCAGGATTCCCTTTTATTCCAGAAGTTTGGTCCTTAAGGGGTTAAAGGACCACTATAGGCACCCAGACCACTTCAGCTTAATGAAGTGGTCTGGGTGCCAGGTCCAGCTAGGGTTAACCCCCACTTTTTTTTTTTTTTTTTTTTATAAACATAGCAGTTTCAGAGAAACTGCTATGTTTATAAATGGGTTAATCCAGCCTCCAGTGGCTGTCTCGACAGCCGCTAGAGGCGCTTGCGTGTTTCTCACTGTGAAAATCAGTGAGAAGACGCAAGTGTCCATAGGAAAGCATTTTGAATGCTTTCCTATGTGACTGGCTGAATGCGCGCGCTCTCCCCAGAGCCCGGCGGGAGGGGGACCCTGAGGGCACTATAGTGCCAGGAAAACGAGTATGTTTTCCTGGCACTATAGTGGTCCTTTAACTAAACAGATGGTCAAATTGTACCTAGTCCTAGACATTTCAATTAGAGGGTAATACAGTCCCCAACATAGGGCAACTGTGCAACAGCTGATATGACTTTGTCTTGTGTGCAATTAAAGAGTACATGTCTATAGCCTACTACAGCATTCAGGCCTATTGGACAGAACCTTTTGCAGCAGTGTTCCAAACAGAACAAAATGCAGTGGGTGAAAATATTAGACCGGAAACTTTGAGTGTGTTGGAATTTGTCAAGAGAAAATAGATACTCTCCACACAAGTAATGGAAATTTGAATTTTGGCAATTCATTTTACATAAATGAGTCTTTAACCACTAAGCTGCTACTAAATAATCCAATTTTAAAATAAGGTTCTGACAACACAGTCCCATATTGATGACTTTGGAACCACTGTACAAGCTAATCGTAGGGCTTACAGACCTACCTTGCTGTCCTGGATACAAATCACTTCATCCTTAAAGGCAACACAATGATTGTCTTGCAGTATGTAGGATTCAGATGCCACAGGATTCTACGATGATTAATGACTTGATTTCCCCCCTGCAATACATGAATTCTACATACTGCATGGTACCACTTTTCTGTGCTGCATAAAACCCTTATAAATGACATATGGACAACGCGTTTGCGCACCAGAGTTTAGTTATCTCTTTGCCAACCCAATGTTTCTCAAATGGGTGCATTGGGGCATAAGTTGCATGAACAGCAATCCACATTCACCAATGCTTCATTATAAAAAGGATTCACTTTTGCCTTGAGGGAGTGCAGAAGGCAAATAAGAGTAACCTCCTTCAGAACCTAAAAGCTTTATAAAAAGGTGCTGATTTCTCGTAAAGGTTTTTTCAGGTTTACGGAAATATTATTGTGATAGAAAGAAAATCTACGTGGAACCAGTTCAGGAAATGGCTTGGTTGGGTTAGGAACAGAATGTGCATGGTGGAGTCATCATGAACTGCCAGACACCATGGGAAGTTACACTATATATATATATATATATATATATATATATATAGTGTATGTGAGTGTAAACAATGAGAGCAGTTGTTATAGTGGTTCCAGTGAGGCCTGTATTGGGCAGGTGAAGGTCGGGGGATCCTCCAGTCAGTAGGAGCACACAGTGAGCAGGCACTCTCACAGTAGGCCTCAGCTGTCACATTGCCCCTGCACTACACCCACTGCCTTTACAGGAACCCTAACCTCCTGCTCTGTGTCCAGCCAGGCCGGGCATTACTAGAGGCGAGCTTTACCTTATTTAAGGTGCAGTACACCCTGCTCCAGCTCTGCATTTTGCCCCGTAGGTTTACAGCTTCTTCTCAACTCCAAGGTCTCCTAGAACTGCGCATGCGTCAAGGGGCGAGGCGGCCGCGGAGGATCACGGAACATGTAGTCGATTTAGTCGGGAAATTGGGGGTCACGGAAAAAAACGTCCAATGAGCGGAGGGGGCGTGGCAAGGGTTATAGACGGTAATCTGCGGGTGTCTGCTGCCACTCAGACATTCTTGATTTCGGAAAGTGAGCGAAGGGGATTTATCCGCCTTTTACTTGATTCGGTTTTAAAGCGGTTTTTAACTTAGTAAATTTCTCTGATTTATTAAGGATATAGCTGACTCCTTCGTATCAGAGAGGACAGGAGATTGCTAGAAACATGAAAAATTACTTAAGTTCCATATTTACCCTCTTTACAGGGAAATACTAAAAGAAATGGCAAGGGTGAAAGGAAGGACTACCCATAGACAGCAATTAAAATAATCACATCTGTACTAAACAGACCATGTTATGTAAATGCAGTTACAGATCCTGAGACTCGGACTAAGTGAAATTATTATTATTTTTTATTCTTTTCCAATAGGCCAGGTGTGCCATTTACATACTTGATCCAAACACATCACGTTTACATTGGTGAATGAATCTTGAATGATGTTGAAGCCAGCTTCTAATTTTAATAATGACAGGAGGCTTCCTATTTTGCATAATCGCGCTTTCCTAACTCCATAGCAGCAAAGAAAAAAGTGTACAACAAGAACCAATCAAAATCAATAGGAAGTATAGTATCCACAGTAAATAGGCTCCTCCTCTTTCTTTGCTGCTCCATCAGCAGACAGGTCAGAGTTTGGGCTCCTACTCATATTTTACTGCATATTGTATTTATGACTTATTTCTTTAATGTTTCTTTTCTTTCTGACACACTCTATGTGCTATTTTTCCCCTCTGGAGTGTACAGTTTATTTTCTGTCCCTATGTTGCACCCTTATCCACCTCCCCCCCATTGCGGGTTTGGGCGCTATTTGCATATCGGCGGTATCTTACCTTATTCCCACTCCGGGAGTTCATCCCAGCGCAGGCCAGCTCCCTCACGGTCTTTCCTGGCCGCAGATTCAAGCGCGCCTGTCGAAGGCCTGACTGCGGCTCTTCATACTCCCTGAGGTGGTGGCCATCTTGGATCTCGCGTCTCGTGAGACTCATGGCCGCCATTTTAGGTTGCTCCTGTGATTGCTGCGCTGCTCTCACTCCCGGTTTCTCGCACACATAAGGATTGGAGCTGGACGGCTACTAGACAACAAGGCAGGGGTCAAACCAGGTCCGTTATTATCCCTGACTGCTGTAGCCTGCACTATAGGGCTCAATACCGTGTGCATCTTGGGTGAGGCCCCTTCTTACCTGTGCTACTGACTGGAGGTCTGCTTTTGCAACCTCTGTATACCTGGGTAAGGCCCAGATAAAACCCAATCAGCTTGTCATACCCTGTTGGGGTTTTTACTAATAGTACTGCTGGTACTATTTTCTCAAATTATCATACCCTGCTGGGGTTATACTAGTACTGCTAGTACTATCACCATACAGTGACACCCTCGGCTTACAGCTCTGACCCCTCTCCCACCACATGCCCCGTACATCTCTAAAGGTCCTTGCCCTGATCATACCATGGAAAACTCCCCTGCGGACTTCCAAGCCATGATAAACGCAGCAGTATCTGCATCCATGGAGAAAGCACTATCCAAAGTGATGGTGGTGAATGCTGACCAGACGAAACCCTCTGAACCCCACCGCTCCGATTATGACTCAGACCCCGAGGTTTCGAAACCCCTGACTAGAGAGGAGGCCTAACCTGATGCCTTTGGAAGGGCGGAAAGGGACAACACTACCCCTCCAAGGGCAAGATGTCCGCTAAAAGACTCAGATCGGCACCTGCCCTATGACACGAGTACTCCTCGGAAGAGGAGGGCGATTTGCCCCGTTTCCTGGCTATAATAGACGAATGGCAGGCAGTAGAGTCGGAATCAAAAGGTGATGCATGGGAGTCCAATGCTGAATCAAATTCCGCTTTTAGACGGGAATCCTTCATGGGTGACGCCCAGATGTCTGAGGGCATTGAGCCCCCGCAGGAGAAAGGAGAATCCATCCTGGACACGTGAGGTCAGACACTATTTGCCCTTCGACATTAGACACCCAAGGTCTGGGGATTGGACACTCCCAGAACATTTGGCAAAATTTATGCACCAATGGCTACGCAAACCACTAGACAATAGACTAATGACATGCTCGTGCTATACTTGTAAGGTACTCCCAAATGCGGGATACCAGGGAACAAAGACAGGACAAAAATTGGGGCTGTCCTGCTGAAGTTGGGATGGTTTGTTACCCCTGCACTTAGAAGATGGTCTGGCAGAAAAGGAACTTTAGATTGGGCCATCAATGGCTTTCTAGCATCCAGCATGAGGCAATTTAATTGAAGAAAGAGATCAAGGGTGGGGAAAAGCTATGTGTAAACTACAGAGCCAAATGCCTTTTGTGTATCTTTTGTTGGTGCCAAGAACTTCAGTGGTTTTTTTTGACATTCTTTATTTTATGTTATTAATTCACAACATGTATATCCGTTACAATTTAACAGGTTATAACAAATAAACGGGTCAGATATGTGTATAACAGCATTGAGATGGTTTCAGCAACCTACTTATATGCTGTGTTCGTATTTTTAGCTTCGACAAAACAATAAGCATACTTGTGTGTTGTGTTGTGTCGTTAGCCTTGTAATGGGCTAGTCCACTGTGTGTTTGAGAGTGTATGGGGTTTGTGGTTAATCCGCAAGGTTCCTGCGTGCTATCAAATAGCCTGTTTCAACCGCTCTGGGTTGCCCTTGTGGGGCAGAGTGGGGTCATATATCCCTATGATATTCTCTGATCTACCTCATTTGTAGGTATAATCGTAAAGGGGAGTCTGGCTCAGTGCGAAATTTCCTTTCACTTACATATGGGGTCTAGTGTTTCCTACGGCACCCTGGAGTTGTGGAAGTCTATATCGGCGTGCATTGTGGTTCTTCTTTACCCCAAGCATTGCACGGAGTGGTGTGTTTGTGTTGCTAATGCCCGGCTGGTGGATATAGTACTATGGCTCAGGCCGTGTTGTGTCTGCCTGCGTGATCTGACCCTTGGAGGGCACCATCAGGGGCTCTTATTGAGGGTTCCAATCTGGTTAGTGTCTGAGCTGTGTGTTGGTTCAGGTCGTATTGGGCCTGGCGTGGATGTGTTCAGTCCTAAATAATGTGGGGGCCCATTGTGTTGCCCCTGGAACCGCGAGATCACCCCCTGTTCTCCCTGGGCAGATCTGATTTGGGGTCTCTAGGAATAGTTGTCCTTGAGTCGTCCGCGGACGTAGCTAGAGTGTGTGGTGTTGTCCTGCAGTGTCTTATTATGTAGGTGCGCGGCGTGTGGGGTCTGTGTTAGTCGTCGCGTCGTCACCTCAGGTCATTGGTTTGTGTCACTCGTGTGGTGGTCGTGTTCGTATCAATCCTGGGGCCTTATTACGTTCCCCGTTGATCATCTGGTAGACCTTGTCTGGGTTGTTATATTATGTCCCGGATCCAACTGGACGTGGTGTAGGTGGGGTTTTGTCTACCAACTGCGGCAGTCCTGGTTGTTATATGTCGTGGTCTGAACTGGGATCTACTGGCTTGAGTTGTGGTGTCGTGCGTCTGAGGTGGAGGTGGGTCCATGCCCCCTGTACCTCGGTCGCCCTCTTCCCTCCTCCCCTAGGTGTGTCTGTCGTATGTCGCTTTAGTGGTTCGCTCCCCCCCTCCCCCCCGGTATCCCGTGGTCTGCGGCCCCCATTTCGGTGCCTGCCTACTCACTGATTCCGCCTCGTGCGGAGACATAAGTTAGTTTGGGTGCCTCCGGGGGTTGAGTCTCCCTGGGTCTTTTGCGGGTCCACGTGTCATGTAGTAGGAGGGGAAGGAGGGGGGGTGCGTAGGAAGTGTGTCTCTGTCGTGTAGGGGGTGGAATCTACTCATCTGGTACTTCCTGTGTCTGCGCAGTATTCTGTCGGGGGGATTGAATTGGTGCGGGGGCGCCGTCCATCTCCACCGGGCCTCCTCTTTCCGCCCTTTTTGATGTGTAGTCCATCCACGGGTACCACGTCACGGCGCATGTTTCCTGGCGTCCCTGCAGGGAGGCTGTCATCATCTCCATGTTATATATCATTTCCACCCTGTCTACCCATTGTTGTAGGGTTGGAGTCGTCGTGCTTTTCCAATGAAGCGGGATGAGCGACTTCGCCGCCGTGAGTAGGTGTATGAGGAGTCCTTTCTTGTAGATCTTCACAGGCGTGCGCGTGTGGTTGAGTAGCAGTGGCATGGGTTGGAAGGGGATATCTGAGTCCGTGATGTCTTTGATCGTCTGATGTATCATTCGCCAGAACGGTTCGATACGTGGGCACGTCCACCAAATGTGAATGCTAGTTCCTATCTCTGTGCCGCATCTCCAGCATTCGTTCGAGATTGACTCGTGCACGTGCTGCAGGATGTCTGGCGTCCGGTACCATCCTGTCAGTATTTTGTAATTGCATTCTTGGAACTTGGAGCTAATGGTCCCCCTGTGTGTTAGTTGAAATATTTTAAGCCATTCCGTTTCTGTTAGCTCCACTCCGGTCTCCCTTTCCCATCGCGATGTGAAGCCTAGGGGGCTCTTATCACCGTTGCTTAGAAGAGCGGAATAGAGTTGTGAGACTCCATGTGAGAGGTGTTGTCTGGCCGCGCATAGGTGTTCCATCATCAACAATGGGCGATGCAGGTGGCCTTTGCCCTTAATGCTGTCGAGATATGTTTTCACTTGGTGGTATCGGAAGATGTCTAGGCCACTGGGTCTGCGGTCCTGCAGCAGCGTCGCCAGGGGTTTGAGCGTCGTTCCGGAGTTCCATTGGTTAGCGTATACCCAGTCCGTGGCTCCGAGGTTTTTCAGATCAGCCGTGCTCAGTCCTCCCACTAACCTCGGATTATGGGTTATTGGTGTAAGCGGGTTGGGTGATGACGTGAGGTTTTTGGAGTATCGTATCCTACACCACACTTTCAGCGTGGCGTCGACCATCGGGTTCCCGGTAAGTA